TCTTGTGTTGTGACAGTCAGCCTAGGAGGTGTAAATAAATCGAGGCTCTCTCCAATCCTGAATGAATTACAGGATTCTCACTGGTGTTTACTATGTTGTTGCAGGATTTACAGGCTGGCGCTACAACTGAGATCATGTCTTATGTACGTTTTTGGGTGAGTTTAAGGGTTTTACATTTTACAAGGGATAGAAAGTTTTTAAAATCTAATTCTAATATTTGGTGAATGAGTATGTTGTATGCATATTGTATACACAGGGGGCTTCTCTCTGAAGCAGATTGCACAGCACTATGGCCAAAGTTAGGAGCAATAAAACTTAAATGTATGTCAAGAGGAAGAGCAACAAATGTAAGGTTTGCATTAGGGCTTGGAAATAAAACAATATTTAAAATAACTGCAATATAATTTTCATCAACAGCAATTGAACAAAAGTTAATTATATATAGATATACGTGTAGTAGTTTTTTATTGTGCAAACATGGTGACAGTGAGGAGACATAACAAATACATAAATACATACATCTACCTCATATTGCTAAAATGAAACTCTGATTCCATACAATTTTTCTCCTTTTTAGATTTTTAATAAATGTTTTATATTCAGTGAACTGACTGTATTTTGGGTAAATGTAGAGGTAAATAACACCCACTAACATCTGGCTTTTGTCTGCAATGGGAATGGATTCAAACTGCAGTCACTCCTGGGATAAATGACGCTGCAGTAGACACGGATTTGTATTGACTCCAGCTACGATCGACAGTGATGGAAGTCAGACACCTGTGTGAATTTGGCAGAAAGTGACACGAGAAAGCTTCTAAGTTTTTGATGCGTTTGGGATGTTGAATGTGACGGGGGGAAAAAAAAGGCAAACGTCTCTACTGGCAAAGGGAAAGGAGTCAATCACTCAGCAGTGATTTTTACCATATACCTTGTAATGATGGTGTAAAAGAGGTTTCAGACCAGAATTTGTACAGCAAGTATACTTGAGCTCATAACAAAATGACACGCTGCCTTGGCTGTCTGTGTGTAACTCACACTTGTAAAATGGATGCAGTAGTACTAGTTGTCTAGGATTATGGTGGTCGTGTTTGAACTGAATGTTACAATCTGCTGTTTATGCTCACAGTACCGTTTTTAGTAAGATAAACATCCAAATATAATTACTTTCCCAAAATCTAGTCAGTTTAATTTGGTCCATAAACTTCTGAAGTATAAATAAAAAAGTATTTCTGTCTTATTTAAGGAAAAAAAAAAGGCCAACTCATCCAATGCAACTATTTTTGGTGGCACTGTCCCCGTACAGTGTGTTCAGAGCTTCACCTACTCTGATGCAGTCTCACTTCACTGAGACTACCCTTGATGCTTCTTCTCTGAAGTTCAAAAGCCAAACGACAAAAGACCTTTAAGTCTGTGTGAAGACGACCACTGTGACAGGATTTTTGAGCCTAAGCAGCCGCAGCACCTCACACATCTCAGTCTCCATCATCTCCCCTCACACAGATGATTAGATGTGTGGAGAACTGATGCGGAGCGAGAGTGATTGAATCACAGAGTGGCCCAAATGAAAGTTGATTGGCCTTGTGTTCATGATGTGTGTGAAATGAGCGGCCTTTTCTCCCTGACACTTATCCTTTCACGATTCCTCTCGAGTGTGCCTCTGATTCGCTGACGTGCTGTTCAGACAGCTGCTCCACGGGGTGATGCTCGCGCTTTGTGTGGGTATTACTGTGGACGGATCTGATGGGTTCATGGAAGTGAGTGGTCAGATGATACTTAATGAGAGATATTACATCAGATGAAAGAAAGATGTGGACATGGATTTTGAACCATTGTCCTCCTCGATATGAAAGAGTGATTGTATGAAATGTGAATTAATAAGAACTTTAACCGTGACATGACCATTATTGTGGCCAAGGAGTCAGGGGGTTTCATACCTGAGAGTCTGATCCAAGGTTCATGTCTGTGTTTACATTTCATCCTGTTAGTTTTGGTTGGCAATTTAGTTTGAGGATTTCAGACTTATGTTTGAAATACGTCCGTCCTATACTTATAACATTGCTTATTTTGATTGGCTAAGGGTCTCATATCTGCACATGAAACTGTACATCTCAGCATTATTATATGCGTTTTTTTCAAGTTGAGTCTTTTTCAGACCCAATTACCACATATATTTTGTCTCCTCCTCCCCCCATGTGGTACCACGCCCCACTTTTGCTTCTATGCGGCTTCTTTATCTTCTTCTATTATTTAAGGATGTCTCAATTTACTGCACTTGCTCCGTAAGTCTGAACTATCCAAGCGAAGAGTTTTTATACTGCAATCTTGAAACTAAACAAACTAAACCATGGTTCAGTTTGATCCGGACCGAGGTCAGATGTTGGTCCCTGGTCCGAGACATCTGTCACACCTGTTATTTTGGTTCAAGACTTAACTAAAACTCAGCAGGACTGCACCAAACAATGTAGGTGTGACAGTGTCGTAATGGAGGCACGATCTCACCTGTCCCTGTCTGAGTTGTGCTCCTGTGTTGATCGTCCTATTGTCCTCCCACTTTCTCTCCCCTTATTTCTGCCTCTTGACTGTACATTAGAGCCAGATAATATGAGAAAATGAAAAAAGAATGTATGTCTCTGTGATATGCTTGAAATCAATTTTATATTGATTTCAGGCCGTTAGTGCAAAGGCTCTGTCCCCTTTGGTTTTTAACCTGGTCTCTGGAACAGTGTAAAGGCCTCTGCCTCAAGCTGATTTGAGATATTTTTAGACAAGTGGGTGGACGTCTTCTCCAAGAAGTATCATATACATAACTGCATTAATTTAAATTCACTGCTTCCTTTGTCTGACTTTGACTCTGTCTCATTGCATAAACATGAGTCAGCTCAGGCAAATATACACACAGAAATTTATAAATCACCAAGGTTGTGTTGACCTGAAACTACTACAAAATGTCACGATACACACACACACACACACACACACACACACACTAATATATAGTTACAATGACCATATCTTTGGTAATCCATTGCACTGTTACTCATTGATTAGGTTAAGTCAGCTTGAAACACACAGAGTTGTGTAGGAACCCTGCATGGTGTGAGTGGGACATCTGCAGCGCTCCACAGACAGACTGCTCTCTTCTTTGATCCGGCTTCCACATGCAGAGGGAGGACAACCTATCATGAAAGCTGAGAGATGCTGTTTATTCCAGCCTCCCAAACTGTAATCAAAGCACTATCATCAGACAACTGAAGATTTGTTAATCAGGACCTCTTTTTCTTCTTTTTCGGTGGAGGTAACACTACCATATCTTTTCCTGTTTTACAAACACTTGCTGGTTGTTATTAGTCCAAATTAGGCCTGTGTTTTGCTCCTCCTTAATCACAGTTTCCCCCAGAAGCCTTGTACCACTTATCAGCACTTCCCATTTCCCGTCCTCACTTATCCTTTCCTCTCCTTAATCTCAAGCTCTTATTTTATGCTTTTCCCATATTTTTCACAACTGAACTTCGAGGTTTACATTACAAAGGTCTTCACACACGTGAGAAAGTGCATATTTAGAGAGGTTCATTGTACAGTTTGTCATGTTGAAGGTTATTACTTTAATCTTTTTGGCTGTTTTACACTTCAATCTACACGCAGGGGATCCCAAACCTTTCACATCCCGCCCCCCTAAAATTATGGTGCCAGAGACTAGGACCCCCCACTATCCTAGAGGATTTTAATTTTAGCCAGTTCCTAAAACATAAATGTGTTGTAATGTATCCTATGGTGTTATAAGTACATCTGCTGGAAGTGGCTGTCAGGATCACCTCAGGGGTCGTATGGGGACAAAAGAAAATCATAAGGTTGATGAAATATTTTTATTTGCATGGTTTTATCTACTATCTTTTATCTTCTGTAACTTGACATGAATTTGATTCATGGAAGTCATTTCAAGACCCCCTTCTGTCTCATGTGACCCTCCAAGGGGTCCAAACCCATAGTTTCTGAACCAGACTATTTTTCAGAAAACTGGAAAAATGAAGCACCTACTTTAAACTCTAATACTGTCTTTCTTTGGCTAAAGTAAAAATAATTAAAACAGTCATTCAGAAGAAGAAAATAACTCATGTTATCTTGGTAATTTTTAAGCAGAAATATTAGGAACGTTAAACCCCAGAGTCATAGTCTGACTCTGGGGTTTATCTCGGACAATTTGTTTCTCGCCACTGTAAAATCCTAATTTAAATATAGGCTTGATTTACTGTGTGTCACTGTGTGAGGGTCCAGTTTAGGTTATAGCAGTAGTCACCTTCAAATGATGGGCCTCATCTGTCTCCAGCTCTCTTTAATATTATATCAGCATTGCATGTCTCTCTCTCCGGCCCCGTCTCTTATCGTGTCTCTGTCGTCTCTCTCCCTATAACCTCCGTCTTTTAATCTATGCTGCTCTTTCCTTCCTCCCGTCTCATCCTCAGATTGCTGTCACATTCCCAGTGCCCTCTCCCTCCTTGTCGTCCCCCCAACCCCCCCTCCTTCTCTCTCTCTCTCTCATTTTCCATCTCAGTACGTCTGCTGTCTTGTGTTGTGCCGCAGGGCTCTCCGGCTGATGTAATTTGCTATCTCCTTTGGTAGTGTGAGAAGAGAGGGTCCTGAAGCCAACACTCTTAATGCAGAGTGCTCCCGTGGGAGGCTGTGAGCCAGCACTGACTCCATTTCACTATATCGTTGTACATGCACAATGACCACGTGTCAGACAGACACAATCTGCATTAGAGAATAATTAAAAATACTATGGTAGCTGTCGGCTGCACAGAGAGCTGGTTGGGATGTCATCACTGGTACCCTGTCTGTGGTCAGTCATTACACAGTTAAGACGCTGCGTGCAGATGGGAAAGCGTTTTGCTCACATCTCACGAGTTGATCCCATCAGGAGTCCATGGCTGTATTAGACTTTTAGCAGCAATAAACACTCCACATATTTGATTATGACTCAATATGTTTATGTGTGTTTGCAGGACTGCAATCCATTTCTATGACAACAGAGAAGGCTTTGGCTGAGGAAATAAGGAGCGCGATGGAGGGTGACGCCAGAAGGACCAATCAGGTGGGTGCACAGCAGAACTTACAGCAGCTGTAGATCATTTCACTCAGGCAACTCAATCACTCAGGGGCCTTTCAGGTTTTTTCTGTTTGATATGCAAGCCGCCTCTGCCAGCAACTTAACATCTTAGCCTCTTTGAGCTGCAGCTCATTCTGACATGCATTTGGTGATTGCTTTACATGATCAAAGATTTGGGATTTAAATCACTTTGTGAGTCGAGCACATAATGCCTCTTGTGAGTCAGAATACAAATGTTTAAATGAAGGAAAACGTTGATTCATCTGAATCTCACTCACTCACAGGAAGGATTTTCTCCCGTCCAGGTTCCCGAGGACCACGGTGAAATGGATGATAGCTCAGAGCAGACCCCCAGCAAAGCCTCCAAATCCCCACAGAAAACCACCAAGCGACCCAAGACTGTCCCGGTCAAAGTCACTCTACTGGACGGCTCAGACTATGACACTGCAGTTGAGGTATGCCTGTTCACTTTTTATCAGTTAGCATGGAGGAAATGGCTGATCAATACATGCAAAAGGTTTTAACATGATTACGAACACGTGTTAAAATGTTTTAGAGTTTTAATCATCACTGATCACACATCAGTAATAACGATAAATACTGAAAAGTAACCAGGATACATCAGAGCAGTGAAACGGTAACAAAGGTTTAAAACTAAACAGGTTATTCAGTAACTAAGTTAGCCCAGCTCACTTCCCCCATTTCTCTATCCTCTTAATTTTCTCCCTGATTGTCTCATTTGCTTTTGTAGGAAATAAAAGAGGCAGCAATATTAAAATGGGACAGTTTCATAATTTGAATTTGGCATATAGGTTAGTCAGGTCCTTGCATCATTATAGCTTTACACAAATGGAGATTTAGTTCAGCTGTCCATCTTGATGTGTTGAGGTTGTGACATTCAAAATACAGAGGTAGACAAGAACGTGGGATAAATTCCTTTTTTTGCATATTTTTTGGAAACTCAGTTGAAATCTGCGCTGCATATGGATTGATCTATCCATCTAACTTTATCCCCATATTAAATTGTTTTGATGTTTTGGCTAAACTGCCCTTTGCAGTCCTTATAACTGATAGCAATGATGGTCATAACTGAAAAGAGTCAGACTTTTTCTTTACGGCTATTTCCAGCTTCACATAATTAGGAAAAATGACTTCAAAAGGTTGTTTAGTGTGGCTCTTACTTCACGCTTAAATGCCCACATACTTAAAATTCTTTCTAACATGTGCAGGTGACCAAAACAATGCAGCATTTGGAGCAGCCGGTGTGCACCTCCCCCGTTTGAATGGAGCCGTTGACTCAGCACAGTCCACCACAGAACACCTCAGTGGGATTTAGTCTCCCTCAGTAATATGTGCTACTGAGTCAGGAAATGCAGCTCTGTTGCTATTCTCACTGAGCGGGGGAGTGACGGGGGGGAGGAGGGTGAGACAAACTATGCATTGTGGGGGGATGGAAGGACTCAGATGAGCAATCTCCTGCTTTCATGAATCCTGACTCTGTAGCCTTTTGTGTTTGTAAACACACGCATGAATTTCCGCATCGCTCTCGGTTTATTTGAATTTCACAGTAGCCCACACGCTCGTCATGACTCGAGGACTGCAGAAAATTCATTTGCTCCTGGATATGAAATGATTTCTGAGGAAGAAAAGAGGTGTCACATGGGGGGGTTGTTCCACGCCGGAGATACTTTGCAGGTTTCACTCACAGAGCTGCCATGAAACGCGTTGAAGCCTGCGCTGGAAGCCCATTGGATGCTACACATGGTGGGAGCATGATGGGAATGATCTCGGCGGCGGCTCGACCTCATTCATGTCAACTATATTCCTGTTATGGCTTACTGCCTCCCACGTGACCTCACATATGTTACTTACAAGAAGCAGCGAGAAATATGTCAGTACACACACACACACACTCAGTCTCTCCCCTATGCATGTGCATACACATTTCTTCATGTCACCTGGGCAGTGACACTAGAGGTATGGAGCTTTAGCAGGAAATCCATGCAGTTGACAGATGAGTGCTCTTATGTTTGAGCTGGGAGAAAATAGAATGGGAGAAGGAAAGAGGAGGAGGAGGAGGAGGAAAAGATGAAGGGCGTGGGGGAGGAGGTGGTGAGGAAGACAGAGAGGAGGTAGATACGAGGAGTGGTAATCTGTGTATTGTGTGTATGAACGTGTCTGCAAATGAAAGAGAGGAGAGGGAACATAGTGATGAATGCAGTGAAATTATTTATTATTTATTAGTTATTTAAATTACAGTCATGATGTCCGCTGCACAAACAGGCCCTGATGATAAAAACACAGGGAAGCAGCCGGGGCCTTCTATTGATGTTTGGCTCCCGACATTACAGATATTGATTGAGCTCGGTGCATTTACAGAGTGCAGTCCTTAACCTAAAGCCACACTATTAAAACCCTAGTCATTCCTTTTTTCTGGAAAAACATTTCTAATGGAACATCTGGTTTCTTAAGGTCCTTAGGATACCATTGTACCTGGATTTTAACTACCGCCAATGAAATGCTTCTTTCTCACGGTTAAGTGATTCCTGCTGGTTAAGCAAAGGAACAGAGGAGTGCCAGCTTATAAAAGAGGCAGAGGATTTTAGTGTCTGCTCTCCTGACTGCAGATGTTTCAGTCCTCAGACGCTGATGAAGTGGTGCCTTATTCACACAGTCACAGAAATAATAAAATAACTGTTTATGAACTTAAATAAATGTAAACATTTTTAAGAAGATGTGTGGGTAGCTGATGCTTGTAATAGAGAGGTTCATCCAGCATGCAAAGGGTTGATCACTTCTCCAACATGTTGATGTTTCCTTGGGCAAGGCACTGAACCACAAATGGCTCCTGATTGTCAAACCAGCACTGTGGACTGTAGCCTGAGTGTGTGAATGGGATGAAGTGATTTGTGTAAAGTCATACATGCATAAATCATCACCGTCATCATCATCATCATTAAAATCATAATCAGAAGTTTATAGAGCACATTTCAACACAATGTACAAAGTGCTGCACAACAAGAAAACAAATGGTTACAATATGTATAAGGAAGCACATAAATTAGAATTGTATTAGTAAAAGATAATATCTTGGGTCTGAAACTGATGCTCTTTCATTAGCGATGGGGGTAGCCAGCTTTCCCAGCTGCATCAGTCATCTCCCAGCTAAGACTAAACTGTTTCCTCAAACCGGTCATTATCTCATTCTTTCTCTGAGTCTGGTCAAATGATGAATGGAACAGTGACGCCCAGTAACATATCCCTGAAAGCTACTGCTGTGAACACACTCAGTGCACTTGACATCCATTCACCTCTGTGAATTCATAAAAGATCAATTTTGTGTCAACTTTTCTCCTTTTTCACAGACATATTTTTCTTTGGTCGCTCATATGAAGAGGAGCCTGCACAGTGTTGCAGAACTCTACTGTTGTAATGGGCCTTTATCAAATAAAGCTGTCGCAGATATTTTAATTTGTTTTAAACTTTCTACTACTGCTTATGTTTCGAACATATTAAAAAATCTGTCAAGAGATTCCTTAATTTGTGTAGAAGTGCTGATAAGATAAAAGATGAGATAAGATTATCCTTTATTAGTCCCATTACGGGGAAATAGGCCGTGTTACAGCAACAAAGCATATCGTAAAAATAGAAACATCAGTACATGAACACAGTTTTAATATTTATTTGCTTTAGGTAAATGAAATGGTACTATCATGTGTTTTTGCAGGTTTATGCACAAGTGTAGCTATGCACATAGCCAACCTATTACATTGCATAACTAGGGCTACTTACATATTTACAGGTTTATTTGATTCCACAGTTTTATATTTTAAGTTCATTTAAATAGATTTACTGTCTCATCGACAACCCTTTAACCTAAGCTCACACATGTTGTCACTCCTCGTCTGTTTTGCATTGGGAGAGGCTTTTAGCAAAATGGATTTCTATCTTACACCAAATGGCTGCAAACACGGTCAACCCACAGGACTCGTTACAGAAAGTGACAGAGCCAGATCGCTTTATGATGGATAATTAATCAGCCTTTCTTCAATTTTTTAAATGTATGCTGACTGTTCTGCCAGCGTTTGTTACAAGTGCCGAAGAAATCTGTGTGATGGCCTGGTAGTAACCACAGATAGTGACACACACACACACACACACACACACTCACATGCACACTCAGAGGAGACCTATTACTTCTGTTTCTATGGTAACAGTTTCTTCATTGCCTCGTCGCCATAGGAGCCAGGCTTCCCTTGGAGATGAAACTGGCATGGGTGTGCCTGTGTGTGTGCGTGTGGAAACAGCATTTTTTGCCAAGGCCGTCTGTGCAGCCCTCAGAGGCCTCGTGCACAGCCCTGAGGGGCAGGACAGAAAAATAGGTGTGGTCTGAAACACCATTGATGCGGAGTGCAATTCCTCCCCTTATATAGTCAAAGAGTGGAGCTCCTCCCACTCTGCAGGGGGAGGACAGACTGGAAGCATCTCTCAGACCACAGTGGGGTTGGCTTGTGTCTGTGACATTTTTGCCTTCTTTGTGTTGAGATATATGAATAAAGAAAATATATAAATATCCAGCAATTAAAAATGATTATTTGTCAGCCAGCCAATACATGCTTTAATAAATGCAATGACTTTTCAGAATCAGCACCATTACATGTTAACAAATCTCGTTTTTCAAGATTTCCGTTGGTATGTTTCACACATATTTTCATTTTACAGTGTATTATTGCAAACGCATTTGCATGCTCTTATGCCATATGATTTAAAAGCTTTAAAAGCATTTAAAAGCATGTGCCTGTGTGTGTTGCAGAAATTCGCCAGGGGCCAGACCCTGCTGGACATGGTGTGTGGCCATCTGAACCTGCTGGAGAGGGACTACTTTGGCCTGACTTTCCACGACACTGACAACTCCAAGGTCAGACACACAAGAACACACACACACACACACACACACACANACAACAACAACTGCCCCAACTACAACCACCGCCCCAACGACAACAACAACTGCACCAACGACACTGACAACTCCAAGGTCAGACACACAAGAACACACACACACACACACACACACACACACACACACACACACACACACACACACACACACACATGCATGTGTGGACTGGGTGTTTTTTTACTTGTGTTGATTTGTATTATTTGATAAGCATTCAAGTTATAACTCAAAAAACATGCTAAAGGCCAAATATGCATTGATGATTTATTTACACATCTGCCTAATAAATAGATTTTTTACTGCTTCGGTTAAATAATGTCACCGATTTCACAGCAAATGCCGACCGACAGCCAGCCAACGAGCCCCTTTTTCTCAACTTAATTCATCAGGTGTTATAAAGCAGCGAGTCCCTGGTTGCCCTTTAAACTGTGCTTAACCACTTACAGCTTGAAAGTGGCATACATGGCCTTTAACCTTTTAAAATGTGATTAGACAGTATGGCCTTTTAAAAAATGGTGCACAGGGTCCACGGTGCGCCATGAAAGTTCTACTGACATTAAGCAGAGGTAGTTGGATTCAGCTGGCATTTATAGCCCTAATATTACTGCTTTCAGAGTTTCTCATTCATATTCCCGCAGGATGAATATATTTGGCTCTCAATTTGTGAAGTGCCATACTTGTGAGGAGCTCTTAAAAATTTTAATATGAATGCTTTTGTTGAGGTCAAATTTCTCAAAAGGGATTTTCTCTTTCTTTCTTTGTCAGAATTGGTTGGATCCCTCCAAAGAGATAAAGAAGCAAATTCGGGGTAAGTGTGATAAAGAAACACACACATGCACACAGACTGTGTTTTAATGAACTGGCTGTTATACATAAAACAACCTTGCTGTTGGCTTGTCCACAGTTGGCTCCTGGAATTTGGGATTTTCTGTCAAGTTTTACCCTCCAGACCCATCTGTACTGATTGAAGACATCACCAGGTACGTCTGGATACAACAGCAAAGCCTTTTTAACTCAACCTTTAATAAACTACTGTACTGGGTTTTAGTTGTGGTTGTGATTTTTATAAAGAAATAAAACATAGAACTAACTGTTGACAGTGAGATTTGTGGATTATTTCTAATATGTGGGAACCTTTACTGTAGGTTATGACAGGACCTATGACCTATATGTCTTTTTATGTTGAGTACAGTAATACATGGGAGTGTCAATCAAAGAAGCTTAAAGAAATATAAACAGATCATGGTAAAGTAAAAAGTCATCTATGATTTAAAAAAATGAACAAGACAGAGTCTTCAGGTGTAATGTGTGGGACTGCACTTCTAAGTCACAGTGATACTTTGAGGTAAATGCTAATATCCCAATGCTAATACGCTTGATAATGTCAGCACACTGATGTTGAGCAGGATCCATGTTTATATTATTCTCCATCTTGCATGCTAGCATGGGAACTTTTGCTAATTAGCAAAAACTAAAAAGTACATTTGAAATGTCATTAGGTTTTCTTGTACTCGGTTCTAAACTAAAGTATTAGACATAGTCAGTTTTTCACCTGAAGATGATACTAATAATTCAATTCAGGGAAAGATTCATCTCCTGAGCACCATGAATGTCTGTAATAATAATAATAATAATAATAACTGTATCATTTGTATAGCACTTTTCCTAACACCGTAACAGTGCTTAACAAAAGAATAAAGCAACAATAAAACAATAACATTAAATAAAAATTGAAGAAATAACATTTGAACAAATATGTTTACAACAACAGATGGACATGAACAGATAAACGCTGCCAGTATCGACTGAAACTAAGAACCATTCCAACAGCGTTTCTTCCAGGTGTTTCCTGATAATGTCGACTTGTGACTTTTGAAGTCGAGAGTTAGCAGCATCTCTGTGTTTTCCCAGGTACTACCTGTGCCTGCAGCTGAGGGACGACATCCTGTCCGGACGTCTACCCTGCTCATTTGTCACCCACGCTCTTCTGGGCTCCTACACTGTCCAGGCCGAACTGGGAGACTACGAGCCTGAGGAACATGGCCCCGACTATGTTAGCGACTTCCGATTTGCCCCCAACCAGACACGTGAGCTGGAGGAGAGAGTGATGGAGCTTCACCGTAACTACAGGTCAGAGAAAATACGGCTTCATTAATTCGATTTAATCCCATGAGGATAATGGAGGATGCTTTTCTTTTTCATCTGTGGGATGAATGTGAAAAAAGTGATGAATCACGCTTGACATTTGTATGATAGGGGAATGAGTCCGGCAGAGGCAGAGGTGAATTTTCTAGAAAATGCCAAGAAGCTCTCGATGTATGGAGTGGACCTGCATCACGCTAAGGTACAAAGATAATAATCCCTGACTTTTCAGCCGTCAATACTCTTGTGATACAAGTCAATTCGATGCTTTTAATACCCTGTTTGCCAGGATTCAGAGGGAATCGATATAATGCTTGGAGTGAGCGCCAACGGTCTGCTAATTTACCGAGACCGCCTCAGGATCAACCGGTTCGCCTGGCCCAAAATCCTCAAGATCTCCTATAAGAGAAGCAACTTCTACATTAAGATCCGACCTGGAGAGGTTAATAAAAAACACAATAATCTTGTCTTTTTGCATCTTGACTCACGTAGGATGATTTCACTGTGCTATTACTGCATGCACTACCCCACTAGAAAGAGCTCATGACAGTCACTCTATTTCACGGTTTCACAGTTGTTTAAATTACATCATTGTCTCTCTTGACGTGTCCCAAACAGCATAAATAGTCATTTCATGGTTTGATGAAAGAGTATTCTCTGAGATTTATTTGCTGCACAATGTGCGACAACTGAAGAGGCGTATTTTCTCAGTCATTATTTATAGCTCTGAGAGCTGCTGTTCTTAAATATTAGACTGGTGGGTCATGCTTTTGTTCTTCTTCTCCACTTTCTCTCGCTTTCTGTGGTGGCTTAAAGGCCTAATTAGACAGACATGAGGACACTTGCACCTACATCAAGGATTTTAGGGCCACATTATACTCGCTCCCGTTTTCTTCTCCTTAAAATTATTATGATATGCTGTTTTTTTTCCGCCATTCTTTGGCCTTGAGGGTGTGCGGCGTGTGTTTTACATCCACTGTTAAACTGGCATTGACATCTTCATGGTGAATACAAAGGCCGTCCAGTGCATATACTTTGTTCTGCATATCTATCCTCTTAAGTCAGCTGTCACTTCAGATTTTCCTGCAGCGCTATCATTGTGTTTTAAAGCCCTTTTATTCTAATCTGTCCCCACAGAATGTTTTTTGTGCGGTGAACAAAAGTTGGCCTCTCCTTTTGAAAGGTCGACTCCTTATGTTTAAAGACCTGTTATATTGCTAATAACCTATTGATTTGAAAGCGTCTTCTGCTGCTCGTGCCGCTGAGCCTCTGATGGAGTGAGCGCATGAGCGGCTAATTTGCAGGTTGGTTAGAGATGGAAAATCTACGTGACATGGCTGACGCAAGAATATATTTCTACAAGTAAACAGTAAAATGATATTGATTTTTCCATTGCTGCGGAGTAAACACAATTCACCCTGCCACCATCTTTCCCCGGGCACTCACTCCCCTTCACTCCCCTTTTTCTTCTTCTTCACCCCTGCTCCTTCACCGCTCAGTATGAACAGTTTGAGAGCACCATAGGCTTCAAGCTGCCCAATCATCGGGCGTCAAAGCGATTGTGGAAGGTCTGCATTGAGCACCACACCTTCTTCAGGTAGGACTCGATCACCACAGACACAACCTAGTCTGCACTGTCGTAGTTGAACCCTGCATGATCGGTTGACACATAGACTGTACATAAAGACAGATGACTTCACAGCTCCCACAAGTGAAACTTAATCACGCGAATCACCCCCTGGTGGCTGGCAGCAGTAGGCTACATGTCTTAATCCATGCCTTCCCCATGTGAGTGGATGGGACATGGACATAGTATTCTGTCATCTTATCACACTAGTTTGTCTAAGTCCTATTTTTTAATGAATTATTTAATGGTATAAAAATGGCATGAAACAAAACTAACCAAACTCAAGTAGCTAATGTTGTCTTTATTTCTTCCTAAAATCCAACTCTCATAATGTAGTACTTTTCAGAAACCTTCACAGGAAGTCAGTTGGAAGTTAAGGTCCAAAAAAACAAAGCATTTTATGTCTTTTCTTATCAAACTCTAAAGTAATCAAGTCAAAGATATCAACAAGGAGCAGAATCTGAATATTTGTTGTATATATATACAAACTGAACCTTCTCGCAGGTTGGTTTCTCCAGAGCCGCCTCCCAAGGGCTTCCTTGTGATCGGCTCCAAGTTCCGCTACAGCGGGCGAACCCAAGCCCAGACCAGACAGGCCAGCGCTCTCATCGACAGGCCTGCCCCACAGTTCGAGCGCTCCGTCAGCAAGAGGTACTTGCTGCCTCGGAGCATTGATGGAGGTGAGTTTCCGGACAATGGCTACCCTGAAGTTCACCCATGTTTCCTGTGAGGCAGGCTCCTGCCCCATCGGGTTTGAGGAAGGGATGCATGAAAACCTAATCGTTACCTCACACACCATGTAAATATTTCAGCAACAGGACTTATGATTTTGTGCTATGGCCCTTAAAGTGAAGAGGGTTCCTCCCTAATCTCTGAGAACAGAGATCAAGGCAGGTTTGTGCCGTGTTGTCTCCTAAGAAAACTTTATATTTATTTTGAGATATGTGGCCCTGTTAAATTTAGTCCAGTCGATCATATAAAAGTCAATTTTACCATCCTTTAACACTTTATCACTTTATCACCAGCCTCAGCTCTGGGTGATAGCATGGACCAATTGTCACAGCGAAGCTCCAGTGAACGCACACAGTTCATGTCCAGAGAAGACCTAGACCAAGAGGGGAGCCTGGATCTGGACCATGAGCAGTACCACTATCAGGACCAAGACCAGGACCAGTTCACAGATCAAGAGCTGGAGCCGCATGAGGGTCAAGAACCGAATCAGATGCGGTGCTCCTCAACGCCCACAAAGACTTTAGAGCTTAAGGTACAGGATGAGAAAACACTGTTCATATGGCAGGGATGGGCAAAGATACATCCAAATCTAAATAAATGTATTCTTGTATTTAAAAAATACTCTTCCAAGGGAGCATGAAATCACTTTTTAAAACATATATACTATATATACATTATGTATATCAGCATATTTGAACTATATTTTCAGCAGTACACTGACTCAGTTGATTAAAGGTACAATTTGTAGAATTTTGTGATATCGAGTGTTGCAATTTCATGTTGCAGCTGAACACTCCTCACCTCACCAAACATAAAAGAGAACCTGTGGTAGCTTCAGTTGTAATAAAAATTCAAAAAGTGTTTATTTTGTCCAGTCTGGACTAATGTAAAAAAAATGGTGGCCTCTGTAGAGAGGACCCCTCAATGTAAATATAAAGTATTTAAATATAAAGAAAACTACAATTCATACAATTTAGATGAAACACACTAGTGAAAACATCATGAGGATTATTCTACATTCAAGTTCCCTTTCACCTAAATCTAAACACACTGGACCTTTAAATGGACCATTTTTGAGAGCAACAGCTAAAGTGACATGCAAACCATCAATCTGACATGGAACCAGTCAATAGTTCAAATAGTCTGACCTACAGTACCTGTTTGGTAATGAAGGACCAACCTTGCAGTAATTCATAAGGAGACAACTAACAGCACTTTTAGAACAATTATCACGAAACACAAAACAGCCCTATACACTTAGACTTAGAGAGGTTGTGAAGTGGTGGATGGGATAACAACCTGTTGTTTCATGGCTTTGCAGCACAACGTTGTTAACATGACAATAATATACAAAACATGTTTGTGTTTACTAAGTTAAACCATCTTGTGGTATTATAAAGTAATGTTGTTCAACAAAGGGAAGCATGTACAGATTAAAAAGTAGCTGTCCCAACATTGAACCTTGTGGGACCCCTGGGAGCTTTTACTGAGCCACAGCATTATGAGTCCGATGTTTACATCAATGTCAAAAATAAAAATATTGCAAGTGTGGAAACTAACTCACAGTTTTCAGGATGGTACAGAGGAGCACGCAAATGCAGTTTCTTAAGCTCATCTTTTTAAAAAGCATACAGCACTCACTATACCCCAAGACAGAGAAATCCCTCATGAACTTTTGACTAACACTTTTCATCCTTCTCTCTCACATCCCCTTTCCTTTAAAACTGTCAACAACTTCCCTCTTGAGTCTCATAAGGGTTTTAAGTACGGGTCCTCCCAAATACTTGATGTGACCTGCTGCAGATGTTGTTTTCTTCAAACCTTTAACAGCTCTTCACCTCTCATTGCTGTTATCGTTAACTCTCCTCTAACTGCTGCTCTCTTTCTTTGACCCCACCTCATCCTTCCCTGCAGAGTGAAGAGGCAGGTTCATTTGTTGACTCAAAGCCAGAGGTATTTTTGTGTGTGTTTTGTATGGTGTTTGGTTATTGGAGGTCATGCACGACCTGTCTATTTTTTGTTTTGATTGATTGTTCCTGGCGGGGATGTTATCTCTTTTCCTAATTTCCAGGATTCGCCTGAGCAAAATCCATGGAAGCTGCATGAATGGACAAAATGTTTAATATCCATTTATTGAGGCTCTTCCTTTTCTTTACCTCTTTTTTCCCTCTGTCTGCCCATTGGGAAATACTTTTAGTGGAAAACTAGATTTTCTTCATTAGCATTTAGCTCGTATCCAGAGTGATTTGGACAGGCGTCTTTACTTTGCTGAAGAGCATGGATCTTAAACAATGTCTTGAGTGAAATAAGACGGATCAGTAGAAGAATAAACAAATGAACTTTAATGGCTGTGAAAGATTGAGTGAATCAGTGTTGCTAAAAACCTCCTAGCAGCTGAGATGCGTAAAAATCTCCTTATGTAATAATTATTTAATTAAATGAATTAAACAATTTGGAAACAATTGTTTTAATCTTGTGAAGATACGCAGAGCCATCTGTTGTGAATTATTTATGGTAAAGATTATTCCAGTGTATATAGAGCATACAATTTCATGCAGGTGTGTGTGGTAGTATTATTAAGTACTGTGCGAATTATTGATGTTGCATTAGTCATTAAAGGATCTGTTCATTTGTGGTTTTGTAAAGTCTTTGGATGAAGAATCATCCCTGTGCTCCAAGCACTTACGTTCAGTCAATACATGACTGTATTAATTATCAGATGGCTGACAAGGAAATGGATTGCCCCTGTCTTCTGGGCAGAACATTAAATGGCTTAACAGTCTTAGTCCAAAGCCTTGATGGTGTCAACTGTTTTAGCTCTGTGTGTGTGTGTGTGTGTGTATATGTCCGACCGGCCGCCTGCCTTTTGACTCACCTGCAGCACTTTACCTCTTTGTCTCTGCACGCATCCGCCCCCTCCCAACCCCCTCACCCTTCAATCTCCTGCTTTGCCTGATAATACCTTCACTTCATCTCACTGCCCCACTTTGGGCTCCCTCGTCCATCGGACTAGGATCTGGCCACCCCTCGGCCCAAACAGGAGGTACTGCTCGTCTTTTATGGCATGTGCTGTGTTTGTGTGATGCTCACTAGGTGGCGCTGTGTTTTCCGGTTCATGTTTGTGCCTGTCAAATACTTTTGAGTGCACAGACAACATGCACCATTTTTTATTGTATGTCAGTTTCATATTCATGAGAAATATTAATACCGGATAAAACTTCTGTTAACTCTCCCTCATTAGTCATTGAATGAAAACCTATTTACAATATTACCTCGACCAAGGAGGTTAGGTATTCATCCATGTCTGTTTGTTTATTAGTTGGTTCTCAATGTTTGAATGTTTTTGAGGAAGATTACACGAAACAAACAGATTTTTATGAAACTTGGTGGAAGTGTGTGGGCAGATCTGGATCAGGGGGTGGCATCCAGGAATCTTTGAAACTTTACTTTGTCTTTCTTTGTTGTTTTTCAACATTTTCTCGTTTTAGTTTTCCTAGGGAAATAATTTGTGGATCTTGATTAAATATATCAGGCACATTTAGGAAACTGATATGTATGAGTGCGTAATTTAAAGGGACTGTTCGGAAAAGTTTGTCCCAGAGGTTCAGAGCTTTTAAAAACTGAACTTTAACTCGATTTGTGATTCAAGTTTAAAAGGTAGAATAAAAATGTTGACAATCTGAGGGAACCATAATGAGGTCCAAATCTGTTTCTGGTCATCATTAAGACGCCTATCGTCCAATCATACGATGCAGCATTCAATTCATTTTACAGCAACGTCAAAACACTGAAAGAGTTGTGACTCATGTTGCTTTGTTTCCCTGATGTGGCCTCTACTCTGTGAAGCAGCAGTTCCTGGATAAGCCAGAAGATGTTTTACAGAAGCACCAGGCCAGCATCAACGAGCTGAAGAGGGCTCTGAAGCAGCCCAACAGCAAGATGGCCCAGAGGGAGAAACGCCTCTCCTCGGCTACCCCTGCTGGTGGAACCCCTGAGTGGAAAACAGTAAGAATAAAATCCTGTCCCCACGTTACTCTCTTCACTTTGCCACCATTATTTTAGTGTTTAAATGTTGTATGGTCATTGTTTTCATTTTCTGTCTACTCTTAACATTCTCTGTCCAAATGTTTAATCCCACAGAGAAAATTTGAAAAATAAATAAATAAAACATATATTTATGTGAGGGAACTATATAAGAGCAGCGTACAGAGCCAGGCTAATGCAACTGTCTACTGTATGTCAACATAGGCGACCACTGATGGCAAATTGATTGTCAAGCAGGATGCTCATGATGGAGCTCTGGATGCTTACTCTAAAGAATCGAGTAAGACGCCGTCTATGGTTAGAAACACGTTTGCATCTTGGACTGAAGCGAGCATGAACAATTGTCAAACACTCATAGACTCTTCGAGAACTAGACCCCAAACTTCTCTGGAACAGGAAATAGACTTTACTAGTAGGGGAGTAAGAGATCCGAACCCAATGGATGACACCTCAACATCTAAAAGGCATCACGACTCTGTATTCTCAAGACACACCTTTCAAGAAAATGGATACGGATCATCCCCAGATAAGCAGAGGAATGATGATGTGAGGCTTTGTCTGTACGAGCACAACAGTCATCTTGACAGGCCGAGGAACTTCGAGAGTCCCACAGTGCTGGAATCTCTCCCAAAAGACGATGGGGTCAGGATTGAGAGAGATGACAGGGACTGGAAAATAAAAGACCAGAGCCCAGCAGGAAGGAAAGATTGTGACAAAACCGGGAGCTCACACTCAGAAGTCACTAAAGTAGTCCCTCTCAAGCCACAGCGATCAAAGAAGTCTTTGAATAAAGAAAATAAAGGTGATGTAAACCCTCAAACCCAAATCCACTCTGATAGAGACGTCTTTGTTGCAGCTGGTGACGTACAGATGACAAATTCAAAAGACGCATCCTGTGAGGCAGAAAGGATACTCGAGGATAATACTCCGCTGCAATCTGCCACAGATGTCGTCAAGGAAAACACAGCAGCTGCCAAAAACCACAGTGAGGCTGCGATGTTGAATGAGCAGCAAACTCAAATTTATCAGCAGATGAAGAATGAGTTGTTTCGACATCAAGAGCTCAGAGACCGCAGCGATGCAACAGGGCAAAATCACTGGACAAGAGGAGGAGGCGGAGGAGGTGTGCTGTATGAAGATAATTTTCAAAACAACTCTGAGTTTAAAGAGAATCTCTTTTCTGGCTCCAAGTTCCCAACAGCTCCCCCCAGAACTCTCCCTTTAAAAACGCAGTGGTCCAGAGACAGGCAGAGCAACATGGACAACAGCCACATCCACTACAGGACGCCCGGCCAAGAAAGTGCCAGGAGGAAGCAAGCGGTAAACCATCTGCCCTCCCCACCCCCCACCCTAACCTGTTTGTCAATCATCGGAAAGTGAAACATTGCATGAGCTTCAGGCGATGTGGTGCAAATCTTGTTTTTAACCATCTAAAAACAAAGCCAAAACAAATCCACACATACTTCAGAACTCATGTGACTGTGTATGACAAAGCAAAAAGTCCACGTTTCCTTCGCATCGCATCATTGACCGACTCAATTTACGTCCATGGCCCAGAGAGCTCTTTGCTTTCCCTTGTCCCCTCCTCCGCAAAGCTTGACATCTGCTTGGCCATCTCAGAACCCTGCAGGCCTTTAAGCAAACTTCCCATTGCTTAAGCTTCAGCCGTTTTTTTATCCCACCTTAACTTGCCACGTTAACACCTGGTCTCTCCTTCCAACATCCTCACAGAATGAAAGGGGGCTGCTGTTGCAAGGAGCCCCAAGACCTTTCCACCATTTTTTATTTAAATCTTTTTATTTTATATATAAATGGTTGAGAAGGGCATTTGAACCAAATGTTCTGCCTTGGCACCTCTGTAGCAATAGCAGAAAATGAAAAAGGTGATTAGATGTAATCACAGGGCTGCAGACCTGCCAAACCTCATCAGGGCTCAGGGATTCATATGCCACATTTATGAATATGAATACCTTTTTCCTGAAAGGGATTTTTAGAAATGTAACCTTTCAGTGCATGGCATCACCATTGCACTTGCAGTCATTTTGATGAAATATGTGAAATATATCCTGTTTGCATGCTTCTGACAGTTGCCTTCTGACAGATGTTTATCGTGCAAACTTAACATAACCTCTCAGTTAATTGATAAATGCTATTAGTAATAATGCATTGGAAACCATTAACTCTAAAACGGCAAATTATCGTAATATCTTAAAATAACAATAATCCTTTTTTTTTGGTGCTGCAAAGAAAACCTCTTAACTCTCTGCTTCTGCTCCTCCTGGTTGAAACTGTATTGATTGATTGAATTACACATACAAGCTATTGATATAAATTATGATTTGTAGCTGTCACTTCTAGATTTAAATTCTGGATTGATGAATTAGCTTTATTCCTTTTCTCTTAACCTTTCCTTGCTGTTTGTTTCTCTTCTCTAGGAGACACCTCCCACACCTGCGATTCATGAGGAGCCTCTCAGCGATGTGAGTCACCACTCAGCTCCACCACTCTCTTATGTGTTTGTTCTCCTTTTCCTCCACTGTTCTGGAAATTAAACAAACCGCACTTCCTTGTTTGACACAACCAATGGTGTAGCAATATTATTTGTGTGTGTTTGTGTGTGTGGACAGTTATGTGACTGAATCTCAAGCCATGTGTGCATCAAATTTGTAAATGTGGAAAAAAAGTCTGCAATTGCATGCTGAGATTTGCAAATGTGCACAAACAATCTGCAAATGTGTGTATACGTTTTTTTTGTATCCAAAAGTGTGCATTAATGCATACATAGATACTATTGACTGGAAAATGAGATGAAAATTTACAAAAATTGGTTCTGACATAACCAAAATATTTAATTTTTCCATATTTTCTTCATAAGGAAATGTCCCTGAAGTGTGAAATATTGATTAGGTGTTTAATATCTCCATGTTAATGTGTTTTCTGCAGAGGGAACCATGGGAAAGGCGCTTGGGCTCTGTATCGGAAGATGACCAGGACCAAGACATCCTGTACCTGAGGGAAACCCACCTGGGCATCGAACGCAAATGCTCCAGCATCACGGTCAGCTCTACGTCCAGCCTGGAGGCCGAAGTGGATTTCACCGTCCTCACTGACCTGCACACAGGCATGGAGGAGTTCTCTAGGGGCATGTCGGAGCTGGGAGAGAGGGATCTGTCACCTGATGGTGGTCTGTGCCTCAGCATCGACTTACTTCAGCAGCACGGCCCTTCAGAGCCTCCTCCATTAGTGTCAGCCCCTCTTTCCAGAGGAGCCAGCAGCAGCCCTCCGGCTAAACACACCCAGACTGAAGAGGTCAGAGGAGAGGTCAAACGGCCCGATGTTCAGGTAGACCGAAGTTTTCATGTAAACTGTTTTTAGCCCTTAAGCGGCTCCCACGGTGGCTGAGACGTTTCACACAGCCACATTTACAGAAAAGACGAATGCAAAAGCCACACAATGGAAGCACAACTGGCTTTTGCAGTGTTGTTGTGGCTTTTACATTCATATTTACCTGTAGTACACTTGTGTGAGATGTCTCGGCCACAGTAAGCTCCTGATTCGTTTGCTTGATTTGTTCAAGCAGAGAGGAAAACTACTTAAAAATGTGAATCAGAGGTTTTTGTGTGTGTGTGTGTATGTTTGTGCCTGAACACACTACCACAAAATGAAATCTAGGCATCATATGTCATGTTTAATGTCACAGTCAGTAGAGTGAAATCCATCTAAACAGGCCCAGCAGTCCCCCCACAAAACCACATTTAAATTCACTGGATCCCGTTCACCTAAATCTTACACACTGGACCTTTAATGCCAATCTGTTTGTCACATTACTGTCACTTATGTTTGTCTTATTATCTATGCATTAATTACTTCAATGAATATCATTATTTTGCAAGTAAAGTGCTTCCAGCTCCTTCCTTGTTTACCCTCTTCACTTCAGCAAAAGGTGAGGCATGTTTCCAAAATGAACGCTTTCCTTTTTTTTTTTAAGCCTGTAGTTCCCAAAAAACCAAAGAGATCGGTGCCAGTGTCGTCGTCAGTTGACAGAGAGCAGTTGCACAGAGAAGCTGGCCGAGCCCCCGCTGTCACGCCACTGAGCAGGGAAGCCAGTGATCTCATGCCCACACCGGCAGTGAGGAAGACGGATGTCAGGACGGAGACTCAGCCAAATGGGTCAGAGGTCACCACAACCATCGTGGAGTTCACAGATCAGGTTCATTACATATCCACGAAGAAGAAAAATACTGGAACTGAAAAAAAGGAGGTGGTATGTCAGTTGTTCTGAATAAAGCAAATCAAATTTTCTGTTTCAGGATCACGGAATCGCTGGCCTAAGTGAAGTTTGTTACTCTACGAGACAGAGTGTTTCCCCTGTGAGTACAAACAATAGGACCTCTCCAAATATAACTCAACCTGCGGCAGAGTCAGTCAATCTCAAGGGTTTAAACCTACTTTCAAAGACTGGATATTTTAAAATTCCAGAAATAATTACTGTGCAAATGGTCTGTATTTATCTAGTGCTTGTCTAGTCCTGATGATCACTCAAAGCACTTTACAGTACATTTCGGCATGCGGAATAGGGGGAGACTGAGATTTTACCACCAACCTTCCTGTCAGGGGACGAACTCTCTAATCCCTGAGCCACGGTGTGTGTGTGTGTGTGTGTGTGTGTGTGTGTGTGTGTGTGTGTGTGTGCGTGTGTATGCGTGTGCGTGTGCGTGCATTTTAAGCATAGACCTTACAGAGTCCTCCTTGGCCAGGCCTGTTTGAGGGTTAAAACTTGGTTTTAGGGTTAGAACTAGATTTAGGTTATAGTAAGGGCTAGGCATTAAGTTTGGAAGTTTAAGGTTATGGTAAGGGGCTAGGGAATGCATTATGCCAATGAGTGTCCTCACAAGATAGTACAAAACCATTACAAACGTGTGTGTATGCGCGGTATTTGTCTAATGCTGCGGTCCATTGCCTCCTTAGGTGCACATGAGCAGTCTTGGCAGAGAGTCGTCAGGGTCGCCCATCCTTGTCACTGAAAACGTTACCTCGGCTACCACTCACGTCTCCAAGGTTTGAGCACCTTAAATTAAATCTTATAAAACACCCAGTTTGATATGTAACTGCATGTGATTAAGTGGATTCAGCAACATGACGACATGCAGTCTTCAGCCTTTTGAAGTATATGGCTCCACTCTTAAGCCTCTGAAGCGCTGTTTCAGGTGGGTTTTGGTCTCTGTCTACATTAAATTTAACGACTTGTTTGAAAGTTGTAATTCTCTGGATTACACCTGCACACGGCTTTTTAGTCTCCTTGTGTCACGACAACACCTGGCAAGCCATGACAAGCCATATATTACCTTTGTATGCTTTTTTTTTTTAAAAACATAAATTTTTGACCATGTTTGTGTATTTTGTAGTATGTTGTCTTCAGTCTGACTGTCTGGTGGTGAGGAAGAAGAAGAAGAAATGCAACAATTTTATTTAGGTTTTATTATTTCATTTCCAGAGTGTCTGATACTGAGTTAACAGAAGAGTCATTGTGTGTTACAGACGGTGAAAGGAGGATATTCAGAGACCAGGATCGAGAAGAGGATCATAATCACAGGAGACGATGATGTAGACCAAGAACAGGTAATAATACTGCTAATAATACATGTTATTTGTATAGCACTTTTAACAACGCTCAAAGACATTACATAAGATTAAAAAACAGAAAGCAGATGAAAGCAAATAATTAGTAGTTGTTGGTTTTGATTTTTGCAGTTGTGGAATTCTGTTCACTATATTTGCTGAATGAAACGATTACAGTAATTATAATATAATCTAATTATCAGAATAGTTGCTGATATCTGTCTATTTCATCTATTTGCTTCAAGTCTATTAACAAACATTAAACAAGTCACATATTTGAGGCACAGTTAGAAATCTTATCTTCAGAAAAGAAGATAAATCATTGGAGAATTTGTTTGAAGTATTCAAGCTTTAAACACACAGATCACTCTGACTCTTTGCCTGCAGGCTCTGGCCATCGCAATACAGGAAGCCAAGCAGCAGCATCCAGACATGCAGGTGACCAAGGCGGTCGTTGTCAGGGAAACAGAATCGTCCACTGAGGATCGACACGGTGCATCAGAGGTACAGGTGCCATCTTGACTCTAAACAGATAAAAATCTGGCCAAGATTTAGCCCCACAGCCTCTTTGATGGGGGGGGGGGATTTAAGGTTGACTGTCTCTTCTCATCTGTCTGTAGTGCTGATTCGCTGTGACGAGAGCGCCCCCCTTTGGACCAGAAGCGCCAGTGAACTTGCCGCCCAACATCCCTCCTGATAGACTACTGCCAGCGGTGCTCAGACGGAGCCTCTTGTACATGATCACACACACACACACACACACACACACACACACACAGACAGAAAGCTGAACCAGGACTCCTTTCAAACGCTCCTGTTTGATTTCCATTCACTGTTGAACTTCACCTTTAACAGTTTGACAGTGAGGCTAAACTTCAATCGTGGTCTTCAATTCCAAACATCTGGAGCAGTTATTAATATGATATAAATAAAACCCCCTCAAAGCTCTCAGGACCTCACTTGCTTCAGTCCTCTTCAAAGGTCAAAGGTCTTAAGCGTAGAAGGGGTTTGTTTTGATAATGTGTGCAATCATTCACAATGTGGAAGTGACCCATCTCATACAGAGAATATCATCTAGAGAATTAGGAACGTGTAAAACAAACGGCCGTGCACACACATAAGTGTTTCTTACATGTCCGTCCTGCTGTATTTAATAACAAGAGATCATCCTGCTGTGTGTGTTGAAAACAAACCTCACTGTGTGTCCTTACACTTTGTCACAGACTCCATCACATGCAGCTCTGGTTGTGTAGAAGCATCAAGTGGAGCGGGGTTTAGTGAGAGCAGAAGATGCTCCATGTTTAGTTTTCACTCCTGCACACCCAGTCACATGAACTGATGAGCGTCGTCCCACCCACCTCACACTGACTGACGATACGCGATCGTGCTGGGTCCACCGTTGCCCTGGTGTCCGCTCAGGACCAAAAAACAGAGCTAAGTCTGATCCACAAACGTCCCTCTGTCTGTTTTAGTTCACCATGATGTGTGGGTGGCACGTATGCAAGGACAACAAACCGCTGCACTGGGATGGATGTTGGTTGGATTTCTTCGTACAGCTCTGCACATTAGGAGTTGTTAATACACACGGTGTAGCTGTTGTATTTATTCCAATGGTGGCAATGTAGTTTCTGAGTTCCTCTCCCTCTCCCAGCCTTTAGACGTGCTTTCTGAATCCAGCTGGATCTAGTTCCACTTTGGCCATTTTCGTGTAGTAAGTACATAGAGTAGGATCACGCCCCTTGTTCAAGCATCAGTAAAACTACTATTTGAGATAATACTTGCATGATGATTTCTTGCATTATTGGATTGTAATTGAGTAATATGGATATGAGAAGAAGGATGGATCACGACATCCAGGATCATGAAGGAAAATCACACAGATGTAAAGGCCGAATAAAAATCTGAAGTCAAATCTAAGCTTTGACGCAATAGAGGAAATTAAGCTTCCTGACAGGAAATGAGGAGTAGTCATGGGAAAATGTAGGAAAGATCGAGCACACAATGTTTTCAGGTTGTTTGTTAATCCCCATGTCCAATAATAACACATTAGCTACAGCTTGTTCAGTTACAGCCTTTTTTTCTTTTACATTTCAATTGAATATCCAGTCACTGGTGCTGATCAATATATCTTAACATATCTGTTGTTAATTGAAGCCCCCATGAAGGAACACTAAGTAACAGCCACTTTCTGCTGAGGTGACTGATGTTTTTCCATTGTTTTTCTTCATCTTTTCTCTGCTGAACTCGTTTCGTGCATCAGAGGCTTTCAGACAAAGTGCAGTGTTAGAGATGAATAAAACACACAGTATGGGCAGCATCCTTGAATTTTACGTTGTGTGTGATTTGGTGCATGAATGTTAGCGGGATGCCATAGACATGTAGTGTGCCAATTAAGGTAGCAGTCAAATTGTACAAACTCTGATTTTGTATGAAATAACTTTATATGAACAATCTGCTTTTACTTTCACAAGTGCCCGAAAATCAAACACATAAACTTGGCATGAAAACGTTTTCCTTTAAAATTCTTGTCTCCTCTTGCAAAAAGCTATGTAATGTATCAACACCCGCAGCAGCAAATCATTGGATTAAGAAAAAAAAACAATGTTAAAAACAGTCATGTCAGGTTTATGAACGGTGTAACTTTGGCTTTCAGACACTAAACTTTACAGTTAATGTTTCACATGTGCAGTGTAACTCCTGTCGTGTTTTATATTTTGGTTCTCACTCCTAAAGTGACGTTTTCTCATGGATGTGGGTGTCAAACTGGAAGGTGTGGAGGAAAAAAAAGAATAATGCAGTCGTGCAAATCTTGTACTGTGTATTTGGTGGCGTTTGGTGGATTGTGACGATGTCAATTAGTTAATGGCCATGGGTTGTATGTACACTAGGGGGCACCAGTTACCTAAAAGATGAGCGCTTTGCAACAACACCGGGAACAATCGACTGAAAGTCCTTCTCACTATCGTTCACTGGGGGCAAAATGATCCACATCATCCTGGGGTCAGTCTGGAAGGTCACACTCACCTCCCCTCGGTCCAGAATGGGGGCACAAGGAACTCTGACAAGTCGTGACCTGAACGTGATTTATGACACTTGGCTGCAGTTGAGGCTCTTGGTGCCTGACTGATTGGGCGACCTCTGACTGACCCTTAAACCTCAAGCAGTCCTTTCTGTAAAGTGCCGTCTTCATCCTCCTCCACAGCAGCTTCGTCTCCTCTGCTCTTCATTGCTTGGTGCTGTATCTTTGCTGTACATTGTACTTGCATTCCTTCCAAATGAATAAACAGGAGAGAGAAAAAAGATAAGAGGAGAGAAGAATCCCTCTGTTTGATCTCTACCATGTTATCAGTGTTTGTCTCATCATGGCTGGTATGTGCATGTTTGTCTTATAGGCCTAATTATAGTATAATAGGGTTTAGGGTACTTACACAGTTGAGGGCGTGTGTGTGTGTTTGCATGTTTGCATGCATGCACATGTGCGTGCAAGCGTGTGTGTACTTATCTCTTTGAGGACCAGGTTATTTTCAGTAAGTGGGGACATTTTGGCCGGTCATCACAACTTCAAAGCACTGTTTCAGGTTAATGTGAGTGTGTGTGTCTGTTTGTTTACATTAATTGTCTACCGCCACAGACTGTTGCTTTCTCAAGTGCACATGGGCAGCCTTAGAACAAGTGAATCAGGTCATCATTGAAAATGTGACCTCAGAGGTAACAGGCATGTGTGTGTGTGTGTGTGTGTGTGTCATGGTTTAGTAAGGAATAATACTTTAACAAATTAAATTAAATGACTGCATAAAAAAGGTTGATAAACAGAGCAAAATTAAATCTGTTGTAACCAGTGCATGTTTAAGTACTAACTCTTCCAAGTGGTCCAAGCAGTAATTGCTGCAAATGTATCCTAGAACCTAAAAATAACAATGTTGAACCTGTGGGAAAAGGATTTCTATGAAAGAGAAGTGACTGTAGATAATCCTGAGCTATGATTACTAATTGTTAATTCTGACGGCCATGCAGACACAGTAGATATTGTGTTATAGAACAAAGTGATACTCTCCTGGGTGGGTGTCATGAGGCCCAAACAAATCTTAAGAAAATGACACTGTTTATAGGCGCAGATCTGCAGATAATGATTGCACTTACTGTACAAGTATCTGATATCGATCAGGAGCATCAATGGAAGAATAACAGACTCGCTTGTGTGATTTGAAACAGGAGATAGGCCAGTAACCATGGTAACAATGACCCTAAGCACAGACATAAATCTACAGCAGAGAAGATTAAAGAAGTTGAAATGTACTGTATTAGTCTCAAATATTTACACAGAAGTTGTATAAAATGCTATTTTATGCTAATATTGAGCCACTTATTATCCTTATTTTTTTTTGTTAATTTAGGTTTTTGCACTCTTCTACCACTCTTACTGTTATTTTAGCCATTTTATTATATCATATTCATATATTTATTTTTATATCTCCCTTTTAGAGCGTGCATAAATCTCTAGTCGTTTCTAGCTTTTCAGTTGTTTTTGATTGATTGACTTTGTTCTGTTTTATTTCTCATGTCTGTCTCATAATCATGTTGTCAATCATATGTGAAGCACTTTGAAGTGCACTAACCTGCATGAAAGGTGCTATATAAATAAAGTTTGAGTGACTGATTTATTAATATATTACTCTGTCAAGGAAGTTATGTTTCGATCTGCATTTGTGTCTTACCTCTGTTGACACTTGTAACCCTACAGCACTGTTAGAGGGTTTCTTTTGGGTTGGGCTGATATGCAGCAACAACTGTAGCTTTTGTGCCAGTAAATTCTAAAATGGAGGACATTTTCTGAACTAACAAGATCATTTTTCTGCAGTTTCCTACTTTATTTTGAAGTTCTGATCTCCCTCATCTGTTGCTTTTACTTCCTGCCTTTGTGTGTTTCCCTCCAGGTTTGATTGTTGCCTTGACTTGTTTCAGCTGATTGTCCTGTGCCACCTGTCTCTAGTTTGTAATCACTTCAGTTTGTATTTAAGTCCTCACTTCTGTTGTGTGGGGTCGTCTCTTTAGTCTCTGCCTGTTTTGTCTGTCTCATGTCAAGTTCCTCATCCCGCCTTGTTTCTTTTTCTGTGTGCCTGTTTGTTTCCTGCCGGGCCTGCCCCTTATTTTGTGTTTTCAATCAATTCTGTTTGTTGTTTTTTTAATTGGACCTGCCTCCTGCCTCGCTCCTGCATTTGGGTCCAGCTGCTCTCTACAATTGTGACAGTTTGTTAGTGTGTCTGATAGTTAACTGGATTAGGCAAAAACAACTGAATGGTTTGCCAAGAAATTTAGTGGAAGGATGTGATACAGGTCTGGAAAGGACCCAATCAATTTAAGTGCAGATCTATTCTCACTATAATATTGAGAGATGTATACATATTTTGAGAATAAGGCATGGATCTTGATAAAAATAATCGTGTTTAGAGGAATGATATTTATGAGTGATCACTTTGGTGATGATCCAAACAACAATCCAGATCTAGTGAATGCAAATGTAGTTCCATGAGGGAACTATTGGGCGGAGATATGAGCTCTCTGAGTGACCTTCTAGTTTTTAAGTGTGACACAGGTGTCAAATTAAAGAAAATGCAAAAGTTTGATCGATAATCAAACAAACTCTTAATTTGACGTCCACTCAAGAGCTTTTCCACAGCATCTGCTAAAGTGGAGCATAAGTGCACTTATCCTGCTCTGACATCAAAGAAGGAAATGCAGAAAATGGCATTATGTTTATTAAAAGCAGGTTGATCCTTTCAGACATCCTAAGCAAACGTAGCTACGTACACTGACTGAGCTCATGCTGAACAGCAGCTGACCGTAAAATCCCCATCCCTTCTTTGTAATAAGCTGTGTTACAAAAGTCAGTATCACTCCCACTTGTACTGTATTACAGGGCTCATCATGAAAGACATAAGAGAAAGGCATGTTGTATCTGAGCCCAAAACGCCCAAAGATATGATCTACCAAGTAAGAAAAGAGGAAAAAACTCCATACCGTTCGGTAAGGTCAGTATTCATAAATTATAGTAGGAGTGAACGACAACACAATGCGGAAAAAGCAGAGGAGGAAAATAAATATGTCTCTTGAATAACAGCATGGATAATAATCATAAGACTTAAGGCTCATTTGGGACCTGAGGATTTCATACATACAGTGTACAACAATGTGGCGCACACACTGCTCAGCGTGCCTGTCACACACTTAATCACGGGTGATGAGCGAGGAGGGTAAGACACCGATTGATCAACACAAGTCTGCTGTTTACGATGAAGCCATACAGGGGGCGCACAAGTTGCATTTTCTCAACAAAGATACAACAGGTGGAACTGAACCGTGTCGGCTCAGTTACCTTTGGTTCGAGTCAGTGTCATGGCAACTCTGAGGTTTCGACGTAACGCAGTAAAATGTAAAAGTTATGAAGAAAATCCAGGCAGCGTTACAAAGATCCCAAACTCTGGTTTGTCAATAAGCAATTAGGCTAAGCTCCCTGTTTTGTTTTGTTTTTGTAGGTTTTTTGTGTTTTTTTTTTTTTTTTTTTTGGGCAGGGATTAGTAACCGTTGGTTTTCCTTCTGAGACAGTTCAGGGAGCTTTTCCCAAATAGAGTCCAGAGAGAGGAGGAAAATGACTTAATCCATGTTGTTGTCTTAAGTCGAGCTTGAATATATTTTCGCTCATTGAAGAATGAGTTGTGTAAGTGCTTTATGTCTCCTTCATCCCCACTTAAAATACAATCCCATCATCCGAGAAAGGTTCAGTGCTACATACATAAATCCTTTTAATAAAACCTGCACAGTCCAACAAAGAAAACCTATACACGCCTATTGTGCATCACAAAACTCCAAGCCTCCAAGGTGAAAACCATATTAGAATATCAATCGCAAATGAAGCAGCAGAGAAGGAAAAAAATCAAAGAGACTGCAGTCTGATTTCTGCGTCCTTTCAGTTCCATAAATGCAACTTCTGAAAGAACCAGTTTCCTTCAGCGACTCCTTCAGAAAGGTGGAGGAAAAGACTTCCTCACAAAGAGATTTCTGTAGAAAGAAGACACAGTAGGGAAGGGGAGAAAGCAGCTGGAAATTCTGCTGCCAGCCTCTTGTTGTCTTTGACCCGCTGTTTCCCCTCTTAATAAGCGTCTGTAGTGCCTGGTTCCTGAAGATGTTTGTCATAGCATGGCCGTGGCTGTGAGGATTAGGGCCGCGAGGTTAACCAAGGGAAATGCAGCGGCCTCGGGGGCTGCACCAGTGGCTATGGAGCCTGAAACACACAAAGAAATCAAATTCCAAATTTGCTTGAATTCTGAATGTCTGCTGTTGTGTATGGAAAAAAACTAAGGTTTCACATGAATCATCACAAGTTTTTCAAATCCATTCTGTGCAAAGGTGTAAGTGCACCTTTGCATCAATAGATGGCAGTAGTACATCTCGTCCAGTTATGGGACCAACTGACTTTCACCAGTGAGTCGTGCACAGAACATCCAAACTTTTTACATTAAAAGAAAAAAAAATCCACTTTTCAACAACCTGCTACAAGCAATATTCTCTGCATGTCTGAGCCTATGTTGTTGTTCAATGATATATGTTTCTGTCTGTGGATAAGAGACTGTATTTTAACTGCAGGAGATGAAAGAGATAAATGGCTTATTTGAAGTCTCATTGTTTTGACATTTAAAGGAAAAATACCTCATAAATATGAAAGATACCTATTTATCTACAGACCGCAGCCTCAGAAGATCATAATCAATCAATCATTTTATATAATATATATTTTATATTCATAAAACACAATTTATCTCATAGGGCTTAACAAGGTGAGACATCCTTTGTCCTTAACCTTCAACAAGAGTGAGGAAAAACTACAAAACACAAAACATAGAAACCTCAGAGAGAGGCACATCAGTGTAACTGAACACGTCAACAAAATGACAATATTTACAACACTGATTACAAGAAACAGTTTGTAGTATAATGGGAAAGTGTTTCAAAGTATTTATACACAAGACAATGTCTGATAGAGATGAAGGGAGCAGTGATAACTTGTTATAAATTATTGGTATGTGAGTTGGCATATTGTATGTCAAGCAGGCTTGTTGTATAGTCCATGATCAGCTGCCACCACGATCAGGATCAACCATGATCAGGATCCACCACCACAGTCAAACTATTCAAGGCAGCTGAAGAACATTTGAGTTTAAAACACTATTGTGGATTTTTACACATCGGTCATTGATGAACTCCAACAATGCCGCAGGCTTTCTCTAGGACTTCTCAGAAATTCATTCATATGTTTTCTCAAAGACTTTATTTTTCATGCTTGTGTCGGGACTGTCCCACCTGCTATCTTGGGGATGGTTATCTGGCGGCTGCTGATGCCTTCCCCTCCCTCACTGAAGGGTTTAATCTGGATGACATAGTCTTGGTTGACCGGCAGCGACAGCTCCAAGGAGGTGGTGTTGGTCTCCACCACACTGGGACGGCTGTGTTTGTCCTGGCTGTACATCACCTGCAGGAAGCAGGGCGGGGAAAGATGATGATAACGTGAGACATGGCAGGAAGATGCCTCCAACACAATGCATAGGAGAGGGTTCAGAGTCTTCTTCTTTACCCACTGACCAGAAAATCTGAGTTCTAGCTAAAGTTTTTTTCAGACAGCTCCATGAGATATCAGATTGATAAACCACATTTCACAAAAAAAGGAATAACCACAACTTGAAATAAAATTCCTTGAGTAATAATTAAAACATTAAGTATATTATGCAGAGGAGGCTGCTAACATGTCACAATATGGGAAAATCAACTGTTAACATCACTAAATACTAATTTCCTGCAATAACTTTCCCCTGAGGAACAAATTAAAAAGTTGCGTCAGGCTGAAGCCATGTATCTGAAAATAAAACGATGCAGGCACGTTATAAGAAGGTTATTATTTTATAAAAATATGCATATGCAGCTACATAATACAGGAAAAACTTCAAAATGAAATAAGGCTTCATGTTCTTCTAACTGTGAATAACAATACATCAATATCATTAAAATGAGTGCTTGTTTATATGAATGCAGTGTTATTGATATCATGATCAAGAGGCCACCTTAACCTTTAACCTACAAATCGTAATTTTAAGTGAATGTTTGTGCCGCATGTTATGAAACTCCTTGTGGTTGTTCCTGATATATCACATTCACAAAAACACGTGTGCACCGTGACCTTGACCAAACTAAACATTTGGACCAAATTTGAAGACATTCCCTCAGGGCAGTCTTCAGATATGGTGTTCACAAGAATGGGACGGATATTATACATTATAAAACATAATGCCTCCTGCCATTGGCTGTCGTCGGCATTGAAGGATAAAAAGTGAACTCAAATGTAATAAATGGATCAACTGACGATCTATAAAACCATTGGTGTATCACAGCTGCAGTCATTTCACTTTACACATGTAAAAAACATTTTACCTTATATCCTGTGACCTCTGACTCGTTCTCCAGAGCGTGAACTTGATCCCACTTTAGGATGACTTTGGAATTAGAGGTGTTCCACATTATTTTGACCGGGGCTTGACTAGGAGCTGGAGAAAGACAATGAGAGATGGTGAAGAGGATGGTGTTAAAATATAAGTGTATATATATATATATATATATATATATTAATAGAGTAGAAGAAGAGTGAGGTACATATAGCCTTTAATACAAGAAAAAGTCCTTCAGGTTAAAATAAGAGGAGAGGGAGCTGATGTGTTTTCAGGAATTCACCCTCAGCCTGAAACGTCATCATCTGCTAGCTTTGCCTTTAAATCACATATTGTTACCCTGCTCACATCGGTATAATGGCAGGAACCAATTTGTTGCAATGTAAAACAAAATGTTTAAAAATGATTTGGTCTAAATTATTTAAGCGAGAGTAAAAACCTCAAATAGATTTTCAAGCCTCAGCTATACACAATTTATTTTGGTAGGAACCACTGTATGTAAAATTGCCAGCAGATGAAAACATTACATGGTCTCTTTAAGGAGTGGTGAAAAATAAAATGATACAGTATGACAAATGGACCATGATAAAAATTAAGGAAAAAAATACACAAACATACACACACAGTTAATCCTCACAGTATGTACTGAGTCCTTACGTGGTTTCTTAGTTGTGACATTGACTATGATGCTCTGTGGACCCACTCCAGCGCTGTTGTATGCCTGCAGGGAAATGTAATAGGTACTGCTGCCCTCCAGATCCCTGATGAGAACTGAAGTCTTATTCCCCACTGTCCTGACCACACTAGCTGTGTCCTGCTTCTCCTTCTCACGCCAGTACCTCAGCTAAAAACATATAAAAGAAGAAAAAACAACAACACAGGTTATTCTTTATCAGCTTGAGACTAATTTGCAACCTCATACCTTCATCTGTAACTCCATAGCTGTGGGCATGAATCCTGCATTACCCTCATATACTGTAGTTCACTTCATGAATGAATAATCAGATAAGCACTATTCCAGAAGGCTGTTGACTATAGTCCACTATATTCATCCTGTTGTGTGGGCATGTGCTAGACTGACCTCATAGCCCAGGATGCGTCTGCGGTTATTACTCCAGGCCAGTGGCCTCCAGGTGACCTCTACCTCGGACGCTGATACACTCCTCACCCTCAGCCTCCCTGGAGCTCTGCTGGGCTCTGAGAGGCACACAGGATAGGGAAGAACGCATGGATTCGGTACACCCACACTCACAATCTGACTTTTTGAATGTACTGTAGCTCTATCCAATGTATCCATTCTGGTGAGTTAACAGGAGAGAGTGCTCTGACATTAAAAGTAAAGGGGAAAAAAATCACTGGAATTGATATCAGTGAAAGTGTGACTCTGTACTGTAGCATGTTTAGCACTGATACACCGTGATGACTGTATGCTTATCAATCTTACAGTGCTTATGTGTTGTATCTTGTGAGCATGAGTACGTGGATCACATGCAGATTAAATTACCGAAAAACTTCAGACTGGTGTGGATGTGTCTGATCTTAAGAAACTGACATTAGTCTCTGAACGTAAGCGAATAACTTGCCAGCTCTCAACATATTGGATTCAAATATTTTCAAATCCCAAGTGATTCCCAGCGACATGACTTTTTCTAACTGAGACGAAACAAACTGGTGAGATGAGCGCAGATGAAAAACACACGCAGACTCCAGAAATAACAAGAACATTTCGAACTTTAGCAGAAAGTTTTTTTTTCATGTTGAACCACTTCAATTTGAACAATAAGTTGATTGAGAAAATAAGTTTTCCTGGCTTTCACATTTCTCTGGATTTTCCAACCAGTTCATGAGACATAGAACATTTTGTTCGTCAATGAGTACACAGCAGAAGTTTTTTAAAATTGCAATTATTAAAACTGAAACTAAATGGAATGACAGAAATAAGACTTACTGAAAATAGGTCTGATCTGATGTTGCAGTGTTTAATCAGTGACACCATGTTATAGTTGTTCCCGCAACCCCACAGTGAAATGAAGTCACTCATTGACTGCAGCTATAATAGTACCCACCTTCCTCCGCTGAGTGAATGGTGGTCACTGGGCTAAAAGGGCCTTCACCCTTGTTGTTGTAAACCCCGACTTTGACTTGGTAAGGGGAGAAGGGAGGGATGCTCTCATTCTTGAAGACGTATCTGGAGGCATCTGGGGACGTGACGGCAGCCTGCATCCAACCTTGTGCCCCAAGTGGGCGGAAAGCCACCACGTAGCCGAAGCCTGGACCACTCTGCAGTTCCTCAGGCACAGGCTGAGGAGAAAAGAGATGACTCAAGATGACTGATATCAAAGATACTAATACATGGAGGAAATGCTGCAGTGCATGGATTACGGCACGAAGAAGAATAGTTCTGGGAGAGGTGCTATACTTGCAAGCCTTGGATGAATTTATCATTCTGTCAGATGAAGAGTTTTTATACTGATGGAAAATAAAATAGACATGTCCAAACAGAGCTGGAGAGTTATTCTTTACACTGTATACAATCCGGTTTCATTTTAAAAATAAATGAATGGCCAATTATTAACTTGAGCACATACTTCTGCCAAAGCCAAACAGTCCTTCATATGTATGATTCTTTACAATCCATGAAGTAAAAATGAAATGAAAATTCCTATTTCTCACAGAAAGTGATTTAAAAAAAATAACCAGATCTGCACCAGCATTTGTTGAGTTCTTCTCTGCTCCATCCATCCATCCTTCCCACAAAAGTTTGGAGCAAATTGGTTCAGTATTTTTTTGTGTTATAATGCCCACAAATAAAAGACAGGTGAAAGAAGTAATACAAATGTTCCAAAAGTAAATTTCACCCAATATAGAATCTTATAGTACACAATGGTGCAGTGGTTAGGACTATTGCCTCACAGAAATAAGTTTCTTGGTTCGAAATGTGAAGTTTGCATGTTCTCCCCTTGTCTCTGTAGCATTTTTACGGCTTCGCTCCACAGTCCAAAAACATGCAGATTGGGGTTGAGTTTATTGGAGACCCTACATTATGGAAAAAGTGTGAGTGGCTGTCTCTACATGTCAGTCTTGTGGTGACCTGGTGACCTGTCTCCCCCAATGTCAGCTGGGATTGGCTCCAGCGACCTCCTTCTTACAGGACAAGCTGTATAAATAATGGATGGATGGAGAGACCATTCACATGTGCTCACACAAACATAACTTGTATGTAAATGCATGTTTACCTCCCATGTGATGACCAACTCCGAACGCCCACCACCACCACCATTCACTCTGCCTGGAGTCACCCTGGGAACTAACAGATGAACCACAGTGAGAAGTATGAAGCTCAAGTATCATCATTTGAAAAGAAACTGTTCAGTTACACATCAACAAATGGGAGCTTGGTTGTTGGTGTTAAACATTTCCAGATTTATTGAAAGCTAAACATTTCTTTCATTGACACTTATACTCTGCAGTTGTCAAGCCATTTATTTACATATATAGGAGATTTTAATGGAAAGAATTTACATTTAAATCTTTTTGATCCACTTCTGTGATGCATGCTGGTTCTGACCTGAACATACTGTGTCTTTCATACTCTGCCCTACAGAGGTCTTTTCTCACTGCACACACTCACATACACACAAACTGTCTGATTGAAGCTTTGTTGTGAATTTGGTTCATTCATCTGCTGTGTGCCCCGAGGAAGAGAATTCTCTGCAATGCATTAGTCCAATACAGTTCTCTGAACGGAGCTCAGTGCCATCCTGAAGTAGAATCTCTACATAAACAGTAACAAGCATACTTTCCAAACAATCTGTGCCACTGAGGAAATGTAAGAAGCTGCTGATACATACGCGTGTCTTTGGTGCGGGTCTTTTTGGAGGGTTTGCTTGGCTCTCCTGTTCCAATGCTGTTGCTTGCCAGAACTCTAAACTCATACTCCACCCATTGACTCAAGTCAGTGACAGTGGCTGACAGCTGCTTCCCCCCGAGCAGCTCAGGAACTGAAAGACATCATAGGAATAACCTTTCATCAAAGCCCTGCAAGATCTACCGTTGAAAGTGAGCCAAGCCAGTAATTACTTATTTACTGTCATTTTATATATGCTGATGGAAAAAGACACCAGTCGCAACCCCTCTCGCTGTTTTCTTTCTACATAGTAAACATTCAGATAAAACCAGGGTACCTGTGGTAACTGCCTGCCACCCGAGAGAGAAGGGCGTCCTGGCCTGGATGGTGTAGCTGAGGATGGGGCTGTGGTTATCTATGCCGGGTCCCCAGGACAGCAAGGCAGAGGTCTCTGTCATCTCACTCACCTGACAGTCCACAGGGGGGCCTGGGGGACCTGGAGGGGTAATTTGTCACAGTTCACTCACAAAGGATGATATACGCTGTAGAGATTAATGAAGACAAGAGGCTGCAGAACAGAGTGGGTGGAAAACAGCTGCTAACACTCACTGAAAGCTGGAGAGCAAGACTGAATTTCAACCAGTCCACACTCTCATCTGAAGCTTGATTTGTTCGAACAAATGTAGTCTTTCTCATCTCATTTTTGTTTTTCTAAAATGCAATATTAACACTGTTACAGATCATAACGTGCCCTGAAGCCATAGTTCCCGACGCGGGAGTCTGATTCTCTACATTGCACTATGATTAACAAGATAAGAAAGAAGGAAAACATGATGAAATTTTCTGTTATACAAAATCATATTCATTTTTCTCCAATCTTTGCTTTTTTGAATGACCAGATAGTCCTATGCTCTTCGTAAATTGAATGAAATTTAAAAAAATCAAAGGCTAATGTGAAGAACAAAAAAAAAAATCACTAGTGTGTATTACTTTCTTACACTCTTGTGTATTACTCTCACATGTATGTAATCTGTGATTAGGGGTCTTGAAGGGATCATTTCTTTTTTTATTTTAAGCGTATCAGAAACCAACAAACCACTGTAACATAGGGATGTATTTGGGAAGGCAAATATGGAAATATACAGTGTCTGATGATACATGGCTGTATCATGGTGCACATCTGCCCTTCAACATGTGTCTCACATTGAAACTACATAGATACAATCGTCATATACTCAGTTACTTTGTTGACATGCCTCTATTTACAGTTAGAGACTGTTGCGATGCAGTCAGCTATAATGCTGCATCGTGACATCAATAACTGAAAGTTTGTTTCAGAAATGCTTTTAGTGCAAAAGATGAAGGACAGATTATGAGTGAGCTTTTCTCTTGTATCTCCAGAGTTGTTATCTCCGTAGCCCTGACACATTCACTGCTACATTGTTGCAGGGCATGTCAGATATGGCGTTGCAACACTGAAAATGTGTGAGCACTTTGTCACTGTGTCATATCCTCTTCACTACAGGTGAAGCAAAGCTACCTTAAATGTCCCATAAAATATCTGCCCTCAGCTTTACACTGGAAGTAGCAGTAGTGTATACAGAGGGTTGTCAGGGAATAATTTATCTGCTTCATTTCCTGCAATAGATTGGTTCCTGGCACCATCTATGAGTGAAGCAACAAACAATAAAACCTTATATATTAATATTTAACCTGAACTAGTTAAGTAATAAAACATGATTTGTATTTGAAAATTTGGTCTAGATAGAAATACATAGTTGAAATAGAGCAGGAGGATAGTCAAAAGTACAAATCGGAATTCCATGTTGCACAATTGAGTTGCATATATAATGAGAATTTTCATATACAAATAAAATTCATTTGACACGTAATAATAATAATAATAATTAAGATAATAAGGTTCTACATGACTGGACTGATGAAAATAGTTTTAGTGTCTATGAAAACATATTGTAAGTAATTGGATGTTGAAGTCTGATTTATTGTTTGGTGTTGTGAGGGGCATCCTTACCTCTGACTACCACATCGGTAGCAATAGAAACACTGTCCACTTTGGTCTGTACGGCGCACGTATATTTCCCAGCATGCCGCAGTTGAATGTTCCGAATCATGATGTCCCCGGCTGAGCGCTGTCAGTGCAGGAGTCAGGGGAGAAAAAGACAAAAACAAAACAAGTTAGGAAAAAGAAATATGATTTGCAAGTCTTAGATAAAAGATGAAAGTGTTTCAGAAACAAGTGCGATATGTAAGAGATTTCTTTTGACATTCAATTTATTATATACTGGAAGATAAAGGTACAACACAAATCCAGGGATACACCAAATAACAGACTTCAGATTTTCATGATCATCGGTGAGGTCAGTTCTTTGTGATGAATTAAAAAGCTTCTTTAAGCTCTATACCTTTTATTCAATCTGATTCTATTTACTTTGCACACATCCATTCAATGCCAATGTATTATTGGGTTTGAACTTTAAAGTTAGTGCTAATGCTGATAATGTCTCATCTATGGAAGTGAGGGACTGTGAGGCAGGATGAGACCCAGAAACTACTTTGATGTTAAATCCGGGACATTTAACAGAGATAAAAATTGAGCTGCTTCAAGTCATTCATGTCTCACTTTTTGTAAATTTTATATACAGAAGGAAAAACAGCTGACCGAGCATGCTTATTAAATCAGTTGAGACTCTAAGTCCAACAAAAATACATGACTCCTATGTTCTGTGCCTTTTAGATTAAGAATAATAATGAATAATAGGTAAATGATATTCTCTGTCCATCACACATCACATTTGTACTAATAAGGTGTCACGATTTGTTGTTTGATTAGATACATCGAACACATTCTGATACTTGATGTTTTTAAATGCTGTTTTACTGTTTGTCCCTCTTTGGTAAAAAATTTTCAGAATAATCCGTCAACAACATGGCTTTGTATTCCCACTTTAATGCTGCTCTAAACAAATGCCAAGTCTGTAAAAAACAGGTTCAGACAGCCGGGGTTTATGATGTCACAAGCCTAAGAAACCAATCCTGTCAACTTGTGGGTGGGGCTCAGTAGCTGCAAAGCCTCTCAACCGCAGGTGAGGATAGCAGAGGTGGGGAAACATTAACGTATTAATAGATCCCAGTCACAAAATGGAGGAAGGAAGGTGCAGATTTACATTCATGCCATTTCAAATCTTTTGAATGTGTAATTTAAGAAACACAGAAGCGATTCAGTGGGTGTAATAAATGAATGTAGGTTGGTATTAGGTAATACACATAGGTCTGCTGGATATTAGATGTAAGTCAGGTTACTTCAGATGAAAATGTTCGTTCAGTTTGTTTTTTTCGTGTTTGCAATGTCTTCCAGTTCCAGTTAGCATTTCTCATCCAGATTAGTCACAGCTGTGTCACACAGCAGTGTTGTCCTGCACAATGCATGGAGCATTGGACTATTGAGAGCCTAACACAAGTGAGAGGTTGCAGCCAACACTGGCCATGCTTGGTACCACTTTGTGTAGAGAGTGAGATAGGGCAAAATGTAAATATAACTGAGTGCATGATAAAGTAAAAATTAAACTGATTCAAAGATTGAAGGGGAATAGCTATATTGATGATGCCTACACCTTCCATACAGACCAATCACTCAGTGCTATCGTGCTTTGGAAGCTTTAACTTCACAAAAGTGAAACGCTGTCATATTCTGCTCTTACAGAAAATACAAACATGTCTCTTTCACTATAGATCTGGTTAGAATAATTATCCTCCATGATTATTCCTCATGTTGAGAGTGTGGTCGTGTCGTAGAGTCCATATTTAAATGAACTGCAGAGCTACCTGCAATTAAAAAGCTCTTCAAGATCATGTCGAGTGAAAAAAACAAAACAACAAGAGGTGATATAAAAGCCAAGACCTCATAATTGCTTTTCCTAATTAAAAGAAAAATATATTTGGTGTTAGATGATCAAATTAAATGCATGGCTGAGCATTTCATAATGAATACCTTAGTTCATTCTTTTTTTTCCTCATCGTAGGAGATGTTAAAAAGTGGAACAAACAAACAGAGAACTTAAACTACTTTGGTTGTATGCCTCCACCAACCAGTGCAGTTTCAATCTACATACATTTATTTGAGTTACATCTTAAACAACTAGTCATTTGAAGAAATTCCCCAAAGGCAGACTTGAGCTTTCATATTCAAGAGGCCAAGAAAAATGTTGTCAGGCTGCAACCTTTGACCTTATAAGACGAATCAGTTAATCCGTGAGTCATGAATGTTGAGCCAAATTGAAAACTGAGATTTTGCGTAAACAAGAACAATAATTGGCCTCTCTGTATAATTACGGCCACTTTACAGCCCCTGATTTAAAAGTGCTAGATCTCCCACTGGGTGAAACTCTTGCAATATGGCTTTTATTAAAGCCTGTTTGCACATGCTGCCCAAGTTATTTTTTAAAGAGGTAAAGTTAAAAGTACAAAGTCATAATGTTCAAGAGAACACAGAAAGTTCTGGTTTTTTATCTCAGGAAATGTTCCTTGGCCGATGTAAACATCCGATGCTTCAAAGATATTAGGTCTCTTTGCAATTATAAAGAGTTCGAAGGTCATGTGAAGACCTCAACTCTTAAACTTGTGTGTGTGGTTTCTGAAGGATACAGTTACAGTACAATGCTGGTCTGAAGGGGATGTTGATGTTTTAACCTGCAGACACAGAAAGATGGAGGATCTAAATACACAGGGGAACTTACCCCACCAACTTTTTCAAAATACGCCCCATGGCTTCCGAAGTGGATGAGCTGCTCATTGAAGAACCAGGTGAACTTGAGGTCAAGTGTGGGGTCGTGAGATACCTGACAGGGGAGCACAATGCTCTCACCCACGGTCACGTCTAGATGACCTGCTGGGCTGGTGATCACAGTTGGCTCTGGACACAAGGAGTATCAAGTCAGAAAGGTAAGTTATTACTATGGTTCTCCCTCGTCAAAGAAGATATACCCTTTTCTAGACCGTCTGCTATATAAATCATTTTTCACCTCATTCAACTGAAGTGTTTTTATTTATTTATGTTCTATATAAGAGGTATAATTGCAAAATATATGCCATACTCCTGTCCCAGATGTTAACTAAACAAGATGAATTGAGTCTGCCAGTGAGCTTTTATTGCATCTCTTTCTGTTATTTTCATAAATCAGAGCATGGTCTTACATACCACGAAACAGACAGAAGGGAAATGAGGAGAAGCTCAGCCATTACAGCAGGTCAGATCCGAGTCTATAATTTGACTGTTTGTGTCGAGACAAAAAGCCATCCTATTTCATCCTCAGCATGGTGTGCATCATCATAATCTTTGGTCTGTCTCAGCTGGGTGTCTCATTCGACAGCAGTGCGGAGAATATAGCACAGGAGGAGAAGCCCATACACCAGTCCACTATAAATTATGCATGCATGTCATATGCATCTAATGGACAGGCAAGCCAATGCAGTATGTCAGGGGGAGTAAAGGTCTATATTCAGCTCTGTCAAAACAAGCCAGCTTGTTTATCTCGCACCCCCTACGGAGAACCGACTGGCCATGGCAGTGCATTCCAGGTGAGTCTCGGTAAAGTTTGGCACCAGATGCAAAATGCGAAGAGCAAAACTTTCTGCCTCTGATTGCAGACCTGTCATGTTTGATGCTGGTTTGCCATTATGGACTGGAGGGAAAATCACAAATTGGCTCGTCCATTCCCTACATTTTGCACTGTGCGTGGCAACCTATGGAATGACAGTATATTTTTAACAACCATAACAAGATGAGGGACAGAATAAACTAGATTTTTATGCTCTGATATGAATCAGCACACAAATTGCTGGTACATGTTGTTATTTCTGAATATCCACAGTAAGCTTGATGTTCATTTTTAAAATATGAATATGTAATATGTAATTTAATGGTAGCTGATATCAACTCCTGGAGAAATCTAAGCAATGTTTTCACATAATGACCTATAATTAGACAGGAGGATGAAAAGTGAACCGCGTTCTGAATCTCAAGGTCCAGCACTCTTGCAGGGCCTGTCTGAGAAAATTTTTAAAACCTGCAATAATTAACATCACCACATTTTTATTAATAAGGCAAAGGTTTGTAAATGTTGCTTATGTACACATCCAGATTTGGAGCGACTTTATCTTGCATTTGGAATCATCATTCTAGCAACTAACTAAGTTGTAAGGACAGTATTTTCCTTGTTTTTAGCTCTCTCACCCACCTGGATCTTGGTGGACGTATGCACCCTACTGAGTGCCATTCTAGTTGCTTACTGCATTTGTCGGCTGTTTGGTGCTGGATAGCTGGAACACAGGGTGTTTTCAGAGTTGTTTTAAAAGCTGCCTGCTGTGGCTGAAAAACACAACTGGCCAGTTTGACACTGAGTTAAAACTCACTATGAAGCTGCGTAAAGCTGACAGCTGCTGATTTGGGGAAGAATTATCTGACACATTTAACATTGTCTCACTGTTTTCACTGCCATTTCTTACATTTTGTTCAGAAAATATATCGGGAAATATTGTTAACAAGCAAATCAGTGTCAGGCATTCCCTGTTTCCCACTAATCAAATCATGATGAGTTTTCTGATTCAGACTGTCACTTAGCTCTCTGAGAAATTGTGTTGAGAACTTTCACTCTTGTATGATCTTGTATTGATCAAGTAATTAACTTGTGAAGGAGACATTTGTTACTTGGAGCTTTCATTAACTTTAAACAATAGGATTTTGCATGCATACAGTGAATTAAATATTTTTTAAAGTACAGTGATTCTGCAGTTAAATTTATGCTTGAGTGTGTACTTGAATAAATCCCTCCATCTCTGACCAATATTCTAAATATGCACATTCAAGTACAGTATGTAAATAACAGCCACATTCATTCATGTAAAAAGGTTGTGACAGAAAAAAGGCAAATTGGCATCTGTGCGAACTAATTTGCAATTCAAAAACCATATGAAGGGGGAATCACCAAAAGGCATTTTAATAGAGCACTGTTGTTTAGAAAGACAGAGAAAACCCATTGCACTGCAGAAGTGTTTGATTTAAATGGATTGAAATCTTAAACAAACCGAGCATGGCCATGAACCACTGTGCAAAAAAAGCCATGAATTAAACATTGAGGTGCGTGAATGCAATGAGCCTTATGTCTCACTTCCTCCAGCCACTGCCACTCAGCCAACTGAACAGTGTATCCGTCAGGTAGGAAGAGGCTGGTCTGAACAGCAGCTCTGCCTGTTTATTCAGGAGGTGTGTAGTTAGGGTCAGTGCTGTTTAGTTTAAAAGCAAGACTGGTCAGTTATGTCCCAAAGCTCTTCGTTTTGTGCTCTCACAAAATAGTGACAACTGTAAAGCTGGTGTTGGTTTATTACATGAGCTGGAAAACAAAACCTGCAACAAAGTTTTTGAAACAAAATGGAAACATGTTGTTGATGTTTTGTAACTTATGTATTTGGTGGCAATAACATACCTACTGCTTGGCGTTATATTGTCTGAATAAATGGAAATTATTGATGCTCTATATCATATACTAAGGTTTAAGACCACTTATTGCCAAGATAAATTAAGAGACAAGCAATATCCACTTGCCACTTACAATAAATCAACAAGACAATAAAATAAATATCTCACCTTTAACCAAAAGGCTGCCGGCACTGCTCGCTACTCCAAACTGGTTTCTGGCCACGCATGTGTAGATTCCAGCATCCATTTTAGTAACATTGGAAATCCGAAGGCTCCCACTATCCAACACCGTTACTCTGTAGGCAGTAAAAGTACATCAGTCATTGGTTAACAAGTATAGCACAACTCCTACTCGTGTAAGCATGTAATTAATTTAATGTACAAGTTCAAAGTGCATAGAAAAATCTATTCTTAATGAGCAAGCCCAGTGTCCTGCAGCCGTTTAACTTTAGCCAGGAGTTTATCTCTGTGAATTTGAATTGGTTTCTTGTGACAGAAGGAGAAGCAGTGAGAAGAGTTGCATTTTGATTTCTGAGCAGAAATTTGATAAAAACAGTGAAAGATCCCTTCATGGGAGGAAAGTCTAATTTTCAATTCATGGGGGGAATTCTAAAGGATATTCATACTCCATTTAGCAGATTGTTATACACTTAATCCAGCACTACTTCATATACTGATGATGGTGCAGACAACACATCCTGGGTGACCAGATGAATAGTTAGGACAGCTTCTTTTTCTATGGACAAGTACCATGTGGGCAACATAGACCTTCAGCAGCAGGTTTTTAAAAAACATTCATCATAACTGCAGCACAAAACAAACCAATTGAAAACCAAATTGAAAAGCAGCATTGAGGTCAAAGTTCATTCGATTGTTCACACATAATGACATGCACTTTAATCTTAGTGTTATGAAATCACTTAGCTGCAAACATTAAAAGTAGAAATTACGACCCAACCAACCAATTTTTTTATTTACGAGTCCAATAGAGACTTTTTTATTTCAGTAACCTTTCACTAGTGGAGAAACAACCTCAGACTGCCTAGCTGTGGTAATAAAAGAAATTTGAACCTCTATAGATTCCAAGTTAGAAATATTTCATTTCATCTGCTGGCATAGTCAGTTCAGACGGACTCACCTGACCTACCACCAGTAAACAAGATGCTGATGTGGCATATGAAAGTAATAAAGCAACAAAGCTCTGTATGATTCCAGTCCCTCCATAGAATCATGTTGCACATTTAGATTTCATTTGAACAGTACTGTTTCATGTCGGAGAAAGGCTTAAATTCCTCCATGAGCCTCATTTTATCATTTACACAGTTAGCCAAAACAATCAATATTTGTACTTAAACTCGAACTAAATTACTTTGTCTGCAAGCCAATTTCCTAGTAATCACATTTACTAGTGCCCATTCTAAACCTGTATTTCAGAAGTCTGTTAGATCTATACAATCTTCGGACCCAAGTGCACAACTTTCTTAAAACAAAAATTATGTAATTCATCTTGATATAAAGCATCATAACAATACAAATATCATTTTTCTTTTACTTTGTAGACAAGAGGAACTTATTCTGTGAATGGTACTGCCATGACGGAGACCTGTGAATTTGTGCCCGTCCCACATGGTGAAGTAAAAATAATCAAATCAGCAAAACAATATGACGGTACAGATATAACTGTGGTAGTTTATCTGAAGACCTAAAAGAAGTAAAATGTTCTTTAACCTATATGTTTTTTAGAAAAATATATGACTGATCTTTCATTACAATATTAGTTTTGGATGACAACTACAGAATTAATAAACTTTTTATTATACTTGCACTCATGGCACAGACCTGCAGACGTGTTCTGGTTTAGTATAGACTTCAGATTTTGTTAATTTGTCCACAGCCACTTAACACATAACACATTCACTCACATTTCATTTGAACATGATCTTTCCTTAAACTTCACCAAAGACCATTTGATGCCTCAAACTAATTGAGATACACATACTGGTCTCAAATATGAAAACTGTGCAGTTTGTACTCCACCATGCACCAGCCCGGGACACGGCTGCTGGTCGTAATTGCAGCACCTTAATCATTCATTCATTCATCCAAAAAAATGTGATTTTGACTCTAATCCAGCCAGGGATTAAGTTTCCTAAATCTGCTTTTGGTGCACTTTAGGTGCTGTATATGCAATGGTATTTTCCAGAAGATGGAGTGGTCCATGTTTTCATTTGAGTGCTGGCAGAATAAAATGAAGTGTGATAAATGAAACCTTACAAATGTTGAGCACTGAAAAGGTTTGCAGGATGAGTCCTTAAAAGTATGTTGATATCAATAAGGCATTGAATACTGTAGAGAGAACTCGCACAAAGAACATCTCTTGAAATTTGCATAATGGCATTCATTCTGAGCAGAGTCAAGGATAGAGAATGAAAGGAAGAAATCATTGAAATGGGTAACTTGTCTGTTAAGACCAAAATACACCTGGAACATCAAAATAATTAATCAAATTGAAATAAAGGACAAGGCCACAGGTTTGCCGAGGCGCACAATAAAAAACATTAATGGTTTGATTCATTCTATTTACCCTGATGCCAAGTGAAAAGTCTGATTAAAAGCTAAAATAGACTTATAAATGTGTTCAGCATGCGGATGATACAAAAGAACCATTCATTTTCATCAGATATCACTAATACTATGCTGGGATAATGTATCACTAAATGATTCATTTTTAATACCTACGATTTATGTTTGATCCTTTTGTCTTTCCTGTCATCGAGGCATTCTAGCTGATTCAGAGAAAATCTGATTCCCTCATTCTCTACTTTGATCTCTGTAATTACTGGAGGTAATCTATCACGTCCCTGAAAAGACAGTGTGACAGAAGTTTTTGCTTACTTCCTCCATTCTCAGTCTTTTTCATACTTCTGAAAAATGTTTCCCAGAACTTCTATGATTTGAGGCTCTGGTCATTTCTGTCTTTCCCTTATCATGTTTCTAAAAGTAATCATTCTGAAATAAATACAGGTTAAAGATGTTTGTCCTTATAACATCAGCAGCATATTGTCATTTGTATAATTTAGCTGTATTGTCTGTGTTAATTGTATTAATTATAGCTATGTGTCTTATTTCGGATGGATGGTCTAATCCTGAACAGGTTGTAATCATAGACTGTACATAAAGATTAACGACAGTCCTGCTCCCCAAAACTGAAGCCAAAGCATCTTGATTGCTGCAGTATACAATTGGTTATATATTTTGCCTCCTCCATGTTTGAAGATTGAACATTGATCAAATACATGTAGTTAGTGATTTGATGCTATAAAAACATCATATATGGCAGCATTGGTATCCAGGACATTTAAGATTCATTTCTGGATTGTGAGAGGAAGTAAAGATGAGTTGTCATCTTCACATACAATCTATGACTGTAATCTACAGAGTCTTATTATCTATTTGTTAACAACATTTATTTTGAAAGGGAAATTGAGAAATCAAATACACTCAGCAAAGCTCCACCAGCTCTGCAAACATGAAGAAAATGATCCCTTCAAGGATCAATAAAATATCAGGCTGTTAAAAATAGATTCCCTTGAATTATCAAGACAGCCGCTGCTTGTAGAACCAATATTTATTTTGGCCTGATGTTATCAAAATTATTACAAACTATTAAGCTTCATGAGCACAGATTCATGTTTCATGATGTTAAACAGTTGTTTGACTTAGCTGACTTACTGTTAGCTGACAATAAGTGTATTCAGGATAATACCCAAATGTTGGGATTGTTTCATGAGAGTAATTTGTCAAAGAGAGAAATTACAATGCTGAATAAACACTTAATGCTTGTAGGAGAAATGTGCTATTGACATTTCTGATGCAGGAAAATCAGAAAATGCTTTAGCTTAACCTCTTTCACGAAGTGGCACTACAGCAGAAAATCTATCCACAGGTAATTTCTTCACTCAGAAAGGTCATGCCAATTTGATCAAATTATATTCCACAAATTGTTTGATACTGCCTTTCAAACTCGGTTGTAGAACAATTTCTTGAACCACGTTTCAAATGTATTAGCCCACTTTTAAATGCTGTGCCCTGCAAATCCTCAATGGAAGCTCCCTTCTTATCTTCTAAACTGCGCACAACGGTGTAATGGGGTTGAGACAATGTTTCAAAGAAGAACTTGAACACTCCTTTCAGAAAGATCCCTTGAAGGCGGCCTGGACCTCCCCAAATGATCCAAAATGGCCCATAATGCCTTAAAGGCTGGAAGAATTAAAATACATTAGCCTCTTCAAGAGAGTCCATTCCCTATGGAGCCGGGGGTATATTCTCCTTACTGAACTGAGGGCTTCCTTTGTAATGGACTATAACAAAGAGTTATGGATATGAGATGTTACAGGCATAAGACTTGCCATTAAAGTGTGCAGTAGCCTATGTCAGGCTTCCTCCTTACCGAAGCTCCCAAGGAGCAGTTCGGGATGAAGATGTGTGGAGCATTATCTGTGTGAAATGCCCTCACTTTGTTCCCTTTTTCCCTTGAATGTTGCCCTGGAGCAATTAAGGTATTGGAGAAATTTGTGGGATACATAAAATCTTGAGCAGAGTGATATCGTAAACAGCCACTTCACCTCAACCTTATTAAGTAAGCTGCTGGCTGTAATTTGAAAGCCTACAGTGTCTCCCTATGGTGTGACAAAAACTAAGAGACTGTAAATGAAAAACATAATTCTAACCACTTAAGAAGGATTGTATAATGAACTTGGTATATTAAAAGAAACTTGCAGTCTTCCTGGGCACTCCTTAATTAATTCACCAGCGATGCACATTCTGCTTTGGCAACACGTCTGGAAAAGATCTTTCTTTTTTAATAGCAGGATTATAAATTGATTAATTTACTTGATAAAGCAATATCTTTTAGCATAACAATCTCAAAGTGGTACAGTCTAAAGGTAATATTCCTAAGAGCTGTTTCCTATATCCCTTTTAAAGTTACTAGCAGTGGTCAGTGGTGAAATTAAATTAGGGTAAGCCCTTTATCGTTAACCTCGTAGTCTTCGTAAGTGCACTGAAACACTGTTACAAGGCTATCTTGTTATACATGTCTGGGATATGAGCTGATGTAGGTATCATCACCGCATGATTTCATTAACTAATCAGATCCTGCCTTGTTCTTCCTTGATTTGTTCTCCCCTGCTCCATGTCCTTGAAAACATTATCCCCGGAAGATTAGAAGGAATTATGGGTATTTTAGTTGAGCCAGTGGGATGGATTAGTGTTGTGCCTCTGCTGTAATAGCATTGGTAGCAGCTCCATTTCGATATGGGGGAAAGCAAACGCTAACGAGCCAGCACTAGGGGAATGGGTTTGCGAGAGATGTTGCAATAACGTTAAAGCCCAGCATCTTGTATGCAGCTCACCCGCTTCAGGGCAGGGCTGTAACGTTAAATCTCAAATGCGATATCTTTGCCTTTATGGGCACGACTGATATTGCACATTGCAGTATGGATGCATTTTCCTTTCAATACTTAAGAGGATGATAAATCTGCAAGCTGGGTCCAACATTTAGCAGGCCTCTGCAACACATAATCTTTGTGCTGATTCTGCTGCTCCCCCTCAAATAAAACATCTCTCTCCTGTAAAAAAGATGTTTCAGCCCAGTATTAAGCTAAACCTTTAGTTTCCCGAGCATACTGTCTGACCGTACCACTGTGGGAGTACAGTCACAGTCACTGCATGCCAGCAGGAGGACAAGCACACCTGCTGGCATGTTCCTGCAAATAATAAAGACGTTGTCAAAAACGAAAGTGGAAATGCATAATTTGTGTAGGTCATACTCGGTGTTATAGAATGTAATAATATGAAAGCACACCTGAAAGTTAATAATTCCCACTGTTATCTTGTTTTCTAGCTTGTGAGGCTATAATAGTGCAAATATCACCAGATGGGGACATTTCATAAAATGTATAAACATATTTCCTGTGACGGCTCTTGTGTGTGGGTGATTCTACATTTGAAACAAACAAGATGTGTATCCAACTCTCCACCAAACACTCCCTGTTTGCTGCCACATGAGAAGAAACAGTATGAATGCGGATCAATCACTGACAATAGCTGCTACTACCTTGAACAGCATTATACCTTCAGGGGGCGAAGTGTTTCTTCTTGTCTCATTACCAATTGTTTTCTCTTTTTTATGGTCTTCACCAACACACAGAGGTATTGCATTGTTCTGCACTTAAACTAATTTCTAATAAAACAAGGTGTCAGGCTAGTTCCCTGGTGTCACCATCACTATCACAGAAGAATGTATGTTTTTCATCAGCTAGCCACTGATCAGTCCTTTTGGGATTTTATCTGCTTCTTCAATGTCTCACTGGTAGTCTGGATCATCCTCAGCCTCGCGCTCTAATGACCCTCCAGGCCTTACATGCTGCTAATGAGCTGATGGATCAGTGCATCGATCCAAGTGCTGCAGTCTAGGAACAACCAATTACCTTAAGTAAACAAAGACAAGCTCTGAGCACAGGCAGGAGAGGAAAGTACAATGGAGTTCAGTAAAGACATAGCAAAGAGGGGAAGTGGTGGAATGCAGAACCTGTTATGCAGTTTAAATTGTGTTGTGTCACACTCTGGTTCCTTTCTTTGCAGTTTGTCACCATGAATATCAAATAGGGAACAATGAAATAACAAGCGGATGAAATATTAGCCTGCAGGTAAAGCAGACAAACTAAACGACTGTGATCCCACACACATTGCACTTATTGCTCTACACAAAGAAACCTGGTACCTGTGGCTCTCTCTGAGGGCTTCCTTCCCCTTCCTCCAAGAAATCACGCCCCGAGGAGACATCCTAGGTTTGCATTCGATGAGAATGTCGCCACCCTGTCGGGCCAGAGTTTGGGCCTTCAACAAGTTCTGGGAGAAGTCCGGAGCGATGGCTGATGGGGAAAAATAAAAAGAAAGGAATGTAAGTACTGTGAGTAAGAAAATGATGTTTCATTTACTTTGTACTCAAAGGGGAGAGAGAGGAGCAAACTGGTAGGGCTGTTGCAAAAATGACATTAGAAGGGCATCCTGTAAACATCCAGGTCACTCCATCCATTAGGTAGGTCAGCTCTCGCATCCTTTCCTTTACCCACACACACACACACACGTGTGCACACACACACAGAGAGGCTCACATGCACACAGAAAAATAGATAGATGTTTCATTTTGAAGAAAGTGGGTTCCATGAATTTTCCTTAGAAGGACATTATGCATTAGGAATTAAGTCCCAGGGCTCTGAAGCAAAAACGAGAGAATGTAAAACGAGAGCGAGGCTTTGTTGCTGCTCCTTTAGGCCTTAATTACTAAGGCGCCGTCGTCTGGAGCTGTTTTGTATGCGCACCGACTCAGCGGAAAGCTCTTCAAAGTGAACACACAGCCTGGCGCCAGTGACATGGCTGAGCACCTGCCAACGCATGCTGGTGTACGTGCATACACAGCAATACACAACCTAATATACACATGTTTATATACACGGAGCACCTCCCCATTATTTCTTGTCAAAGTGTGAAATGCCAGAATTTCATTAATCAACAGAGGAGATATTTGTCCTACTTGTCTTCTCCAAACACATGGGCGGAATTCATATGAACTCTTATCTTAAAGGTGTCATGAACGTGGTTTCTTGCCGCGGGAGCAGGTGGTGGTGATGGTCGCTTGCCAACAGCTTCAACCATTGTAGCATATACAAGAAAAGGGATTTTAAATATGTCTTTTGTGTTGTGGTACTTCTGGGCGGACTGAAAGCTACAGTGACCCGCAAATGGATGGTGACGAGATGAGCCGGCTGGACAGGGGCTTGCTGGTTAGCATGCTAACTTCAGTGGAAGCAAAACAAACAGTTAACATTGGTGTTGCCCTAGACCAAAAGAGACAGGTCTCTGCAAGTAAAAGGTATGAAGTTTGATACTAATCACAAAACGTTTCTTGCATTCAAATCATCACTACAAAGTTATTGTTGACTGCACAGTTTAATGGCGAATGAATATTGACGCCATTGGGATTTAGATCAGGCTTGTTTTCAGTAGCTGTACCTGCACCTGTCACCAAGTACGGAATTTTGCAAAAAACTGTTACATTTATGGCTCAAAAGAAATATCTCTGCCACTGTGAAACCAAAACAGGATAGCATTTTTTTTCCCTGGAGCTTTAGATAGATAGCAGAAGTGGCAGAAAGTGGGAAAAGTACATGTAGAACATTTTTAAGTGCCATGCTGGAAAAAACAATAGTTGAAAGTGAAATTGAATGATTACTGCAAAACATTAAATAAATAGACATCTTTCACTTCTTTCTCCCCACATCTACATTAACCACACAGGAGCACCATACTAACGCTGTGTTGAGACTCCCTTTGCTCTCAATAAAGCTTCAATTCTTCATGGCATGGATTCCATTATATGTTGGAAATATTCCTTGGAGATTCTGCTCCATGTTAACAGACATGACTGCATCACATCATCCATGCAGATTTGTCAGCTACATGTTCTGTCTGCCAATCTCTCGTTCTACCACATCCCAGAGAGCTGGAGACTGGGGAGTCCCCTGAAGTACACTGAACTCAATGTTATCTAAATACAACCAGTTTGATGCAACCTTTGCTTTGTGAGGTAGTGCATTATCATGCTGGAAGTAACCATTCAAAGATGGTAAGTTGTGGCCATAAGGGGATGCACATGGTTCGGTAAACTGGCAAAATATCAAATAATGTACCAAATAATATTATCAAGGGGCTGAGGCTAGTTACAAAACTTCAACACCATTATGATACCCTAACCATAGATATCAAAAACCTTTACATACCAAATTTCAATACTCAAGGACTTAATCTCACCTGCATTCATGAGCCAGTAAGCATGCAGCATGTTTGTACCAAGTTCTAATAATGCTGGTGATTGGCTGTCTAATTTACACACACACACACACACACATCATAAAGGCAAGCAGGAGAAACTTTACAGAGATGGGCCTCAAGTGTGTGTGTTTGTTGTATTTTTAGAATCTTGACTGCAGTGGGTGTCACACCGCAGGAATAAAAGTGTCTAAGAAATCAAAAGTGTGGCTCCATTTTTATCTGTAAAAATAAATTTCATATGAATATGCAGAAAGAACATTGCGGACAAGCCTGGCAACGCAATGAACTTGATGAAACACCTGAACGTCCATGAAATGATTGTAAGAGCAAAAAGTTGCTCCGTGTTCGAGTGCAAGAAGAACTGAATCCAGCTAGATACCCTCTCATCCAAAACTTCTGAGGACAGCACTATGACTTGTACTTTAGCAGATAAGGTTCAGCAAACAGGGCAGAATTTACGCCACCAACCAAAGCTGTTGGTGGACCTCTACAGCTCTAATCAGCTACAAAAACACACACACTGAGTTTGTGTTGCTCTTTTCAGGGAAATTATAGAAAAACCTATGGCAAGAAAAAAGATGATTCTCTCCCTAATCAAACATTTTTTAAATGTCCAGTTATTTTTTCATGTTTACATGTTGGTGGAAAGTGTCTCTCTACCTACAAGAAACTATTTATTTATTTGGCTCATCTAAGATCAGTTTCAGGAATACTCAAACCATCTCGATCTGGCATCAACAATCATGCCACATTCAACGTCACTAGAATCACATAATTTCTGATGTTTGTGAAGAGAATCTCCTGAACTCAGCTTGATTTTACCCATTATACTGCTGACGTGTGATTGGTTGATTGGATAATTAGGTGTACAAGTGATCATCATGGAGTACTCGGTGAGTACGTCCCCAGACAAGATAATCAAATATGTAATGTCTGTGCTATTTAAAGTTATACAGGAAAAAGTAGGATTAAACATTAACACACAGCAGTACTCTGGAAAAACCAAAAAGGAAATTATCTTTTATACTTAAAAATCACGACACGTAACTGTAGAAACCAAGCAAGGTGTTGCTCTTATGTCCCTTTCGGGCAAACCGCTCACTCCAATTTTCCCATCTGACGGCAGACCAGCCTCCCCTGTGGTCACTTGTTTATGTGACGACTACTTTGTACCTCTGGACAAGGTTCTTCTGGCAAACGAATTGTGGACCTAAATGTCTTTTTAGCCTCTGCCGAGGAAAGAAACAGACACAAAATTGGGTTTATGCGTTCAGCTTTAATTTAAATGGTTGGAAATGTATTTAGCCTTCAGAATGAGGATTAAGAGCATTAGGGTTTTTTTAATAGAATATGTTAGTAAGCCAGTTGGCAAAATAAATGCACTAAACATGTTTCAGACATGATTAGCAAATGTTCTGCCAATAAGACTGTGAGTGTAGGAGATATGGCCTCAAATGTACCTTTAATTACTGTATAGTGCTCCCACCAAGCTGGCTGGTGTTTTACAATTTAGGCAGCAATTGCCAAATAAAGTGTCCATCGTGTCCCATTTAAAAATAATCAAGGAAACAGCCTAAGCACAACTCCACAAAGGGCATTTGGAGAAATCAACAGTCTTGCATGTGTTTGGTCTTACCTATGACTTGCAGCTCTGCATTGGTGAAAATTCGTCCATGCTTGTTCTCTGCCACACACTGGTACATGCCGATGTCAGCCAGATTCAAGTTATTGATTGTCAGCACTCCATTATTCGCCTGAACTCTGTCCTGCTGAAGACACAAACACACACACGCGCATTAAACGACCACATGGCTTGGAATGGAAGCTGCAGAGCAAACCTGACAACAAACATAAAACAGGTTTTGACAAGGTGAACAGTCAGCAGAAGGTGCTCGAGTCATCGCCCTCTGGAGTAAAAATAAGCTTCAATACAACCCAAGTATTAAATCCAATTGTCCTCTCTGTGGGTAATTTTGTGTGCTGATTCAGGTAATTAGTACTTGCTGAATTAATATAGGATGAATGCACTGTTATCAGAATCATACTGTGTCTCTGCTGTTTCCCATTGTCCATTTTTCTGGTCAACAACATCCATTATTCAGTATCTTTTTAGCTTTTTGCTCTCTGTCCTCAAAAATAATATCTGGTTCTCATGCTTGTCATTAACTGTGTGTGTCTGCTGTTGATAGGGAAAAGTGGTGCACTGCCTGTCTCTCACATTAATAACCTGTCGCTCACATTAATAAAGACAGACAGCATGCACACTTCATTTCAGCAGGTAGGATGTTGAATCCTTAAGGTGCATAAACAACAAAATTGCTGTCTCCAGATTTTGATTGCACTCTTGGTATTTGGAGGAAGCAATTGACTGTCCCTTGACCAGGATCAGGCATTTATCAGGCATTATGTAATATGTGTGTGTGTGTGTCTGTATGGTTTGATCATTATATTGGATGGTTTGATGATAAATTTAGTTTTGTCACCAGCAGTACAGATTATTGCAACGTCTTATTCACTGGGATTCTAATAAAAGCTGTTCAGGATGATGATAATTACTTGCACTTACAGCAACTACAGTGGTGACACACACATGAACTTATAGTATATTGATCCCATCACTGTTTTATTTTAGAAATTGGTTAATTAAAAATGAGTTGAATAAAATAATTGTAAAAAAAAAAGTTGTACAGTAACTGTTCATTCTACTACTTCTCATGTATTACAGGAGCTTTGTTATATGTTGGAGTTTATATGTATGATTTTGTTTTTAGTTTTGTTTTAATTAGTTGGGTCATTCAACCTCATTTAGACTAATCTAACATTTATGACAACTATAAAACCATTTAAAGTCAACAATCTATTAAACATAGCAACATAATTTATTGTTGACTGCAAACTGTCATATTACAGACTGCCTGGTTTTCTGTTTCTGTACTGACCTTTCACAGCACCAGGTACAGCATTGCATAATAGAAATCCTGGACTAAAACTGCTTTGAGGTGGGTAATTAGGGCTATGTATTGGCATTTTAAGTACTACAATACTAACTATGTTCACTCTGATGAATGGCCTGGTCTAATTCAAGCTTTAGCCACACTTTTCTCTCCTTTGGGGATGTGATAATTGAAACACTGCTAATTTTCTGTGGTCTTAATAGGCCCGCGGTGAGTCGATGTAACCCGCTGCTTAACATAGCACTGAGACATCATCAAACTGTGGCTAAAATCATAGCTCTAGGGAGTTAATCAGGAATAAGCTGCAGCACGCAGGATATTTTGTTCTCCACTGAGTATCATAGAGAGAGCATAGGGTGTCAGAGAAACAAAAATGCTCTGCAGGTGATGCTGTTTGTTAAAAAATAAATACATTCCATTTTGAGACTATAGAAAGTGTAGAGCTTAATAACAACATCAGGTGTTTTAAAGTTTATGTTTCTTTTCCCACTGCTTTATTTGACCTTTACAAGGGTTTGGCTCAAGCTTTCTGCTCCCTTTTTCTAGTTGTGTCAATTTGACTGTGGCAGCTCTCATTGTTCTTGCCCTTGATCTTTCCCATAGAGTATAGTCAGACCTTTTAATGTCACTGACTAAGTAGTCCAGAGGGTCCTGCCGCCAGTCTGTCTGTCGACTGGAATCATTACAACAATACCACTTGAAAAGACAAGGACTGTCCCTTAACATTATTCAGTGATACTGCTGAGGATCTTCAAATAGGGCCGCTGCCTCATGACGGACACAAAGCTGACCCGGCGCTAGAGCCACCGCCAAAGGGAATCCTGGGTACACAAGTCCATGGCTTTACGGCCAGGATGCTTATTTGTGTGTGTAAGGGGAAAAAGGATGAGTGAGACAGAGAGAGGAACAGAGAGAGAGAGAAAGAGGGAGCGGGATGGAGGGAGGGTGAGCCATAGCTACTTTGAATAGATAATAGATGGTCCTTTTAGGTTACACAGTGAAAGCGCCCAGGGGGGATGCGAGATGAAAGAGATCTGTGTAAGTGCATTGGTTGGTGCCACACTACTCTGTACCCATTGCCCTATTAAAAAACCCTCAGAGACTCTGTGGTGGCTCTATCACAATCTCTTTAGCAGCAGAGACAAATTACTGCATTCGTCTGCTTTATGGCCGTCATTAATTATGGTTGACTCTTCTCTGATACCAGCACAGTTGAGCTTTGAAAAGGCAGATCACGGGACACAGTACCTCCTTCAGAAGGCAGGTCCCTAGCTTTTGGAGGTCGAAAGTAGAAAAATCTAAAAAACACACTCACGTATGTAACTAAAGAGGGAGCTGTTGTTGGAGTGGAAAAATGCAAGTGAGAGCAGGTCCTTGTTTCAGTAGGGTGACATTTTGAAGTGACAGCCCTCCTCTGCACCATTTAATTCCCTTGGAGGTGGCCCAAAATGAGGTGGAGAGAAAGAGAGACAGACAGGGAAGAAAGTGGGAGACAGGGAGAAAAAGCTTAAAAGAGAAAATAAGAAAGAGAAAGAGTGCAGCAGAGATGCTGAGATAAAGAGAGAGGGAGAGGAGGACTGATACATTCTAATGAGGAATGACAAATAGCCCCTTTGGTCTTCTTCTCTCTCTCTACATCGCTGACCTTTGGGTTTGGAAATTGATTTACTGTTGCCGCAGTTGACGGTGGCATTTTGAAAATGGTAACACCCCATCTCATTAATATAGCCACATGTACAGAGAATAGGTTACCTTGGCCACCTGCCACAGGATTTTTATTTCAACGTTATTTATAATCTAGCTACTATCATGCGATAGGATCCTGCCAGTCACGATGCCCAACAACATGTTGACGTTCCAACTCATGAGTATTCAGTAGTCATTATTACATCATGAGGAAATTTCAGTAGTTATACAGTACAAGACGAGGACGGTGCTCACAGGTCAGACCACACCCATCTTTGAGTCCGGCCTTTATTTAATCTTAACTATACGCCTGTCAAATTTTGTGACTATGTGCGGTGATAACATTTATCCTCAGACAAACACCTGCCAAAGTGCTCAAAAAAACGCCTCCGTGGTAGTTCCTGCTACTCGGTTGTTACATCGCAATGTGTGATATCTTTTTCCCGGTCCAAGCTCTGGTATTTTTAAGTGGCTGCAGTGCTGTAACTGTGGATCTCAGATGGTGGAATAGATTAAACACGACATTGAAAAAAACATTGTCTTTTGCCAGTGTATGCTAACTTTAGCAAGATAAACATAGCTTGGCATCACAGAAGAAATAACTGTGACGAGTTGAGTGAAGTGTGCTCCTGCTCACTGAAAAGAAACAACACATAAATTAATTTGTATATTTGTTTACACTTATTGATGATTCACTTAAAAAAGACGTGATGGTGAATAAATTCACAGGTTCTGACATTGTTGTTTGCTTGAGACTTGAAGGTTTGGACCCGGCTATGGATATTACGTCACATGTAAGTAGTTGTTTCCGGGACTGAAAACAATATAAGCCGCTCTGACACCACTTTTACGGCTCAATAATGGAGATGCACTGATAGAGCGATAAGGGTTTCCTGTGGTTAAGGATTTGTGGTAAAGAAAGGAATTTTGTCAATCAATATCATAAAATACTAGCGCTAAGAAAAGTGTTTGCTGATAATGAATTTTCTTTCGTAAATAGCTGCTAATTTTGACAGCAAAACTTGATAATCTTTTTCATTGTGAGTGCACCCACATTCAGCTCTCTAATGTAAGTTCCCAGCTCTCAATCTAAGTTAGACTAAACTATACCCCATCCAAAAGACATGTCCAACAAAACAGCAGCCCAATCTTGGGCTTGTTACCCAATCCAAATAGTGACACTATCAGCAAATGTGATTCACTGGAGTTAGGCAGACAGGGCACTAACTCCAGCAGCACAATAACACAAAATAAGGCAAATTGCCTAAATGTGAAATGTATTTTGGATGATAAGGCTTTTTTGTCACCCTCCCCAGAGAGAAGGGACTTAATGACAAAATTGAGAGTAGCAGATAGGGGAGATTGAGTGCTGAATTGTTGAGTCCCTGGTTGATGACAGGCAGAAAATGGCATCACTTTGGCTTCCTCGCAAAACACATAAAACCCTGTCCCTGAACACACACACACACACACACACACACGCACACACACACACACACACACTCTTGAGGTGCCAAATTTAGTCCCAAGCAAATTCAGCCATTTCAAGTGCCAAGTACGAGCCTATTAGTTGGAACCATTCGAATCCAGCCAGAGTCCTTAACTATATGTCATCCACTCTCTCTCTCCCCGCTGCCTTTTCTGTCACTCCTTTCTGCATTCAAATAATGAAACTGATGGCAATCAATCTATCAGTGTATCTATCTAAATTGTCTGTATTTATAGCACTTTTCTAGTCTCGATGACCAGTCCAAGCGCTTTACAGTAAACTTTATTGCCAGTCACCCATTTACACACACACATTAATACACTAAATTGCCCAAGGACAAAGACTGGGATCGAACCCCCTTTGCCACAGTCACCACTATAGCATGTGCCTCTGAGAAAGATGCAGCAAACAGAGTGGTTACACATACTTATTCCCACTGACTGAATTGCATCTCTTGTACAAGTCTCTTGTAATAACACAGAAATATTGACACAATACCTTTCAAATGAAAACCTGTTGAATTGAGCATTACAACTTTCAGCATTTATGATAGGTCTGTTATCAAAAGGGTGTTGCAGAGTGCAAATCACCACAGATGATCTCATGTGTCCACTATATTTGTTTAGTTTTTGCATGATGGTTTGCCCTGTTGCCTTGTTTTGAATCCCAGTTTGGCCGGGTCCTTTCTCTGTGGAGTCTTCCTCTCACAGTCCATAGACATGCAGATTGGAGTTAAGTTAAGTGAAGACTCTAAATTGACTGTAGGTGTGAATTTGAGTGTGTATGGTTGTTTGTCTCTGTTTGTTGGCCCTGCAATACCCCACCTCACACCCAATGTCAGCTGGATTGGCTGTTCCCCCACGACCCTCAAATGATAAGCACTACTGATGGATGGATGGAGTTTTTTGTTTTATTGCAGTGAGAGTTGGGGGTGAGTTTCCAGCCTACTATAGTGCAGGGAATTGAGAAATCAATATTGTGTTCAAAAAAACCCTATTTAAGAACAATTTCTTACCTCCATCGGGTCCAGAGGCTCTCCGTTCTTCAGCCAGCGGTATGAAGGCTTGGGCTTGGCGCTAGCTTTACATTCCCAAACCAGAGTGTCATCTATGGTCTTCTGAACATCCTGAGGCTTCTCGGTCAAGTGAGGTGCAGCTGAGAGGTCACAAACCACATACTGTAAATTTAATGCTACACAAATGCATGCACATTGCCACTGTGCAGCACTTTCACAATAAATCAATGAGCCAACCAAGCAGGCAATTACTTCATTAAAGAAGCATCCAAGGGCACATTAATAAATCCACTTCCATTTAACCCACTTTGACCTCTACTTAACAGTCTGCATGAGGTTCAAATGAGGACAGATCGAAAGTGAACGTTTGACACTGTTCGCTGTGAGGTTAAAGGGTAAAGGATAAGCATTATATTTTCTATAATCAGCATGAATCAGCTGCAGTATATTCATGCAGATCTTTTTAATTAACTAACCGTACTATATATCTTTTGTGATTCTGACAATGAATTCTTTTTTACCAAAGTAGTTAATCAGGAATCTAAAGAAGCTGCCTCAGTATTTATGATCACGCTCCTGCTGTCATATAAATGACTAGCACCTTATCTCTGGCGACAGTGTAAGAAGATTTATGGCTCTTGTGAAGCACCCACATAAATAAAGGATGCCCTGCCAGGGTCATGGGGAACAAGGTATTTAAGTCAGTCTGCTCTGCTTGCCAAGCTGTGGTACTTTGATAATGTAATCATTTTTATAATAATATATAATAACAATTAATATCTCTTAATTGAAATAGCATCACCCTCCAAGATCATGAGAGTACAGTTAAGGATAGATCAGTATCTGTGGTAGAACCAGTGTCATGGGACTATTAGCAGAGCAAATACTCATCCACACACAGAGACTTAAGGGTTTTCTATCCAAAACACTGTCTCTACTATCACTAGGCCGTAATGTGGTTACGAGTGTTATGTGTGAATCTATTTAAATCAGTCATTACGTGCTCAGAGAACCCCAGAAGGTTTGTTTTATGGAGGGACACTGACTATCATATCCTTTTAAACCTGTGTGCCAGGTTGACAGGCAAAAACATGAAACAATGGCATGAAAAGGCCTGGTAATGTAAAGATGACAATAAAGTGATGCAAAAAGAATGATGGCATTTCTTTCTATTTCTTATCTTTGGTAACAGTGGTGCATGCATGGCCTGGATTCCAGTTTACTTGATGGAAATAAATGATGATTTAGTAAATTTATTAGAGGAGAGGATGAGTATCAAAAGTGAGTAGCACCTGTATGAAAACTGAGACAATAATTTTGTTGAAAAAAAAGTCCTCTTTACATACTTTTCTCCTAAAAAATATTCAAAATGCATCTACCCATAGTTTTTAGGATAGTACGCAACTATTAAATAAGGATCCAAGTTGAATTTTAGTAAGATAAAGGTCAGCGAGATAGCATTAGCTAACAACATCAAACAACGTAAATAATATTAATTCACCCCCCCATGCCTCAGAGCCCCCACCCCAGTTTAAGGTCTGCCGCTGTGCAGAAACAAATAGCACATGAAATCCTGTTAACAATATTACAAATGAGATAACATAATGGAAACGAAGACATGATGCAAGCATTTTCTATGCAAAGTCGATCTGATCGTGTGCCAGCCCATTCAAATGCAGTCAGCTGCTAAACTATGATCTGATTTCATAATCCCCTGGAACTACAGAAGGACAATTAGGTGGGGAATGGAAAGAGAAGTCACCCCTTATTGTTCCTGTTTTCGGATCAGTAGGGTGTCGCAAACGCCACATCCCAATATTGATTCTCCTATTCTTCTATATAGTTGATGGATGTCTCACAAATGGCTGTCTATGAGAGTTTAAAATGAGATTACAGATTTTTATCACCTGGCTGGCGGCCGGCCAGTCTGTGAGCCTTTGTGATAAGACGAGACTTAAATCTTACAAGGGAAAACATGACTTCCACACCACTACAGTGGAGAGAGGGTATTAGGAGCCATGCAACATGGCAAAAAGACAGCGATAGTTCCAAGTTTAAACATCGTGACCTTATTTACAAAATTACCATGACATGATCATATACCAGCTTTGAGACCCTTAGCTAATCAAGATTTTGAATACTCCTCTTTAAAGTTAAGCATGCTTAATCCCAAGCCTATCTACAGGTACTATGAGTATTTCATCTTTACCCACAGGTGCTGAAAAAACCCTGCATTATCATATCAAAGGCATCCTCCTTCACAGGAAAGAAAAATCTGGATTTGATGATTTCAGTCAAGCACATCCCTACAGGGCCTTGTGGGCAGACACCATTGATGCATAAACTGCAAAATAATGGAGAGAGAAACCGTAAAAAATCCTTCATCAAGGGCCATTAAAAGCTTTCTCAGAATATGGGCCATAAGTCCAGGGTTGGTGACGGAAAAATCACCTCTTCCTGAAAGGTGATATAAATCATTGTGCGACTCAGACCCTGTTGGCCGCTGGCACAAAACAAGAGCTTGTCAGAAATGAACTACTGTTAATAGCTTAATTTACTACCACATACCCCACATTCCACTGTATGATGCTGTTATATATGAGTTCTAATAAAAGCTACAGATTGCATGACAACAAATAAAACTTTTTGTTAGTCTCACATCAAAGCTAACCTTTAATTCCGCAAGATTTTTGATCAGACAAGGTCAAAGTGAACCTTTGAGGCTATGAATCAATAGGTAGAAGATTTGAAAGAGGTCTATAAATGTACAAGTTGTAAGAAAGTTGACTTGTTTGAGAGACAAAAAGTGTGAAAACCGTCGAACTACTCACCGTAGAAAGACAGTTTCCCTTTAACCAGGTTTCTTCCTCTGCTGTTCTCAGCTACACATTCGTATATCCCAGCATCCTCCTGCTGGAAGTAAGGGATCTCTAATACGCCGCTGGCTTTATTAATGTCCACCTTCCTGCCAAAAGAGGCTCCATCCACTCTTCTCCAGCTGATGGTTGGCACTGGGCTAAAGATACGAAGATATAATACACACAGCAAGGCCATAAAATTAAAAATACTCTTGATGATCGTTTTATCTACATATTTAGCTTAATTGAAAACACATGCAGGAAATTATACAAGTGGATATTGGGGAACACTGATAAAGCATGTCAATGTTAAATTACTGTGAGACTGGTGATGGTTTCTTCTTGTGTGTACAGAAGCAGAAGGAATCATTAAAATGTGAAATCTGCCATTCTCAAAACCACTTCACACGCATTACCATGCAGCTGAGATTGGTGCAGTAAACAAATGATAGCATAGTTATGACTGTGGCATAATAACACTCAGTGGGACATACTTTCCAAGTGCAAAGCATTCCAGTTTGACAGTTGAGCTCTTCGCAACAGGGACAACTTCAGGGAACTGAACTTCGATCTTTGGCTCATATTCACCCATCACACCTGGAGTTACAAAAAGAAACAGAGTTGATGCCACAGAGTGGAGTTGAAGGGATATTTTTCTTTTCAGTTTAAAGCCTGAAAAGGTCAAAGAGAAAAATAATCAAAAGAGAGTTGAGGTGATCTCTTTGAAAGCCTTGTTTTTCTTTTTTTTTGTGACCAGGGGTTCTGGGGGAGAGATGTCAATAAGTGACATTGCTCACCACCGTTGGGCTTGTAATCAAAAATACAACCGATACATTTCACTATAGAGGTGGTCTACTTGGTATCAACCATCTACCAAGAATAATTACGAACCCACCTTGTTTCAACATGAAAAGAGAAAATAAGATGAAATGATGCAGCTACTTGTTGCCTCATGGGATTGAAACAAATCCTCTTTTTCCAAACCAGTCAGCCGGATAAAAGTCAACTTCAAAGAAAAAACTTTTGATGATTTGGTCAGCCAGACTGTTTAACCAAGAGACTCACTGCTCTGTTGGGCATACTGAGCAGCAAAGGCAGTCTACTTATAGCGGCAGTGTGTACAATCTCGAGATTACATTTTTTGCAACCAGAACAACACAACAACACCAGACAGTGAACAGCATTTTTTATGACAATTCACTGAAATAACTGAAAATTCTATTTGCTTTTAACATTTAACTAATCGATCACCTTTACCAACTTGTTGGCTACAGCTAAGTAAAGTCATTAAACTTGCAGTTTAAAAGTAGTCTCAAATTTTAATTGTGACAATAATAAATCACCATTCTGTTACAGCTCTGTACTATTTAGTTCAGTAAGTGTTGCACTTTCATACCATCCACCCGCAGCACTAGGGGGGTTGGCGGTCCTTGCACGCTGCTCTTGGTGACTGTGTTTGTGACTACACATGTGTAGTTGCCCACATCAGATGGCTCCACTTTGGCGATGTAGAGGTTGCCGGTCTTCTGGGACACAAATCGTCGCGTGTCCTGGATGATAAACGATGGGTACTCGTTGAAAATCCATGTGAAGGTAAGCTCTGCGAACAAAGTCAGGGATAATGGATGTGAGACTTGTAGGGTGAAAGTCAAAAACACATACTGCATTTATACATCATCTATACTCATGTGCAGGTAAAGTTAGCCTCATTAGCAACTTCATTATGTTGTGCGATCTTGCAGAACTGAGCGTATGAATAACTGCCTTTTCAAGGAAGTGGATATTTAGAGTTCACATTATAAAGTTCTACCAGGAATGTGTGAGAGCATCTCTCTGATTGACCATCACAGTATCTTGTTGGATAAGGCAAAAGGTAAGTCTGTAATTGTATCATCAAATTACTCTCTGTCTTATTACATCTCATTTTATCTACCTTCTTTGTTCATAACTCTTCTCAGGATTTATGACTTGAATATAGAGACAGTGGTTGAACATAAAAAACACAACAACAAGCATTTCCCTGCGTGGCTGTCCTGTGGCAGCAAAGGGCCTTAAATCAACACTGAAGCTGCAGCTCCTGCATAAAAACACTGTATAATGCCTAATAAAACCATTGTATTGCAGATCATGTTATTCAGCATGGTACCGTCTAGTCTACTATTAATCATTCACTATAACAAGATTCTGTGAAAGACTCCCTGTACTATCAAACAAATGGAGTGCAGTCAGAGAAGCTTTGCACTAACAATCAGCAACATTATAAAAACGAATGATGGCGTTATGACATATTGACAAGAGGATAGATTGCTCTGGACCATATTGCATCCCTGTCCCAAAAGCAATCTTGGCCGTTGGTAAAAACTTGTCTAAGCGATGACTCTGCACTACGGTACAGGGAATAATTGAGACGTGAGTTGGACACTCACCCACTGACTCAGGATTCTTCACTTCTGCTCTTTAGGGGACAAGAGGATGTGTGGGCTTTGACATATTACTGCAAACCTTGCAAATCATGACATGATAGAGAATCCTGAGAATGAGTGATGTGCATGTGAATATCTGCCTTTTTACCAAGTACGAGAGAGTGGGATTTTTTTGTTGTCGTGTGGGTTGGATCTGTGAAGGACAAACTGACCTTGTGATCATCCCACGAACAAAACATGAGATTGAAACCTTCATCACACAGTCCAGTCCCACCTGTCTCTCTGCTTTGTGCCAATTATGCCAGGCAGTTTACTTTGAGTCTCATATACATGCTAACAAATTGTAGTTATTGATAGATTTGCTGTTGCATGAAAGAAATTAGAAGATTACAAAGTCAATACTCCTCTTATGTCAGCACAGTAAATACACACATGAGAGAGACAGGGAGGTACAGATGGGAGACTGTAAGTACAAAGATTTGAAACAGGGAAGCACACTTGCATGAGCTCTGCTATCTGCCTAATAACAGCTCTAAAGCTCACTAAGTATTTAGTTAAACACGTTAGATACATGTTAAATACATGTGATTACATTTAATCCATACAAAAAGCGCATGGGAAAAAAATATGTTTACATTTGGTCAGAGAGAGTATTTTCCTCTGTTTCCAGTCTTCATGTATTTCAGCACCACAAATGGTTTCAAATCTTCTCAAAATGTTGAACCAACCTCATGATAACTTCCACAGACTTGTTTGAGACACATTATAAGAAAGAGTCAGTTTCAGTTTCAACATGCATCTCTTGCTATGAACTTTGTCCTAACCTCTGTGACTTGTAACAAACAATAACTTCCTGGTTTGATCCATCTGACCCACACAGGGAACAGCTGTAATATCGTCTTCTCCCCTAAATAATACATCCTAGTTCTCATCCTAACAAACATATCTATATTTAACATCTGTTTTGAAACAATACCTTCCAAAGGTGCAGGGCACAACAGTCTGGAGCAAGAACAAATGAGAGGTCACTGATTGGTTAGTTAAAGATTTATGGTTAGAAACAGGAAGCAGGAAATCGGAAGTGGAGAGCACCATTGCTCGTACTTGATGGTTTGACTTGAGAGGCTCCTGCAGATGCGTGGTAATGGAATAATGCAATCATGAGTGACAGTGAGTGGCATATTTTCATTGTGGTTCCATTTAGCCTGTGTATAATGAACAGGCAGCATCAATTCCCTCTTAATGATCTGAAAAGAAGAAAGGGAAATGGAACATGACAGGCCAAGGACAGACTGAATCCTGAGTGGGGTTTTGCACAAGTGTGTATTGAATCAAAGAAAGGTATCTGCACAACTCGTGTTCAAGTTTGAACTCGTAAAGTTTCCAACACAGAGTGAGCCATTTAACCAGGGCTACCTATCTGTATTCACAACACAGGTTCACTCTATGAAATGGCTTAGGTCACGCACATGGGAGAAATCCCTTCAAGCTATTTGGTAGTTACTGGCCAGTGAGCAGCCTCTGTTTTGGGGTAGATGCACCAGATAGAGAGAACAAGTGATTTCAGCCTTGAGTAAATCTAAAAGGCCCGTTTCCATTAGCGAAAGGAGGTCAGGGTGTATTACGTCTCGGATGAGCCACAGTCATTCTGACCCTCTCAAAGCAAAAGACGACACATACTGACGTCTAATGCAAATATGGGACAGCACAGTCAGTGAACACTGCTGGAACTCCTCTTGGATAATTGGCAATATTTTGGTCATACTCTAAGTGCAACTCCAAACTGCCGTACAGTTTTAGAGCATCCCGGCCGTACCAAACTACTTCCTGCAGCTGTCTTGAGGGTTCTGAGGCATCGTTAAAATGAAATAATGGCTTCCTGAATCATGCATGGGATATTGAAATCCTTTAAAGGGGAGATGAGGCAGATCCGCGTCTAAGGCTGCACTGTGCTGAGCATGAATTGTGTCCTGTCACCCTTTATAGGAGCATGTTTCTTAATTCGCCAACACTACGAGAGTCTATTTAAATGCCAGTCAGGATTTTATTCGTTTCAAATGTGCTAAAATACAGTCATGTGGCTGTAAATATAAAACAGCATAACATTATTTGTCTTAGCGCATTCATGCATTTGTCACATCCATATATTTTCCATGGATGTATTTCACATTTACGAAGATCTTTATAAATATTTTACATTATTCATATTTATTGTAAACATATCTGGCAATATTTCTCCGCTACACCTAATTCAATTTTAAACCGAAGTACATTTGACTATAAAGCCACAGCTAGATTCAAAATCAAATGCTTTCTTTTAAATAAAGATTTATATTAGTAGTAACTCAAAAATCATCTGACATTGTTTTCTCATTTTTCTTTCTTTCTGAAGTGACCAGGCAGAGTGTATCCATTCCATTTGTATCAAAACACAGGGCGAGACAAGACAAGAAAATGTCCCTGTGCTTATATAAATGTGAGCATATAACCAAAGCTAGATGGATGCATTATTTCCATAGCAGATACGGTCAGACCAGACTTTTTTCAGGAAAACTGTTAGAAAATTGGATATAATTCATCATAATGTACGTCTCAACATCCACAACATCTCCATCAATAGGCATTATCTACGGTGACAGCTGCCGAAAATATTGCCAGAAAATGGATCACCATGAACTCTGGGCTGCGTCTCCAGAGAAACAGCCATGATCCATCACAACAAGAGGGCACTGAAGGGGCTGGTGGTGTAACTAAAAGCACTGGACCGCCGGACAAAAGCAGGCTCCGGCAGTGTATTTGATGTGAGGAAGCAGGGAAGCAAACTGACCCAGTTTGAATGGATTTGAACAGGATTAGCAATTACTCACCATTCGCCCATATACAATCATTGTTGACAGCCAGAGAGCTTTGATAGTCTTTTTTGAATTTGAATGTCCTTGTATTTCACGTTCTAGCAGATTTCTTGCATTACATTTGACTGTTTGTGTTATTCATCAGACCCGAACATTACAGAACAAAATATGTCTCTGTTTCCTTGAAAAAAAAATCTGTTTTATAGCTTTCTTCATTTCAACACAAAAATGAAGGGGCAATAAACAAGGCAAAATGACTCCTTTTTATCCAAAGCATCTGAAAGTCGATCTCTGCTGGAGAAAAGACAGATGCTTTTTGACATGTTTATAAAACTGCCACGTTTTATGACTGATCAGTTTTGCTATGTGACATGTAATATAGTATTAACAACTTAATCATGCTCACAATATACATATCATATCATCTACATTTTTATTTCTTATTATGGGACATTGTTTTGTTTGCTTGTTTGTTTATGAATAGCTATACATATTGTCAAAATAACACAAACAGATTGAGTTAGTAAGATCAATTGATTCTGATAATACATCTACTGTAAAAGGAGACAATAACCCTTAATGTTCTATTTAAGCTCTCAAATATATTTTCTGTTATTTAAGGCAGCTCTCATCACATTAATGTACGTCAAAATACTTTTTTTCCAGTAAGTTTAGTCCATCCCCCGATCACTTACAAACTCTGGCTCTTAACTATGTAAACGCCGCAAGATGATGGCTTTAGTACCCAGAATATTTTGGCTTCATTTCTGGATAGTGAGAGAAAGTTAAGACGTGTCGTCCATGTTTATATACAGTCTATGGTTTGGACTGAGACAAATCTAAGATCTACAATATATCTGGTTATTGTGTAATAGAGAGAACATTGTCCATAGCTGTGTGCATGTGATGTTGTCATGATTTTCATAATTATCAGGCAAGGATACTGGATACAAAGGGGAAACCCTACTGCTGTAGGACAAGTACTCCGAACTTACACTCTGTAAATGTAACTTTTTTAAATGTAAATTAGTTTCTTGAGCTTGCCTGTAACTGCTGTACTTTCCTTGATCTCCTAGTCAGGCTAACTTACAATATGCCTGAACAAATGAACCAACATTAACATACTTTACTTTCTAACACCGAAAACTCAGAGAAGAATTATATTTACTCGAGTAATGAGACAAGCAGGAAACACAATTGCTACCAATTGTGAATAAACATAAATCTGCACAAATAATATAAAATATAAAGTCATATCATATTATGCTCATCTAACGAGAGGAAGCTTTTACTCCAGTGTGAGTTTATGTGGCTCAGTGGCACAAAAGCATTATGTTTGTGCTTCATCTTAGAAAATGAAAAAATATGCTGCTACAGATTATGTGTAAGTGTGGATGTTGTTATCATTTCTCTTTAAGAGCAGGTAAAGGCTTTGTATGAGATTGAATGTGACGGATATGGGCCAGGTGCAATGCAACAGTGCAGGATACTGACAACAAACCCTCCAGTCCTGTAGTCCCAACTGATCAGTGTCTCATTGGAGAGAGGCCCGGACAGAGTTCCAAGCCTAAATGAACAGAGCTAAGTTTTGGTGACAAATGATAGACAAGATGCAAGAATATGAATTATTAAAATAAATCTATTTACATTTCCCTAAAGACAAGAACATGAAGACCCAGATATCATATTTCCAAAGATAATTTTTACCAATGATGATGATTAACATTTGAGAAGTGAGATTTTGTCAAATATGCAAGATCGCAGTTACAACAAAGCAGCTAAGGTTCTTAAACAAGGTCCAACATCAGAGGCTGGTAGATGTTGTGAAAATGAGTTTATAAAGAAACAGGTTACATTTTTATCTTCATCTGTATGAAAGTGTGTTCTCAAATGTCCTCATTGCAAGAGAGTAGACCAAGAACGAGGGCAAAGAGTGTCGAAGCCCTGCTGGTTTAACCATCTGTTATAGTTAAACACAATTCATCAGTGAAATGTGAAATTAATAAATAAAAAAACTGCAAATGAGAGAAAGGTACACAATGTGTGGGAGAATGAAACAACTGCGATGATTCACTTGATTCGGAGGTGAGGTTTTTAAATGACACGAACACAGCAGAGTTTCTCACAGGGATCTCCCACGTGATGTTAATTTTAAATAAAACAGGATTCATCATCAGATTTGTTTTTGTGCTTTAAAATGCAGGTGAACTGTTCAAATTACGAGACTCAGGACCTGTGAACAAGGTCATTCGACACGTCCAGTCCTTTCCAGAGATAAGGAGCAGCCTCCTGAATCATTTGTGAGATTTGAAAATGTGAGAATAAGTAGGTTCCTAAAGTCAGAACCTTTCTTGGCCTTACTTAACTATATTAAACAACATCTCTCGAATATAACAAGAAAATACTTTCGGACCTTAACACCCAGTAATGTCTTGTTTTTGTCTGCAATGGGAATGGATACCATCAGCATTCTCTCCTGGGTCAAATTACTCTGTAGTAGACATGGGTTTTATTCCGCTACAGCTCTGATCAGTTATGATGGAAACGTGAGACAGTGGTGAAAGAGCTAATTTGGCAAGACAGCGAGGTGAGAGAGTACCTCCGTTTTCTGCAAATTCGTGATGTTGAATATGATGCACCGGGGGAAGAAAACAGAAAGGCATGCTTATCTACTGAAAATGGGAAAGGAGTTGATCACCTTATTAGTCATCAGGAAATATTTGGACATTTGGCAAGTAAGACTTTAAGGATTCTAACTTAATTGGCAACCTATACCTGTTATCTTGATGAGATTAAAACATCAGTTTGCCAAAAATACATGGATGACTCTTATTCAGTTGGCAAATGAAATTACAAATGAATCACTTTCTCTCAATAGAAACAGTTACCACCTGTAGATTTTGAAATTCATGCTTTGTACACCTGTACCTTCACTGTGTATAAATAGCTCAGTAACTGACAGACTGAATAATGCTATACAATAATATACCGCATTCAATATTGCTACAATATATACTGCATAGCCATAAAATATTGGGTATGACCTACACTGACTTCTGAATTCATTAAACATCTAAACAATACAGATTATTTTCTTGACTCAAAGGTGATTTAAAGGTGACTCATTAAACAGCATCAATACATTTCCAAGGAAATAAATAATGGTTGTTTACTAAACGTCTCCTCCTCCTCTTTTCTGTCAGCCTTACAAATATTTATGTGCCCTGTGCAATTCACCAGCAAGAATGCAGCCCATGTAATCTATCCAAGGAGAAGACATTCAATGTCAAGTCATTTCTGTGCTCATCACTGAAAAGATGGCTCACCCAAATGGTTGTCCAGGGACCCCTACACGTCAATGCTCTTACATAAAGAGGAAGCAATCTTCCTCTCCAAATCGTAAACATTAGCCTGGTGAATACGCGATCACCTTCACAACAAACAATTCATCAGGCTTCTGGAAAGAAACTAGACAGAATTTTTGCATCTGGTGCATCATCCTGACTAAACTGGTGCTGTTTCCCTGTGAATAATGAATAAACCATTGGATTTGAAAAGATGTGCCCTGAGTTTTCACAATATTTTTTGGACACTGTCGTGACACAGTTACTGCAGCCTGACAATGCTGCGGTTCGTTTTTGAGCTGGTGCGAATATGTGTTGGCATTTGGACACCTTACACTGGTGGATTTGTCGACAATATAAAGAAAGCCAGTACGCAATGAGGCTGCCAAATGTAAGCATATGGCTCATTGTTCCAGCTTTTCTTGTCAACACAGGGCGAGATGTCTCGTTATAACATATACAGAACAAAGCGCTACAAATATAAGCCCGCTGTTACGGTTGCAAACAAACACCTCATAGTCTTCTCTCTGCAGCAGCTGAACAGCGTGGTTTCACACAAGAGTGAAACACAAATTAGTTGACTAAAGTTTACCCAAAATGACACCAATTTGTTTGTGCTCAGTTTGTACATTCAGCAAAACATCCAGCAGCCAAAGCAAGTTTTTCAGTTTCTTACTGAATCTCAGTGACACACGGTATACCTATTTAGCAAGAAGTGCAAGTCTTTTGTTTTAGCACAAATATAAAAGTAGATTGCTTTCAATCTGACAGGAATCAATATAACAACATTGATATGAAAATCTGTGCTGTCACTTTTTGTTACATGTATCCATAAATTACACATTAAGCACAAAACTACTGTATTTTTTTGGTACAATTGCCTGTAAGATAAAAGATAAAACTCATTAGGATTCAGTTTGCTTGCGATCTCAGATATGGGCAACATACTTGAGTAAAATCAAAAACATTAAATAAAATAAAATCTTGATAGATCATAATAAACTACAATTACTGCACTGCGGTCGTATGCTTCTGGCAACCGTTGCAATTTTTCTAGTTTCTAGCTTTTTTTCCCAAATCATTTGAGGTCACAATAATCTTTGACCTTTGACCACTGAAAGCTAATACTTTAATCATTGAGTCCAGGTAAAAACTGGTCAAAATGTGAAGAAATTCATGAATGGCAGATTTGAGACATAATACCAAAATCTGCATTTCCTGAAGAGAATGGGCTGCATCTGCTGCTGTTATCTTTTTGTGTAAGTACTGTTAATTACATTACAGTAAAAACACTGTCACTATACTCTTTAAGACTGACGCTTAAAAATCGTGACAGTACACTGGTGAATTATATTCAGCCTCGCTGGCAGGTTGAGTAAAAAGCCAATCTTCAGACCCCTGCGTTAAAGTTAATAGCACTGGATGCTAACTCCCATTGATAATGTCATAGAAGCAAAGGGCTGATCTGAAGCAAACAAAGCAGCTTCAGAGAGAGGCTCCATTACTCAGCCTGGCAGGGACCCAGCCACAGACAGCCTCTCCACTCTGCATGCCAAAGTTTTTCTTCGCCCCCACAGAAAATTAGGCTCACGGGCCAGAGTGTCCCAAAGTAAAAATGACTCACTCAACTAACTGATCCCAACAACACAAACAAACAGCCAGGAGATCTGAGGGGAAGCGCACAACTTCCACTTTATCCAGATCAACACACGAGATGAGGAATCAGACAATTCATACTGCACTGTATGTCTGCATTCGTGTGTAAAACCACAGCTCCTCACTAATACTGAGTGCTTACTGATCTGCAGCTAAAGCTGGTAGAAATTAAAATGTATATATCTTCACATGAGAATGAACAAAAAAAACTTACCTCCAGAGTACGGTGGAGGGCCACACAGTAAAACCACTCCTTGACCTTCACGAACCCTCACTGGACTCCTTCTCTGCGTCTTGAAGTTCTCCAAGTCTGTTTACCACAACACAAAAGCAATAAAAGGAAATAATCATAAATACACAGGGAGGAAAAAAGACACGGTGAGCTGTGTACAGAGGTCAAAACGCACTACAAGTCAAATCTGTGGTTACTCAATAAGTTCTTACTGACCAGAGTTTAACTGTGACATATGATGCAGAACTTTTGCATATTTTCATGAACCACTCATGCTATGTTTGCATAAATGCAGACACAGTGCTATAAAGTCCCAAACACTTCTGACTGGAGCAAAAAGCAATTCTTCAAGTATAAGTCACACATGAGTGAATTTAATTGGAACTGCACATTGTTATCACTTTCTGTGTTTCATCCACTGCACAGAGACCAGCAACAATTAAATGACTAAGACTGAAACATCATTTGTATGGAGACCGATTACTTGTTGACAACCTGCCGAGAGAAAGCGAATAGAGATCCTTGAACACTTTGGCTTTTCTCGCCTGCTGTGGCTCTTGGAGATATCGCAGGCAGCGCAGCCAAATGTGCAGCTGCCGTATAACAACATAATCAAGACTGAATTCAAAAAAAAGGAGGGAGAGAAAGAATGGAAAAGTGACAGATACGGTGTACAAGCACAACAGGGCAGCCCTCTGCATATTAAATCATAAGTACATGATCTCTGCAGACCCTGTCAGCAATGGGAAACAGCAGCCGGCAAAACAGCATTTCATCATCACAATTGAAAACAGCTTTTCTTTGTCTTTTGTTCATAAATGAATTACGTTAAGCTGCTGTTTTATTTCCCAAATTAATGAATAGATCTCATGTTTGGTGCAGACAGATTGAGTGAATGCTTCAGTGGCCAATTCTTAATCTATGGATGATCCATGGGTAACACAAAATAACATACAGCCTCTCTGTGCATGAACAGATTTGGCTCAGTCAGGCTTCCTCAGCAAGACATCTATAAATAACACTAGAGCTGATGAAGCTCCAGAGTAAATGTGAGAATCTCTTAATTTACTACTATCTCTTACTTAATTGTGCTATGTCTAACTTCACGCAACCTCACATTTTATCATAGTACAAATTAAAAACATAACAAAGGGAATGATAATAAGTTGCTGTTGAATGTTTCCTGCTTGCTTTTCGAGCAAATTAAGCTTTGGCTCTGTTATAACATCCATTACTTGGTAAAGACCATAGCTCACAGTTATAAATAATCTGGTATTGGCCACCCAGAGAGGCAATGATAATTTTGTTTTTATCATACAAGTTTAATCATATTTAATCTGCTTTATTTTAATATTTTGACATTTGCCAACAGCTTAAAAACAGTGTGTCTCAGTGAAGCCATTCGAGGATGATAGTGGACCAGCAGGAACAATACCAGGACCTTGAATCTATAGCACCTGAATGGAGTCTAGCCATCATTACCTACACCAAGGAGTTTATGTTTTCACCCTATCCGTTTGTTGGATAGAGGAATTAATTAACACTGCAAAATAGTTTTTGACATTTTCACTATTCTCCCAGGGAATATTTCACGGATGTTGATGACAAAGATCAGGTACATTTAGGAAACTGATGTCAGAGTGTGTCAAATTTGGCGCAGCTTGAAATAAAGGCCCATCTCCATTCAAAACCGCAAACGTAACCCTGCTATGATAATACATCCTCTAGGAAATGTCACAGATTTCATGAGAATTTCTGACATTCTGAGTGACACTGCCTGTCGCTGATTACTTGAGCTTATATGTCACAATAGGTCTGTTGAAAAAAGAAAGTTGCTTCTCTTTTCACCTCTGCCCACACACAGTATGAGCTTAGTGAGAGATAACCAGTTATTTGATGACATATTAAACTATAGCTGCTCTGGCAGGGTTCAAATCCCAGTAACTGCAGGAGCATGGATTTTGAAGGGTTTGATCGAATGGTTTCAAGTTATTACTCTGTACACTGTCGTCGTGAGAATGTATGTTCAGAAATAATATACATCTACAGTGGGCTATGGACAGCCTTTTCAGGCTTGATTCAGATGGCACACTATAAGAAAACCAACTGTGTGTGTGCAAAGAAACCTTTTCTACATATTTCATATGTGAGAGAAAACACTTTAAATATATATATATAACTAAAGAAATGGCAAGAATATCTGAAAAACTAAAATTAAAATTATCTTTTGTTTTACTAAAAGAAGGATCTTTTTCATATAAGTGTGAATAGTGATGCTGGGATATGTTTTGAACTGCAAAATAATTTCCTATTTGAATTATTGTATTTTGTTTTCTTTGAAATCATGTGAAGGATCTATATATAATTTAAGTAATTCACTCTTTATTCCTCCTCACCAGCTGCACATTTGATCATGGTTCTCGACTATAAAATGCTATGAAAAAACACTGACATCAGTCATCTGCCCTAAACAAGTGTCTGTGTGAGGAGCTGCTGCAGGCTGCACAAAACTGTGTCAGAAAAAGGCATACATCAAGTCAAACATTTTACCATAAGGAGACAGAAACATATCGGGCCAGACATCTCTTCCCGCTTCGGGTGAGTTTGTCCCTATATACCCTTTCTGTCAGCGGGTACTATAAACAACACATAGGCTCAGATTGAACTCTTTTCCACCAAAGCAGACTCACATTGTTGAAAATATCCGAGGTGCTCAACTCACGCTGAGAGTGAAGCTCTCCTGATTAATATTCCTTTGGAGTATGGCAGGGCGTAAATGAGCTAGACACACTAAAAGCCAACAATGCCTGACAACCCAAGCTGTTCTGCACCCTGTGGATCAGCTTATCAAGCCTATCATGGCTCTGCACCTCCGTGTGCTTCTTCATGGCCGGGTTCAGGCTATTTTGAGTGTTTTCAGATCCATGAAATTGGATGTGAATTTGCATTTATTTGGACTTGCTACTCCAATGTGACCCATTGTGGTGAATGAGAGGAGATTGCAGAAAAAGGAAAATTGAAGCCATTCTGTCGGAGTTTGAGCTCGAGGACAATTTGTGATGTGGTTACATTTGTCTCCTCGCCATTGGACAAAAGGAAAATTAGACTTTCAAAAAACTTTCTTTATAAGAAGTTCTTCAACTATGGTTGATTTGCTTCCATTAGGCTTCTGTCTTTTAATGAAAAAAAGGATTATTCTGTATTTCTGATGTAAGCTGACCAGCCACAGCAGGATCAGGTAAAACATGTATAAACAATGAGCTTTTCATCCAAAAAATAAAAATAATAATGAAACATAAATAATATTTGATGTGAAATGTCATTAACATTTTTCTCAATGACTTAAAATGTGAAAGTGCCTTACAAATTCAGTAAGTCTGAAAATGTTAGATGTGGAGTGCAAAGGCAGGAGGTGATTATGTAGTTATGTTTTAAGGAGATTCCAAATTGATTCTCACAAAGCTGTTATCTTCTTGAGTTCTTTCCTCTCCTCTGATGCCAAATGCTTGTGCTCATAGTGGAAACATTGTTGAGTTTCTCTATAATATTGCAAAGTCTTGACTTACTATGTTAAGTGCGTTGACAATGTAATGACTGAAGGAAGGAACATGTTGTTATTTAGGGTTAGGGTTAGTTGGGGTTATAATATGTGACATCAATGTATTACTGTTGCTATGGATTTTTTGTTAGTTTTTTCTTATTGAATGAGTTGTTTCACTGTTATATACCTTTTATATAACTTCTGATGCAGCTGTTTTTAACTTCGCCAAGACACACCAGACCGTTTGTTGATTGCTAGATTATACAAAACACAACTGAATGGATTTCCATGAAACTTGGTGGAAGCATGCAGTATAGGTCAGAGAAGAACTCATTAAATGTCTTCTTTTTCTTATTTAACAATGTAAGATACTGTGTTTGCAACATTTTCACTGGTTTCCCAGGAAATAATGAGACATGTTTGGAATTTGATATCTTTGAGTGAAAGAAATTTGTTGCAGCTTGATTGAATATAAGGGGACTGTTGGGCATTTGAACTTATGTGATTGTCTTTCCACGCTGTCTCTGCGCACATGAAACCTTTTTGGGTTCTAGGTTCAAATGTGGTGCTATCATTAGTAGTGTAGCAGCAGTAGTAGTAGAAGTAGTAATACCTAACATGTATGCATTTTGCATGTGAGGAACATTGAGCAAACTTGCAAAAACATGCAACAGTAGTAACCCCTTAAAAAGGTGAGAACCACTAATCTCATTCTCCTTATTCCTATAGACACAGTTATCTATGAGAAGTCCCATTAAATTAACACCTCAGAGCAACATGCTAGTTTGTAAGTATCTTCTAACTTACTTGTAACTCACAGTCATTTACAGCTAGCTAAGGTACAAGTCTAGTCCATGAAACCAAAAAGCTGCCATCAACAAGTAGTTATCATAAAAGCAAGAATATATAAAATAATGAATATTACTGATGATAAAAAAATCATTATCCCCTCTCATCTCTGTCTGCTTCCCTGCCCTCTCCTCTCCCTCCTCTGTGCGAGAGAAGCGTCTCGCAGTGAAGCCCTAACAGTGAGTGACACATGACATTTGAGGAGTGATCAACATCAAAGGGGCCTAATTCTTACACAGTCCGACCGCTGCTCTCTCCTGACAATTACACCACCGCCGTGAAGTGCAGCATTCAGAAGATGTCCACTGCTCTCCTCCCTGATGGATGATTAGAGACCCAGATTGAGCACTTAGCATCACAGCGCTGATGAGAAACATTATTGTCCCTTGCTCAGACACATTTCAGCTCAAAACAGACTTAATTTTCACCTGAGGAAACATCAATGAGTAAGAGTACAAAGCTAATGGAAATGATAGAAGGAGAAGAAAAAAAGAAGAGATAGAAATCTTGCAAAGTAATTATACAGATAAGGCAGTAAGGTTTGACCGGGGCCAGTAGGAAAAAATACAAATGAGGGGCAATTACAGGGCTGAATTTGATAGGAGGAAGCACAGGCACCAAGATACAAGGGAGTCGCGTCCTGCATTTCTTTCATAAATACAGCAATTTCATCCTTCATTAAACACAGTGTTACCCTTGTGGCTCTATAAGCAGTATTGCATCTCGGCAATAGCATGTTCCTTCTCCAGGATCAGACATCTAATACACTCTGCGTATCTTGCAGGCCTTGCAATCAGCTGCATGATGTTGCATCTTGCAGCGGTGAAAATCCTTTCACTTACAGCAAAAAATATCCCTGGGAGATTAGGAAACTCAATCTGGTTTGATAACCAACTAGATTATTCCTTGCAGCGTTCCCAGCAGGCGAGCAGAACCTTTTAAACATTTAAGTCTGTATTGTCAACAGGATCAAGAACCTTTATACTTTTAGAGGTTTAAGCCCCAACCAGATGGTAACAGAAACTGTTATATCATCCATCTTTCAGGGGATTAAAATGTAGGCCACATCAACTTTTATAGAGGGGCTGCACGTTCAAGCAATACAAGTGTGATGCAGGACATTATCCGCTGGCGCAAATCAAAGACACTGATCTTCAGTACTTCATCAGCATAACCTTTCATCAATATTTTATTTAATTTGTATAAACACAATGTTGTAATCACTGTTCTACATCTGTTTTGTTTTTTTTGCAGTGGGGACTAAAAGCTTTGGTTCTAGGCTTTCATGCCCGGGCAGCACTGGGTGCGTGTGCAGAGCTTTGCTGCTGCGTAGCTGATCTGCTGCGTCTAGCACGTCTGTTGTTGACACGGGGAGCGTGTCTGCCTTCTGCCTGCTACGGAGCTGCTACATGAGGTTTGTTTGACTCTATTTACTTGAATAAAAGTAGGCTGATGTACTTCACTAAATGCCAGGACTCTATGGTATGAAGCTGTGCATCTTCTGGTCCGGCCAAAATTTAACAATAAAAACCTTGTAAAACAAATGAATGAATTCAGTCGACAGAAATGCTAGAGTGCTTATACTTTGAAACAGGTAAAAGAACCGTTGCAAATATTTATATTTGTGACATATTCCCAAAGAATATGTTGAAACTCAGATAATTTTCACTGAGATCCAGATTCTCTAGAAGAGCAACGTAGTTCACAAGCAGGAGACATGCAGCTGCTCATACCTGTTGAAATTGGCGCCAAAATGAAAAGGAAGACGTTCATGAGCCACTCGTGCATCCAGTGCAGCCAAGGCACCAGAATAAAAGATTGGCATCTGGATGTTATTGTTGATCCTTGTAGTCCCTTCATTAATGGTCCTTACCTTGGTTTTTGTCTCATGAAGTTATTACAAGAGGGGTGTGAGCCCCTCAGTGTCATATTGAGCCACTCTGAGTCCGTTACAAATGACACCATACTGACTCAATACAGGCTGCTCCTCCAATGAATTATTCCCTTGACCTGAGACCTGCTCAATCACCCACCACACTTAATTAAGTTAAACCAAGAGCAATAAATAAGATGTATGACACATCAGCACCGATGCTTGTTCCCATCCGTTGACAAAGCCACAGGTTCCAGGTCAGGCCCCAGCGATGGATGGAACCAATCACAGTGACATACAGTGTAGACCAGGACTGGGAAACTAATTGGAATTGTGAATATGATCAACAGCCCGTGAGCAGCCCAAGACTCAGGTTTGCCCTAATGCTGAAGATTTAATGGTGCTTTGAGACAAGAGATGGATACCTCTGAGTCTCTCGCTGCCAAGGATCATCTCCGTGTCTGCTGCGGCAGAGAAACAGACATCAGAATTCAATCTAGCTGCACCATCTGTTCACAGATATAAGGGCTGTCATTTGATATGGGCTGCCCATCAAGACTGGAGGCCTCAAGTTCACCTTGCCATCAGAGATGCTTCAGAATCAGGTCTTATAAAATGTGATAGATGGAGGCTGTAAAGCATCAACCACACTGGGGTCTGTCAAGGCCCAGCACACAATAACGCAATCTTCATCACAAGGGTGTGAGGAGTTTAAAAGCACCAGACAAAGTAAACACCGGCAGTGGAGCTTTAATCATTGTTAAAGAAAAAAAAAAGATGCCATGATACGACTGGATATGATATGATGTTTCCTCATTAGTAACCGTAACTGTATCGGCCTACTGTAAGAGTCTCCTGTCGCTGGTTGTTTTTTAGTTTGTGAGGATCTGACACCAAACAATTTCCAGTGAATCCTACTGGGTCATTATAGTTTCAGTGAACCAAAACGTTTGATGCTTAATTAAACTTTTACTTTCTGAAACAAACAAAAACTGTGCTGAACTCAAAAAGATCTGAACTCGATTTGAGGTGAGAGAAACTTGCTATACGAAAACTGAACATAACAAATGGTTTGGGTAAATAATAATCAATGTCAAAGTTTTAGCAAGATGGGGTTACAAGTAACAATACAACTCAAATAAAATGATCCTGATTTACCCGCTGAATACTCACCTTGCACCCCTCCCTTACGTTTTATTTTTCCACAGGCTCTTGTGTGTCTTGTGTAATTTTTGCAGCCACCACAAATACATTGCACAAGCACTGTGAGAGCTATATAACAAGTAAACTTAAAATATTCTCCTGCAGAGTTCTGCTCTTTACAAGTGTTTGTCATTTTATTCACATAAAGTGTTGAAAACCACAACTGCATTTCTCATCTAAGTAGCAACAATCATTTTTTAAATGTGAAAGAAATCATTTTCATGTCAACTGATGTGACAATTCTTATTGTGATAGCCAGCCCTAACTGAAAGCTTCCTGCTTCGATCTGGAGTTGGCAAGGAGAGGGCTACAGAAGTCTGATAAGGTCATTTCATTTTAACTCCACACCCTCTGATTTTCAAACTTGTAGCCTTCAATACGCTGCTTCAAGTGACATCACAAGAGGTGAATCATAAACACCCTGTCCACAGCTTGTTTTTTTATGTATATAGTAGTGCATCTCAGAATGTGTAAACAGGGAAAATTGCAAAAACCAGTGTACGTTCTACTCACATGCTACATGCAGACTGGCCTCTCTGCTGACGATGGTTCCAAAAGAGTTTGATGCCAGGCACTGATAGATGCCAACATCTTCCTCTTTATTCAGATGGCTGATGTGCAGGTTTCCTCCCATGAGAGAGTAACGTGACCCTGGTCTAACCAGGATGAAAGAGTCATTTAGCTTCCACCTGTGAATGTAAGCACATGACACACAACAGCAAGTTCAGATTAATGATGTCAGATAGATGCTGATGCAAACACATTGAAGTGATGTAAAAAAAAAAAAAGAGTTTGCCCAGTGGCCTACACTATTACCAGACATTATTATGGCTAAAGCAGGCATGGATGACGGCAGCAGGTCATTTCAAAACACTTTTTAATTTGAAGTCCGGCTGTTATTCACTTTTAACGTAAGTCTTGCTTGCTGATCAAACTCTGTAAATTCCTGGGCTGTTTCCCTTAGTTTGTTTAGTCTGTATGTCTATCAACTGAAACGCCAGTGAGGACTGTATTTTCACTGGGAATCAAAGTCCTTCCCTCCAATCATAGTGATTATCACATGGGGGGCTACAGGCAAAGCACGGGATAATACAACCTCCTGATTGAACCTCTTGTTTACATAAATACACCAGTCTAGTGATTTTGTGTGTGTGTGTGTGTGTGTGTCAGAGAGAGAGACGGTGAGAGCAGCAAAATGCCAGACTCTGTGGCTTGATTTGGGGAGGCCTGTGGTTGTTCACTTTGCATAATTGCGGCTCGTGTTCCAAGAGGACCTGCTGCGTTGATGATGTCAGTTCAACAAAAGTCCACATGTGACCATAACCTCCCTAATACTTACCCAGACTACAAGGTACAGTTTTCATCAACTGGGAACAGCAGAGTTATTAATACACTTGAAAAGCATCTAACTCCTCGATTTTGTTTAGCACAAACGTTTCTAATCATACTCTGGTTCATTTAATGAATTCAGCTGGTTGTTGAGATTGCATTAAACTTGGGGAAAGTTAGTGTGCAAATAATACTTTCATTCTAATACAGAGAAGGGAAAGGAATGAGATGAGAAAAACGGAACAGCATAAATATGGTATAACAAGAAAAGGGACATTTTCAAAAGGAAAAAGGTTTTTATCAAATAAATAGGGTACAGTTTGGTGGACTGTTTGGTCTTAATTAGATTTTCGCAGTTCTCTAAGAAAAAAAAAACTAAGCTTGAGGTTTCAAGCTCACCTTTCTTCCTTCTTTAGACAAAGAGAGTAGGAGGCAGGGTTGACGATGAAAGGGGGGGGGGGGATGCAGCAAAGAGGTGCCCAATAGCAGATTGGTTGATTAGATCGATTTAGTAATTTGGTGGTGCAGCTGGAATAGTTCCAAAAGCTCCAGATGAGATGAATCAAGGGGCCATGGTGACAACCTAGAGAGGGAGCTCTATGTGGCGGCGGGCGTCGGGTACCCTTAGACAAATTAATTTGTCCTTGGCGCCCCTGAAATAAACCTGCCTACATGCACAGTGAAGTGAGGAGCAATTCAGCACATGGTGTCCCGCTGCTGAAACTCACAAGGTCCCAGAACCCTTTTTCAAAACTCATTTCCAAAGTGGCCACAACTGACCTTTATTTGGAAAAAAAAGCATATACCAGCAATGACAGCACTATGATGTGTGTCGACTGAACAAACACAGCAAAACGTCCGTGTGTATATCAATCCCATCCTTTTGAAGGGATGGACGAACGACACGGCAGCTTGTGATCAATCTGAAAATCACTTCTTAATGTGGTATATAAACTCCCACAGTTGGTGGCACTTTCTGTAATTAAAGAGCTAATTAAAGGAAAATTAATTTGATATGGAGCCGGGCACGCTCTCAGAACTTGAACTCTGAAGGGAAAAAAAACAACTTTCAGATTTGAACTCATAAATTGGTTTTAATTTTTAAAAAGTTGGACTATCTGGACAGTGAAAGAGCGACTGATTGCCTAATAAGTATTCCAGCTGATCCAAGTGATAAGATCTTGTACATTTATTTCAATTTGTGTCCATTAGGCATAGCACCAAGGATCTTCAAGCTACATTAACGGCTGCATATGCTGATGTTATGAGAGATCGTTTCAACCTATTACACATTAAATGCTTGGCTTTGCAATTTGCATTTAATTACACTGACAGGAGTACAACATCTATGTGGCCCCATTTGATAGATTATGAATTAATAGCGTGTGCGCTTGATGCACTTCATCGCAAATCATCGTTTGCCATTTGTTTTAATTTGTCATCATTTTAGCAGCGGAGGAACTGGACATCAATTTGCTTCTAACACAATCCCCAGGGGGCGTGCTCAACCACACAGGGTCAGTGCAGTGAAGAAGGCAGCGAACAGCTACTGTTTTCCTGCACCTCCGTCTATCAAGCGATTTGTGTAACGATAACCTCCAAATCTGATGCCCCGTGGCACCGTCTGTGCAGCCTTTGGCAGCGGTTCTGTATATGAAACATTAACTGTAACAGGCCTAAGGCAAAGATATGGAGAGGCATCTTGCGCCACATCATTTCTGGTAAGTGAAATATACGCCGCTATTTTTTTCTTCTTCTTCTTCTTCACTCAATCTCTGTCATGATAGCAACCAAGCTTTGGTGCGAGATTCTTTGGGGGTCACTTGATCTCTTTCAGTGGTCACTGATACTGATGACAGGAAGCTCTCACAGTGGATTCTCCAGCAGATCAATGTCATCTAACAATGCAAATATATGGCAGAGGAGCAACTAAGGCTAATTAATTCATCATTCTCAAGTTAACCATGACTGACAGCAAGGCTAAGCACTCCAGGCAGTGAGCAGCAGCGAGCCGTAAGGTCCAAGAATCCCCATGTTTTCCCAGGGCAATGAATTCAGTCTCGTTCAGGTTTTTAGTACAAATGTTGCACTTGAAAGCTCTGAGGTATTACCTGAAGGTTCTGCATCACAAAACCAAAAACCACACAAAAGTCACATGTATCAAATTATGCCTGCAAGTGTTACCTGTAGAAGGGCAGGGGGTGTCCCTGGGCCTCACAGCTAAACACCACCTCTCTGCGATTTTCACCAGCTTGAAGGGGGAACACCACACTGCCAGGTTGTTTGGTGAACACAGGCCTAAGCTGGACTCCACTTCCTGTGTGGGAAACAAAAAAAAACCAACATCAGCTTTGATATTCTGCAGAGCAGGAAAACTTTTTTATACATATACATAAATCACTTCAAATGTACAGGAAGCAAGTAGACTCTTCTCTTGAAGTGCACCTGAGAAGGTTGAATCACTTTATAACTCTGTTTGGCATGGATCTGCATTTTTCATATTAGTCGTAAAAAGAAAAACTTGCTAGATCCCAGAGGTAATGCATAATCAGCTGTTAACCTTCATAAAATTTTAATGCAAACATCTGAATGTACAGAGTTGTCAGAGGCATGCTGCACTGCCACCACGCGTCAGCACTATTTTATCTAATCCCCTCACACTTATCACCACCTTCCCAAGGGATGTCATGTACTCACACAACAAAGACTGAGAGTAATACAGGAAAAGCCTATATTTATCAAGCCATTTTCAAAATACTTGAGAGAGTTGTTGTTTTGTGTTTTTTGTGGCTTGCACTTGTTTAACAAAGTTTGTTTTTTGTTCTAAGATAAAGGGACAAAAAGTGCTTTTATTTCAAATTTCCTCCAAATGATCCATTGTTACTAATAATGCCATCTGTTACAAGAAATCACCAGTGCTGCTTGTGAATTGCTTTAAATTACACTGTTATTCATATATGCATTGTGGACTATGTATTTGTATGGCACCTTTTTAGTCTTGATGAATCAAAGCGCTTTACAGTACAGTTTTACATTCACCTATTCACACACACATTCAAAGAATCTATGTGCATCACTTTTCTCTATGAGAAGGGGCAATTTGGGGTTCAGTATTTTGCCCAAGGACACTTTGACATTCGTAATGGGGAAGACTGGGATCAAACCGCTGACCTTCTGGTTAGAGGACGATCGCTCTAATCCCTGAGCCACAGCTATAATACTTCTTCATAGGGAGTTCTGAACAATGGGTGATTCTAAAATACATACAGCATATCATAAATTTTTACTCCAAATTCTTTGCACAACTTTTTAGTTTTTGTTGGATTCTTTTCTTCACAGAACAAAGACACAGGCAAAGCCCGGAGTGACCCATGGGGTAGTTAACACTTCACTGGAATAAACATTTCTTCCTGTGATGGAAGGGAAATTCACTTGGATTTGTCAGAATACATTTGCATTTCTGAAATGGTACAGAAGTGGGAAGATGCTGTAGCCAGGATAACTTAGATATTTGTATGGGAGACAGGTAGCCCTTTCAAGCTTCTTAAGCCCAGGGAGTGCAGGCTTATCCTCAAGACCCAAAATAATTCCCTGAGAGGGTGGGAATGTTTGACAAGGGACCTTGTACACTAATTGTTCCTCTCCACAAGGATAAACTTCTCAGAACGTTACACAGAATAAAAAGACCGCCTAATTATAATCTCTGTAAGATAAAGTGTGTCCTCTGAAGCGGCAACAAGAGATGATTGATTATCCGAAGACGTTTCTTGTATATTCAGACCCAAACCCTCACTCTTGTACACAAGCTTGCCTGCCGTACACATGGTATTAATCACATCATCTTGGATAAATAATTTCAGGTCATGAACATTTGCATTCCGAATATTTTTTCCTTAAATGATGGCAAGTCAGGCCCAAAAAACTAAACCAGCCCGTTACTTATTAATAAATTGTCTGACTCTGAGCGGTTTAGAGGTCAGAAACAAAAGTTTAAAACGAATCAAGGTATTAACCTTTATAATTTTACAGCCACATAATAATAAAAAGCACCAAAAGAGAAAATCAGTAATTACAGCAATATAATTTTGTTCAGTAGCAAAACAACAAAAGCTTACTATTGTTATATAGCTCATGCATTGTTCAAACCCAGTGAGGAAGTTTAACACATCTACCTCAGATTTGTAAAATATTTTGCTGTTAGTGTTTGTCATTCTCTGCTCATAAATAAGAATTTAAAACCAAAACGTTCACTCAGGATCAAAAATAATGTCACATTTATTGGAAAATTATCAATGTTGACTGATTTGAATATTTTCATCTTGATATAATAATAATTTTTGGCCATATCATCCAACCCTGTTGAAAACGTTTGAGCACTTGAGCATGGATTGCAACTACACTGCAAAATTATTAAGTAAATACAATTCATTAATTATTGATGTCACAGTTTACCTCACAGAATAAGGTCAAAAACTGAATGTGCAATGAGAACATTTTATGGAAGTGTAGTTAATTATTTAACAACTGTATCAGAACATATTGCTTCACCTGGAATGTAACCACGAGGACGCCTCGTATTATGTTCGTAATCAATCCCTAAATGGATTACATCACTTACCTCACTAGTTCGATGCTCAATATTCAATTAATGGGAAATAATCAACACAGATATTTGGCTGCAGCCATTACTCTCGGTTATGGCGGCACTCAATTGACCTGATCTTTGGCAGCGCCATGGCAACTGTTATAATGGCGTGTCAGTATAATGAGAAGGGATTGCGCTCCAGGGGCTGTGCCCGCGGCTTCCGCTTAAACTGATGCAAACTCTCTGAAACTCTATCGTTGCCCTAACAGGAGTGAATGAAGAGTGCAGGAGGGAAACAAGATTTTTTTTTCTCACTTGCTTTCTGCTAATAAAACACTGAGGTGCTACACACTACAACAGTGCCACACAGACACTGAGGGATTTACTTTTTTCATTTCTGTAAAATATTTGACTTGGCTTGACCAGACCATGAAGGCACAGTGCGATACTGAGTAACGAAAGACAATTACTGAAATTAACGAATGATCTGAGAAGCAGTCAAGAAATCATGTCAAAATAACGCATGTGAAAATCTGATTGGAGTTCCAACCCTGAGCACCCCAGAGCACAAAAAGTGAAATAATAAAAAAGTGCTCTATCAGAGAAGTGCAGCGATCCAGAGTCCTTACAGGAAGTAGACTGCACAATGCTGCAGGACACAGATGGAGGTCATTATGAAAGGATCTTTAATAAAAATAGGCCGACTCCACTCATATTTGTCACCTGCTGCCAGATGGTGATAGGTGCAGCCATTTTTTCGAAGGCTCCTCAGACAACACAAGACTCAGCATCGAGGCACGAGTGGAAGGCAGACGGAGCTGTTTTGGAGGTTGAAATAAAAACTAATCTCAAATTCAATACTAGCTGACAGCAAATGAATTCCTCCAGCTTACCTCAGCATGAATAAACAGGCACATGGGGAGTTGGCTGTGGGGGAGGTATCAGTCGTTTGTGAGGTCCCAAATCCATTCGTTTCAGCTCAGGGTTTTATGCATCAAATAAAAAAAGCCAATCTTGCGTTTTAAAGCATCTTTCCCCTCTGTTCAGGCCGATAAGGTACACCTTTAAGGTCTCTCATTCAGGGGCAGCAAATGTTTCTCCAGTGCAGAGAGGGGAAGGTTCGAGGTTGTTTCGATCATTCAACCACATCATTATGTACAAGTCAGTTGGATTTGTTTCTCAGGATCCTTGAAAAAAAGTAACATGCAAGTAAAAAATTGCCTGAAAAACTTTTAATAATTGAATGTTTCACCAGGAAAATAGTGGAAAGGAAAAACTTTCCTAAGATCTTGGTACTGTAGATGCAGTGAGAAGACCCTTACGAATAATAGTCCCACTTAAACAGGACTTAAATTCCAGTACTAGGGGTGAGCTACACTGTGGAACTTGTTAATTTAACTACTTACAACACCAGTGACAGTTTGTACAGCGAGGGATTGAGGCAAACACATTTCCAACCGATATCAAACTACTGTTGCGTCATTCTCCAGCTATAGTGCAGTTGAAATTAACACCCCTTGTATTGATGGTATCCATGTTCACTGGGGGAAACACAGAAATTGATTAGGTCCAACTGGGAAAGACCAATTAAAGCTATTTTTCTGTTGTTGCTCTCTATATTGAATGTCTACATAAACCTGGGAACATATACTGCTGCTGAGAAGGCCATTTGTCATCTAATTGTAGTAATATCCCTACCTTTTCCTCCTCAGGATTGGTTCGAAGGTTATTTGTCATTTACCAGCTGCTGTGCAGTGCGTGCTAATGGAAACATTCATCATAGTAAAAACTGTACCATAATGTTTCCAACCATAGGAAAAAAGAGCCTAATTTGACCATTAGTGGTTTTCATTTTGTGACAAAGCAACGCGTATGGATTCTTGTGTATTTTTCATGATTCTGCCGTTACTACTATGAACAATGGAAAAAGACTGTTTTTTATCTTTTTCTATTGTTGCCTTTTTATTTAATGGACATTTAACTTGTTTTCCTTATCTTTGGAATCTATCTATCTTTGTGTTCTGTTTGGTTGTTCACTCAGTTCTCCATTTCCTGTTTTATTTCAAAATCTCGCTCCTTGTGTGTCTTCTGCACCTGTTCCCAATGTGTTTCACCTGTGTTCAATAATCCCTGCCTCCTTTGTGTATTTAAATCTCTGTGTTTCTCTTTGTCATTGTCAGTTCATCTTGTTCTATAACAGTTGTGTGTGCTCGCACCAGTGCTTTTTACTTTCCCTTATGTTTCTCTGTGTATTTAATATTTTGATTTTTGGACCCTGTTTTACTTCAGCTACCTTTACCTGAATTAAAGTGTTTTTGTTTTTCACTTGAGACCTGTCTCCTGCTGATTTCACCTGCTCACAACACCATGACAATATTTCTTCAAACATCTAAAATAAAGCCTGACAAAACAAAAAAGTCCTAAATCGAATTTTACTTAATTTGCTCTGATTGTTGTCAAGTTCATAATGAAGCATCAGGAGACAGTAACACTGAAATAGTGTCACACCAGTGTTCCAGGCTACAGGATGTACCCTGTCAAAATATATCAAAATATAAATTACTATTTTATTGATGTGTTGTGTTTACAATAAATAAAACATGGTGCAGATTAATTATTATGGGTTAAAATAAACCCTACTGCAAACACATTTAAATTGGATGATTTCTCGTTCCCCCAGGAAGTGAAAGTACATCCTGCAAAAGAGAAAGACTCACTGGGGAGTGTTATCCCCATCATTGTATACACAGAACTTCAAAGATGCAGTAAATCCTTGCTTAAGGATTCCTAAAAGCCTTTGCTGTTCTGATGAATCAGTGAGGTAAGTCAATATTTGAAACTCCAGTCATCTCTGGGATTCACACATGGGGATAGAGCGCAAAGTAGAAGCAGTTATAGGAGATTATAATGTTGGCCAGAAGCAGCCCTTTATTTTCACCCACTACGAACCTGCAACAGGAGTGGGTTTGAAATTGTAAGCTTTGTCTCGAGAGCATTTACTTGTGGTGACTGCAGGCTGTGTCTTGTTCAAGGGAGGGTTGTCATTTCCGAAGTCTCTCTAATAACAATACTCATAGATGTATACATAAATTTAAACTGAGCTTTAATGTAAGTGATGTGGAATAAAAAGCATATTTCTATCTCAAGTTAACAAGTGTGACAAGTATCATCCAAAGTCAGTTTTTTAGTACAAAATGTATTATTTTCATCTCTACGCAGGACCTTATGTTTTCACCCTTATCTTGTTTATTATTAAGTAAGATTATTCAAAATCTGCATGACGGATTACCACAAAACTTTTTGGAAGAATGCAATATTGGTCGAGGAAGAATCCATTCATTTCTTGACTGGATCAGGGGGTAGATCCAAGGTTTTTTTTTTTTTTTTAGAGGAATAATGATCTTGATTTTTTTTTAAATTGCCATAATTAAAGGACTGATATCAATTTGGTGTGGATCCAAAAAATCTGGATCTACAGGCTTTTCCACCCACTGTGATGTTGTAAATTTTAGCACAGATTCAGACTAAGGGGCATATCCAGGAATATTTTATTTTTTTGCTAAATAGGGCAGTTGGCAGACGTATATACGCTTTACTCAATTAATTTGAACAACTCATCTTAAAAAGTTAAAATGTATAGGACCCTAAAATAACTTCAGGAACATTAATTGGTGGAACAATAATAGCAACTACACTGGTAATAATTTAAAAATGACCATGATAGTACTGTATGTAGAAAGACTTGAAAAATATAAAATGGCTATATAATGGTTTACAGGTTTCTAGTAGTACAGTTTTCCTTCATGGAAACTGCCACGCAAAGTTAAATAGGGGCTATAAATGAAAACCCATTACAGCTTTGTTGAATGCTTTCTTCTGATTAACCAGCATGAGGTGATGATTTCTGAACACTATACATTCTAATCACACCACTTAATTTTAAAGAAGTCCTGAAGATTTAGTTGAACATTAACAACTCGCACATTACTATTCTAGTACTGTGGACACCCACTCACCTCTCCGAAGAAGATTTCTCTTACAAGGATTATGAATTATTCTCACAGCACAAAATATTTGATTGCTGGTTGGAGCCTTAACGGCAATCTTACTGGCTGTGTTTACATTTCTGAGTCTACTGCTGCTTAACTGTAGCCCTTCGATGCCGACCATGGATGTTTCTGTGATTGCACTGCTGCCAATTATTTTTGAAACATTTCACTACAAAAGTGAAAAATATATATTTGCATCAAATGATGTATGTGTATGGCAAGTGAATGTGTAGTAGAGGAAATGTGTACAGCTGACATAACAGCTGGGGCTTTATCTCCCTTCCTCATGCTTATTTTTCCTCCTTTACATATTTTAGTGTTTTTTTAATATTTCATTTTTATTGTAAAGAAATTCATTCTCCTCCTTCAATTCATCACGGAAAATGGGTCATAGAAAGAAAATGGATGTGTCCTGGTAATACATCTTTGTAAACTAGCAGTGATGAGAGTCCTTCTGTCTGAAGACTCTTGATCCTGAGCTGGCAGCAGCTTACAGTGTGAAGGTTAGCTGTATCTGTGCGGGGCAAACTACATCCAGCCCTACATCGACATCTCTCTTTTTTTTGCTTCCTCGCTCTCTCACTTATTCACACAAACACACATGCTGTAGAGTACCAGCCCATGCCTCAGGCCATTCAGAACCTCAAGGGGAATGGAAAGGGGGGCGGGGGTGGTTAACTCCAGATGAACTCACAATGGGAATTGCTTCCCGCTGGCCTCATTGCTCTCTCACAAACCTGCTACCTACTGTTTAAAGAAAATAAAACCTCCCAGGTCTGGGTAAATAATTTACCAAGCAGCACCTATCTAACACCATCACACTGCACTGTTTCTACCCAGCATGCACATCTGCATACTAAAATTCTTTCTCAGAACACAGAGGCTTTGGAGGTCTATCGTTATGTTGCGCCATACTTGTCTTGCAAGCAGAGCATATGTAATTTAAGCCCATACTGAATATTAATGCTCAGTTACTCTGTGTTACCAACTGCGAGTGTGAGCCTCGAGAGTGAGGCAAGGCCTGTGCAACACAATGCTTTTCAGAAAAGATTTGCCCTCTGCTCCTTTTTGTTAAGAACTAATATGTCTCGAATAGATAAATCTCAATGAATTTTCTGTACATTACAATTGCAAGAAAAATGATCAGTCAAATTATATTTTATCTCATAGGTCTTAACAAGGTGTGACATCTTTTGCCCTTAACCCTCAATGAGAGTGAAGAAAAACTACCAAGGCTTGGATCTAGTATCACAGACCTCTCTTCGAAGCTGTTTATCTGAGATCAAAACTCATTCGGTTTATGGCAAGATTTCCACCAACACTTATATTTGTGGTGTAGATCTGAATCCCACAGTGAGTCACGGCTCCCTGATGAAGGCCTCATCAGGCATCCACTGATGTGTTTTGGATTTAGCAAAAAGTGGTGATAATTGTCATGTAGGCAAATTTAGGTGCCGACGTATTGTTGTGCTTTTGACGCATGCGCACAAACACACAGCGACAGACAGAAACATGCACGTACGCACACTAATTATTTTAGGTCCCAGCTGTGAGGAGAGGCAGCTGACATAGAGCAAGGCTACATGAAAGAATACGCATTCGTCAAGACACTGTGTTCATGCAACAAAGCCCTTATTCATCTCGTTCTAAGCTTCAGACTCATGACGTTCCATGACCCTGAACATTTTATAAGAGAGGACAATTAGGTCTCTCATTAAAGGCAAGATCAACGGCAAGATTTCTGTAGCAACAGCAGTACAATTAGGGTAACAATTGAGGTGCTCTTTAAAATGAATGACTGCCCATTCAAGGTTCTGTCTTTGAGAGAAAAGAAAACCTCCCTCGTTCTTTTTCAAAAGGATTTACTGCCTGAAAAGAAAGAGATAGCTCCTTATCACTAACAGAAAGAACGCTGAACAACATTAATCTTTCCTATCCTTTGTAAAAACATTGGTGCAAAGCTTTGGGGCGTTCTACACCACAAAACCTTTTAGTTTTCCATTTGACTGGTAAGAGCCATCTGTTCTGATTGCCAAGGCGCCATCACAAAACAAAAATCTATAAATAACAATTCATAGCCCCAATGCCAACAACATGAAAATGTTTGGGCAGCTTACCTGTCAGACACTCCACCAATGACAGCAGCAGTATAAGTTTCCATAGCAACTCCATTTTAATGGTCTCAGGTCAATACGAGCTCACATCCAATCACAGGTGTGCAGAATCCTGGCTTTGTCCTTTGCAGCACTTTCACCGTTAATCTATGAAATGAAAGGAGGAGAGGTGGAAAAAGCTATTAGACATTTATATTGAGATATTTGCCGGGCAGTGATTTTATGATATAAAATGCGAGAGCATATAAAAAAAATAAAAATCGTCCTAAAATCCCCAAAAAGCTTAACTAATAACTTTTAATCTCTGCAAACACTTCTGGGGACAGGGTGACATTTAATATTAGGTATATGTTATAATAGGATGTTATGCATCTGAGAGAATAATTGAAAAACAACTCTGTCTTGTGAATACACAGAAAAACTATTTGTCCAACGAAAGCACTTAGAAAACAAATTTGTTTCAGTGTTCTTAACATTGCATAATAGGAATCCTGTCTGCAAGGGAAACATAAAGGGATTGCTTGCTTGTACTCAGACCTGCTGAGACAAAAAACAAGAAGCAAGCTGGTTGTCAGACACATCCCTAGCATGTAATAAAGCACTGTCCCAGCTACTCTAGTTCGTCTGAGCTGGGGGGGATTATGTATTTCTGACACAAAGAGCTGACTGTTCGCAGCGCGAAATCATTTTCTGTCCCTGGGGAGACTCGCACAATTGATTTTCTCAAGGACTAAACCGTAATTTATCCCTGCTTAGGCTCAAATGAAGTCTCAAAAAAAAACTTGTGACATCATAATGAGACAAATTCCTCCTGTCACTGATAAACGGAGATGTATTTATTTGCCTGAAACTCTAAATGCCCTCAAACATTCTGAAAGCTATGATAGGTTCTGTTAAAGCAGCAGATAAATGTTTGTGTATGACCGGCTGGTTATGAAGGATGAAGGGAGGAAATTAGCCATTGTCTTTGCTCAAACGGACTCTCCCTGGTACATTTAACTGACCGATGGCACCGTTTCCTCCGACTGCACACCACCAGCATGCTGAAATAAATAAGAGGAAAATTAATATGAACATACAGTGTAGTCTATCAAAAATGGTGTGCCAAAAAAGCAGAGACAACTGAATGATTAAAGTTCCACCCTTCCTCAGCTATCTGTATGCTTCTTATTTTTGCACCAGTGAAAGGCATGACAGAGCATACTGATGCTTATGTGAATACATCAACTGTGCGTCCCTGACACATTCGCCTACACCACTCTCCCGTCTACGCGTACTACACCATTAACGGCAACAGTTTCCCTCTATAAATCTCATTATGGAGATTGGGTTTGGAGTGTCATCTTAGTTCCAACTTATCTTGCAGTTATTAGGATGCAAATGTTATGAGTAAATGTTGGCTTTTAATAATAAAACAGAGAGACGGCAAAATCCCTATTTGTGCTCCTGGATATTTTTGGAGTGCTCCTCCTTTGAGGGAATAATTGTGAGCGATGCGCTGAATAAATTACTCCACACGGTGTCTTTACATGACACAGAGCCTAGAAATACAGCAAAACCTTATGTTCACAATTCACACCTATGCCAAGTTATTTATGTTTGGGTGACAAAAAACATGTATATGTAGACTGCATTGGAAAACTCCCCCCAAATAATAAACCTCAGGTTTCAATTGCAAATACAAAAAAAGATAAACAAGAAGCTGTTTACAGCTGGCATTAACATACATCTTGAGTGATCCTAACACAAGTGAACAGCTAAAACACATCACTGTTTACACCTGTGTCCGTCACACATCTCCAAAGTGTCTAGCTGACCACTTCAGTGTTCAGATTCTGTTGCTGCCTGAGACACTTCTTCTAAAAGGTCCAAGCAATAACCTTGTAACGGCGCAGTTATGACAGGAGTCGGCTACTAGGACTGAATCTTCTGTAGATTAAGAATCTGGTTTCAGTTGTGCTCACAACAACCATCTCATCCTTGATCGATTTTATTTCCTGTTACGTCCTTTTTGGGGAAGCATGAGGTAACATTAGCATTAATCCCACAAAAGATATAAGGTCAAAAAAGGAATATGATGAGGTGCCCAGTAAAGCTCGAACCCCCATACACAGAGGCTTCTGAGAGGGTTTCAGTCCAACCCTACAAGTTGTGTGAGTTATCAAATCACAATGGCCCTATTCAGGCCTGATATATGCATCTGTGGACAGTACAGGTGGAAAAACACCCAATATACATTGATGAAGATCTGATCAAGCAGTATCATAGACTATATAAGGATGGGCAATTACTGTTGCCCATCCTTATACAGTAATTGAAAGCTGAGACTAACTCGTGATTGGTCGAGCTTGTGCATCACACTGCAACACTGTGGCTCAATCTCCCAATTGCTACTGCCCAAACTCTGACTACAAAAATTTGAAATGGCATCACTTGCATTTTTCCTTCATGTCTGTATAGTGGGATGACGTGGAGATGGCAAGACCATCTTGATAAACAGTCTATGGGCAGAACACAATCAGAAATGGTCTGGGAAATACACAGCCACATTTTTTTGCAGCGTGAGCACTACTGCTTCCTAGGCCATACTGAATAACCAACTGGTCAGTTGACATCCTCTGGCCCTTTTGGTTCACAGATGACAAACTAGTTTGCATATAGAGCAGGACAACCAGGTCTGAACAGGACCAAATCACTTGAGGATCACTTGTATTTAGCACTGTTCACTTCTGATCCAATCGCCAAGACGTAATGTTAATGGCAGGTGTAAACCCTTCTACGGAGTTAACTAGACCGTGATACGGGCCACATTTTTTTGTCTGAGCCCAACCCAAACTGACAAGTATTTTATATTTTTCAGATAAATTGATAAATTGAAGCTCAATGTTAAATGGGCAAGCCCATCATAATTAGCATTTTAGAATAAATATGCTTGCTGCTGAGTAATTGTTTGGACGATGAGACTGAAACCTGACCTGAATATCATTTCTGAATTACTGTCTGACACAACCCGAGCCTGACCGGGAACTGACCAAGCCCAATTGAGCATTGGCAGAACATTTTTATTTTTCTATCCTGACCCAGCCCAACTCATTGGGTTCTGCTCTGGTAACTACCAAAGTTTTGTGCTAGTCAAAAACTGTAAAATAATTGTTTTGTCATAAATGCATTCTGTTTTTAAAGCACCACAAGCCTACATAACCAGAAAGTGTGAACTACTGAGACAGCCCATTTATAAAAGCAGGTATCTGTTAGCCTCCATCAGCAGTCCCTAGATCTCTATTACTCTCATGCCCTGAGACATGAAAAATCAGACAGCAGGGTTAGTGAGGGGATAAAGACAGGCTTTTGATCCAAAGAAGCGCTGCACTAACATGACCGCGAGGGGAATCAGGAGTGTCCATGGCAGCATTTGACTTCCTCTTCAGAATAAACTAATTACTCTTGTGACCTAAAGTGGTGGCAACAAGACCAATGACTCACTTTCATCCCAAATTGATTCTCTCATTTGTTTTGCTGTATGTGATGAAAGTTAATGATGCAGAGGGCTTTCAAAGTTTTCCTTTCAAGACCTCCCTGTTTCATGTCTCTGAAAAATTGAATATGACCAAGGTTGAATGACCCTCCATGGCCAAAACATTTCCTGACTCAATTTGAGCAAACTCCACTGCATTTAAATGTGACACAGCAGCGTCTCATTTTATAAATGCTTATGACATAATGCATACAAAGACTCAATGCGATGAATGACACAGATTTACATGGATTCTCTATGTCTAGGAAATTGATTTAACCCCTGCTGACTGTGTGACAGATAAGCTGCATAAAGCGTTATCTCTGTCAAGTGCCTCCTATCTGTACTTATGACTGCCATCTCAGTCCATGTACTTACACACACTATCAATATCTAGAGGAATAAATCATATCTGCCAAATTCAAGTTTGAAATTAGTTTATTTAGTGAGTATGCTATGAGGCTGCTGGTTAGTGATCAAATCATTTTAATTAAAAGCAAGTCAGGATGATGAGAGATCTGCAAAATGTCAGGTACAGCTGAGACTTTCATCTCTGATTTCATGATCTGTGGATAACGTCTTCTATAAATATTTCCATTTTGAAGGAAACAGGTGTAAAATGCCCAAATGTCACATTATCATAATAATCAACATCTCAGATGATGTCTACTCATATGTGAAGAGTAGACACTCATCACATATAATCTTCCTTTTGAAGATTAATCAACACATATTTTGATAATAAATTAAATTTAAATACACAGCAGCAAAAATACCAAGCATTTTCTTATTCAGGCATTCAATTATAAATTGAATAATACATTTAGGTTTGTCAGACAAAACAAGTGAGGTAATATGCACTTTTTGATATGCAATTTTCATTGTTTTTTGGTATGTCCTTCATTATTGCCACCTGTCACTATTTTCTATTAATCATGGTCATCTATGACATCATCAAATTTATTGTCTGATCAACATTTTAAAAACCAAAGATTTTACTCATGTAGGACCAAAAAAACCAGAAGATTCATATTTGAGACAGTGAAAGAGATATGACATTAACAAAACAGGAGCTACACAATTATATGCAAACTATTTAATTGATTAATCGATTAATTATTGTAACTCTATAGTAGTCTATAGTGTGGCAGTGCTATAACAAACCACATGGACTCAATGCCATGAAATGCAACAGCAGAAAGCTTGGACACAAAACAGAGCACTTCATTTAATTAGATTTTTGAGGAAATGCAGCTGCTTTGAGGGAGGCTCAGAGTAGTAGAGACAAAGAGCTCCTCCAAATTTCAGTGTTGTCAAAGTGACACCTCTGTTCCTCTTCTTCTCTGACAGTTGATAAACCACAGATTCCAGTTCAGTCAGACTCAGAAGCTGACAGTGATGGCAGCTGATTCGACCCTCTCCGCTACACCCGATCTCTCTGCTGCCATCAATTTTTCAGGGCTCAAAAAATGTATTAATAGAAGGGTACTGCAGATCCCGTTGGTTGAAGAGTCCAGATGAAGATAAAATTCACACAAAATGCATGAGCAGCCCACACATACTCACACACACCCACTTCCCTCCGAGCTCTGAATCATGAATGAGACCAGACTCCCTGACTGTGCGAGGAACG